AATACCTGGGCCTTATAATACATAAAAGGCTAACATGGACAGAACATATAAATGAACTAACAAAAAATATAGCGGCATTAACAGGAGCTTTGAAAAGCATCCACTTTTTCAGCAACAAAATAAGATATTATTTCTTAAAATGCATATAATACCCATAATTTTATATGAAATAACAACATGGAGCCAAACAACTAAAGCTAACTTAAATGACAATGAATTTTCGACATACACCCGCCAATTACTTACAGACAGTATCAAATATTCATTCACTAAATATCATAAATAATATAGAGAAATGCAAATTAATACACAAAATGAAATTGTTGAGTTTATCAAAATGCCTTGGAATTTATGTATACATCCTCAGACAAATTCTATAGGAAACCCCAAGCAAAGGAAAAAATTATGATATTTTATAATCAGTTTCAATCGTCTAAAATTTATTGAAGGTATAAAAAGGTTTTATACCTTCATATTTTTAATATTTTTATTTTGAACACTCGTTGAGATTTGATATTATTCAAAAAAAATTAATTATTTATATAACATATACTATATAGTTGTCATCTTTGATTATGTGAAATACTATACAAACCAAGTACATGATTTTTTCATAATATTCATTAAATAATAAATAATAATAATTATTATTATTTTACATGTTATATAAATTAATATGTAAAAAATTATTAAATTTGCTTCTAAAATAATTTATTTCGATAATTATGTATGTGTATGAATAATATTCATCAATGAGTTTTGCTCTCATTGTTCAGTACCTCTGTTTTGTTTTCTGTAAATGTAATTGATGAGAAATTGAACGATTTGTTTGAAGCTGCCATTAAATTTAATGATGCACATAAAATTTCTTGTACTCAAAGTTATCGTGTTTTATTGAGTTTTAAATAGTACTTATTTTAAAATACTAATCTACCTTAACGAACAGCATAAAATTGGCCTGTTTATTGCTTGACTAAACATATTTCAATTTGTCACAGATTGTCGAAAATTTGATTTATTTTTGTTTTGAAAACATTGTTTTCTAATAAATGCATTGAATAGTTTTTGCTTTCAATAGTTAAGGTATTGTGTAAATATATTGAGCTTTTAAGTTATTGACTCATAAATAATTCGTAGTATATGGTGGTAATAGCTCGTTTGATCCTTATAATATCAAATTAAAAATGAAGATAAACTCATAGAAAAATTGGATACGGAAGGTGTTGATAATTTTAAACTTTTTTACAACTCAAAATTATATTTGAATTGAATCTGGGTAGTAGTAACTGAAATCATAAGGTAAATAATTATTAACTGCATATGATGAGTTTTTATTTCTGTTGTTTATGCTCGTAATTTTAACTATAAAAAATAATATTATATATTTCTCTTAAATACAAATTACTTTTAATTTTCGTATGTTTATGCATCTAAATTTGACAAGCTCTGAATGAATATTATTATTTATAAATATTTATTTTTTGTGAGTTTTTCTTCTTTTCAAGCTCAAACGAGGTGGAACAGATTTGTAAAAATATAACAAATTAAGATGAATTTAAACAAATTAAATAGATATGATTTTGAGAAAGAATAACGATAATTATTAATGCAAAAATGTAAAAAATATTTTTAGAATTGTTAGTGAGAATCAAGCTTGAAGTGCATCAGTAATTAAATAATTCAGTAATTAAATTGCAGGAAAGAACTGAATTTAAACGTCTTCGTTTAAATATTTGCACAATTCAACTTCAGTCAGTTAGTAAATGATGGTTAGTTGATTTATAATATAATTTCAATTTGAAATTAATATTGCAAGCATGTACAAATTACTTAATTGAATATTTTGTAATGCTCCTGTAAGCAAAACAAGATCACTATGTTATATATAATTTGTTAAATATAAAAGCCGAGAAAATTAGGCTCTGTCTATGCAAAAATTCAGGTTCAAACCACATTCCGAGCAGCCTGATTTCAAACAGTAGCAATAACCATTTTCAAATACAGATGTAAGAATAAAAATATTGTTTCAAGTGAAAGTAGTTCCTTCGGGGAGTTAAATGAAAAATACTTACAGCCATTAGGTAACTTTCAAAATGTTTTCTTAAAGTGGAAAGTTAGCAATTCACATAGACATGGCAACAAAATAGTATTAGACAATCAGAAATTTTTTCTAAATTTATTTCTTGCTATAACATCCAATATAATTCAGTGTCATGGACTTGTTCACTACGAAATTCTTGTAAGTCATTAAATGATTTTCTAGTTGCCGTCCATTTCATAATATTTCGTAAGCCGATGATCTTGATCTTCGCGAAGGAACTATAAATATAAACTATTGGACGCTTGTAAAACCATATTCATTAACACGATGTATGCTTGTACTAAAATTAGATATCGTGTATTAATTCGAATCGCAGACGTCCGCTCGTCGAAAGATTTATGCAAATTTCTAAAATAGAGTTTTACACAATCCGAATTACTAACACTAATGCGAATTAAAATTAACCGAACTTTACATAAAATTCGCGAAAAAATCGTTTAAAACGTGCAGTTAAACATGTCGAAAAGCTAAACAACTATAAGCGGCTGTGGAAGTCGATGTACAGATTAAAATTCTAAATGTGAAAAACTAAGGCTTAGGGGAATTTTGAACGTGATCCGTGAACAAAATTCCAATGTTATTTTCGATCTCTCCAATTTAATGCACGCACACACATTATATTTATATGTGGTGTGTGTATATACACACTGTATATATATATATATATATATATATATATATATATATATATGCATTTTTGATGAATTAATAATTGATTCAAATTTAAACTGTAAGTAAAAAAGTGATTTTCATACGTTTCCGTTTACGATAACACCATCAGTCAGTGGAATGACTAAAATTGGTTTCAAAAGAATTGCAATATTTAATGAATATGTGTTAGAATACTAACACATTCAGACAATTATAAAAGTTGCACCGATTCAGCTGTGGGGATGCGCCAGCAAATCTAACATCAAAATCCTGCAAAGAATACAAAACAAAGCCATCAGACTCTGCCTCTCAGCACCCAGATATGTACTAAGCTGGCTTTTCCATCAGGATACAAACCTGAATACGGTGCAGGAAGAAATACTTCGATACTCCAAGAAACATGCTGAAAGACTGGCTGAACACCCGAACGGACCTCGCCAGAAAACTGCTTTGAAGACAACCTTCCAAAAAGACTGAAACGCAAACACCAGCCACAACACAGATTACTTCCACAAACAACCACAATTAACCATAGCCCTTATATTTACTGAATGTCCACACGGACAGTAGTAAATCTTTATGTATAATAATAAAAAAAAACAAAGTTGCGCCGAGAGTCATCTAAATTCACTTGCCAGACAACTACGCCACAACCATATGCTTATTTATCTATGGCCACAACACTACCATTAAGGCAAGATTAAAAAAGAAATCTTAGGCAATAATCAGAAGTCCTACGATTTCACTTGTTGTCCATTTTAGGACAGGTGACTAATGAGAAACAATACATTAGTTGTTCATATGATCTTTTAAATGAAAAGCATTTTTTGCACGTCACACAAAGTTTTGCACAAAGTTCGGATCTTATCTACAGACAGTAAAGGTTTTTGTAGTCTGTTTCTTGATCATATACAGCCATCCAGAGCGATAATTTGCAAATATGAAACTAATTCACTTAGAGGCAAATTCTCGTATAAAATAAAAATGATATGGTAACGCTATGTTACGGGTCTATCTTCGTATGAGTTGGTAGTAACGATTCGAAAAGGCTATGAATTTGCTGTGCGATTAGGCGTTTTGCTCATAAAACCTAACCTACTAAAGTCCACAAACCTCAAATAACAATTTTATCTAAGTGCAACTTTCTGGTGTCTCTTTGATAACAAAAACGTGAAGTTAGGTTTTATGTGTAAAAACCTGATATATAGCTTTTTGAAAGTTTATTACTACCAGCTCCTTCGGAGATGGACCCGTAATATATTACAATATCATTTTTTTTTTTTCCGAGAATTATCTCCTAAATTGTAAAATGAATCTAAATATGTCATCACATTGTAATCTTTTGTTTACATTATGACATAAAACCAAAAAAAATATTTTTCAAAATTCAAAAATTCAAAAAAAAATCAAGATGAACCCCTGGGTTATTATTTTGAAAATTTTACGTTATCAATCAAAGTGATATCTGATATACTTCTGCACACGTGCAAATGGTAAATTGACATATATGTTTGTACTCGTATATACATATTTTCTTCTGTAATGAATAAAATATCGAATGATTGATAAAAGATAGGACCAACGGTGGCGTAATCGGTACGGACGTGGGCTAGCACCAACTAGTCTGGCATCAGGCAGTATGATGCCAAATTTCACTTGAATGTTATATAGATCTCAATATGATTTCAAGTGAAAATCGCCTTTCATGGGCATCGCTACATATAAAAATATATACGCCAAAACTATTGGATATACATATCTAATATATAATTAACCAAAAATAAGAGTGGCTAATTACTGGGTTGTCTTCTTGAAAACAATATATTTAGGTTAAGATTAACAACTTATAGAACACGTACTTTTGATTGCTGTTCAAATAGAATTTAAAAAATGATAAAACTACCGAAGCCAGGTGCAAATGTGATGGTATTACGATACTCAAATAAAATAATCACAAAAATTATTATTCCGTACTTATATACCAACTTTCGATACATACGTTTATATTTTTTTATAAATGATGTTAAAAACTATTCAGAACGTTTTAAAAAAACTGTAATTAACATAGATGTCCATAATAATATTTGACGTTTATGAAAGTGCATCTAAGAATTATCAATTTCAAAAAAGCACTAGACCGGTTTTTATCCAAGTTTTATCTACAATATGAATCAAATTTATTTGCACCATATATCTTTTTTAATAAATTATTTTAATTGACTTACTTATCTGGTTAATTTTCTTCCAGGATTCTCCTCTAAGCGATAAAGTAGCCAAATTCAATAAAGTTGTGAACAAACACTTAGAAGCCCAAGCTCTTAATCCATTCTCTCAAACCGACGGTAGAAAATCACCTAGACCAGTATTTTCGAAGGAAGAATATGGCCGGTAAGAAAACCTAGAAACTAAAATTATTAAATATTATATATTGTCTTAGTTGAATACGAGGAAGTTAACAAAAACAAACGATTATTAATGATCATTAATTGGTGTTCTTGTGTATGGTAGAATTAAAATTTAGAATCTAATCAAGCTTAGGAATAATTTTGGCACGAATTGCGAGATTACATAGAGTGGTATATTGCCAAAAACGTTTCTAGCCTTTTGTGTCTGCATTGAATAATGTGTAAAGAATTAATTTCAAAAAAATATCTAACAAAGACAACTTATCTCCCGTTTTTGTTTTTTGTAGTTACAATCATTTCCAAACTTTTTATAACTGCGCCTCCCAGTTTAAAAACAATATTGTTGCGCTTTCTTAATTTTTCTAAATTTTAAATTCATAAATACTCAACTAATATTAATATTAGTTAAAGTAATTAATATTAGTTAACTAATATTAATAATTATAATGTATATGACGGGCAACAAAATAATACACAATATTATATAAAAATATAAATAAAAATAATTATTTATTTATTTATATCCAATTTTTTGGTTTTTATTGAATATAGTATTTGGAAACGCTGCATGACTCTCATTTAACAACCCCACAGGTTGGAAATCACTGGTGTAATAGATCAATCTCAACACCACATAATTTAGTATCATTTTATTATGATTATCATCAGCATTATTTTTTATATTATTATTTATTATTCAATTTTGTTAACATTTTTCTTGTAATTATTATATATTAGCATTTTTTATATTTTTATTATCAATTATCACAGATATAAATTTATACTGGCAAATGTAATAATCTTTTGTAATACTTTAATGTTTTATTAATTTTTAATTATATTTATATTAATGTGATTTGCAGTATAAAGTTACAGTAAAAACACTCATTACAGTAAAAAATGATAAATTATTATTTTATATAATTGGCAATAATAAAAAAATATAATAATCTATCAAATTGTTTGCGTAACTATAATACAATGTTTTGGATTTGAAATTTATTGATGTCTTGAGATCTTCTGACATTAAAAAATCTTATAATTGTCCAAATTTTTTAATTTGCATTTGAAAACCTAAAAAATAGGCGCAGTATAGAAAAGATAATACTCCTAACTTAGGTATAATAAGATAATACTTCCTAAAAATAATTATGATATTTCACATCAATAATAATCATGATGATTTAACATTATAAAAATAATAATGGTGATTCAACATCTTAAATTAAGAGAGTTAAATAAAATCGTTAAGATAATCTTGGCAAAAATTGGAAAATAGAATGTGTCTTAAGAAGACACATTCTATTGAAAATTATTTATAGGCGTATTATTAGTAAAATATTGTTTGAAATAAGTATTTTCAATAAATCTTAAATTAGACTAAAAATATCAAATTAGATTTTAAAAAATTTGATGATGATGCTGTCGCATTTACCATCGATAAATTTCATAATATGTAGTGGTAATAAAATAAAAAGTGTTTATCCCAGTTAGATCAAATATTTCAAAAATATAGCTAGAAGTATATCTCATTTCAAGTTATTCAACTTTTTTTATTATAGCCCAGCTGCTGGAAGTTTATCAGAAGCACGAAGTGCAAAAGCATCTCTTCACATATGCCGCGAAATGTTAGAACTTTGCACAATTATAAATGACAATGGCATTGCCCTAGGCGAAAATCACCCACATGCCCCTGGAGGATCAGTTATATTATTTGGAGAACTATTCAATGTAAGTATAAAAAAAATCAATAAAACTGCATAAACAGATAAATTATCCTAATATCCAGGCTATGTATTCTATTTCGAAGACATGGTAATCCATGTACTATTGTATGTAACATCACTCGAAAAAGTAAAAATAAACAAAATAATATAATGTATATATTTCCTTATAATATCTTACACATGTGTTATTTTTATACTTCTTCAACTACTGGGTTTCCTTCTAGTCAAAACTGCCAATTAAATAATACGAGTATATGAAACATGAGGATTAAATAATGCAATTATTCAATAATTATAAAATAAACATGATTAGAACTAAATTTGGGCTTTTTGTGTAATTCAATTCGTATGCTGTTAAGTGGTTCAACACAAAACCGAATATTTTTTAAATCTAAGTGCTGATAAAATAACCAAATTTTTTTTTCAGATATACACATACATCTCAGATAAACTTGTGGGCATGTTATTGCGAGCTCGAAAACACAAATTGATCGATTTCGAAGGAGAAGTATTATTTCAGGTAATTTATTTTGCAGATATTTTATAACTTGATTTGATTTATGAAAACTTGGTTGTTAAATATTTACTCAAATGATCTTTAAACAACTTTAAAACAACATATAATAATAACTAGTGGGGTGCATGGCATCGTGCCTTAAGGCAAATTGCTGGAACTTCCCGTACCGTAATTAAAAATTTTAGTACGGAACCCAAAAAAAAATTACACAAAATGTATGCACATTATAAAAACCTTTATAAAATATCTGATAATTTGATGTACATATGTCCAATAAACATTTTAGACCTGTCTTCGCCAAAAACTAGTCAGCACGTCTCCTTATCAATACGAATCGAATGTTTTGTTTGAATTATTCATTTCGGTTGATTGGTGTTCTCGAAATCGTCGACGAAAATTTGTATCCGCACGTACACACACTCACACACACATACATCCATTTTTTTCTAAGGTATGCCAAAATGTTCAAAAACCTTTGAAACATAAAGATATATAAAAATTTTCATTTTCGATTTTTTGCGATTACTATAACTTACCCTACGGGAAGTTAATAAAATCTCCTATACGTCAACCATAATTCTTTTATGGGTATGCAAATTGTATGATAAACAATATTTAGCCCAATCTTAATTGAAAATAAAATACTTGTAACGGATTTTTTACACAAATTAAAAATAAATTTATACTAATAATCACATTTAAAATTGGTGTTTCAAAGATAAACGATTTATACACAATTTAAACAACTTCTGCACTCTCATAAGTGTTAAAATGAACTATTTTTTATAATACACAGAACATATCACCAATAAATAAAATCACTTTTGGGTTTATTACATTAAAAAACAATTAATTAAAAATTTACTTAATTATCCTTGAAATAATGTTGAAGGCTAAATGTTTCCAGTACAAGTTTGAAAAGCCAAAAATTACATAAACTATATGAAAACATATATTTATATAAAATCCAAAAATGTGGTTAATATAACTATTTTTTGCTGAAAATTTAATACTATTTAACAATTATTGTAAAATACGTAGATTTTCCACAAACAGAAGGTGAGAGTTCTTGTCTGCTATATTATCATTTTCTTTTCATTTTCAGAGGAGAGATGACGAGGTACCAATATTTTTACTCAAACCCATGAATGAAATCAAAGAAATTTTCAAGGACAAAGAATCTGACATACGAAGATCAATCAGCCCAAATCCACAAACTATAGAAAGTTAATTATACAATAATCAAAATTTAAAAAAAATTATAGGTATAATTGAAACATGTGCTCACACTTATGATCGTTAAGCACAATCGACCAAAGAAATTATGTGTAATTTGTATTTAAACTAAACTGTATTTAATATATGTTGTAATTACGAAACTTATTATACTTTCTAGTCAAATCTAAACATGTTGTACTTATATTCTATCATTATTCTAATTATCTCTAAACTTCTGCATAAATAAAGCGTATAATCATTTATTTAATTTTATTTGTAATCCAAATAATTGTACATAATTAGGAAAATTATATAGGCATATAATATTTTGTTAGGTTTAATAAATTAATTTAAACTATATTAGTAAAGTGCTGTTTTATTTCAAATAATGCCATGATATTATAAAATAATATTTTTAAAATATAATTCATTATTTACTTACATGAATAGTTTCTAGGCTTCTTATTGTTTTGGTTTATAATTATTGTTCAGATCCTAATTAGTAACAAATTATTGAAAAATCTTTCTCTGGCTACATGTACATAAAAATAGAATATTCACTTATTTATTTTAATACAAAATTTAGTTGAAAAATTAGGAGACAAGAACTAAAATTTGTTGTTAACTTTTTAGATAGCACAATGGGAATGCCAAATTAAATTCATTGATACTATTTAGGAAATTTTTACCCAAGCTATTCCAATAATATATTATATAATAGTTTGGTAAAGTCAGTGGCGTACTTAAATGGACAATAAATCAAAAATCCATACAATAAAATATATTTGCAGCACAATCAAAAAATAGTTTATATTAATAAATTATGCAAATCTGTAAAATATGAGCTGAAAAAATTTTATTTGATATTTAACAAAAGTTTTTTATCGTATTATTATGATAAACATCTTAAAAACATGGTAAAATATCAAAGATTAAAGTTTGACTCTCAAACTTAAAACTTTCTCAAATAAATCACACAAGAATATGACATGTGAAAGATTTTTAAATTTGGAGGTCCATTGCTGTCTGTGTATTAGTTCAATCAAAAGTCGAAAAATTATCTTTAATAGTTATAATTAAATATATTTTTTAATAATTAGTGATCGATGTATAATTTAGAGAACACAAAGAATATTGAAAACAACTACAGTTTGATTAACAGTATTTTATCAAACTAATATACAAACTTTTTATATATATTATGTTTATTTTTTGTTAAAAATAATCCATGGATAGAATATCTTTGAATATTTGATAAAAACAGTTACATCAGTAATTTGCATCTTAAAAATAAGACTTTCCATATACGGATCAATGTCCATATAGAAATCGCAAAGTTCATTTTTAATTTTTTGCTACAAAGAACTAATTAATTAATTAAATAACAATAATCTATATAAATAATACTACATAATTTTGTGTCATAAAATAGTGCTATTTTTGTTAGTAATAGAAAAAAATCCTATAATGTCACAATTTTAAATATTTCAGATTTAAAATATTCATAATTTTGATGAACTTTTTTTATTATATATTTTTAATATAACATAATATATATAATAACCATATATTTATTGCAATAAGCACATGTTTCGTTTTGCAATAACATTTGTTCGTGAAGACTCAAATTACGAAAAAGATCTTAAATGCATTATTCAAATTATTTTTCTTTAGTATAAGAGTACTAAATAATAATTTAGAATTATTTATATTATTAACTAAGTTAATTAATTGATATATTGTCACATTGTGTTCTTTTTGCTGTACATATTAGCCGAAAGCGAACCGGGCCTCCTTCGGTCTTGCAATGATCGCAATCTGGAACGTGCTGATGCTGAGATGTCTGTCAGTTCTTCTTCTGATGATTGTAATTTTTGCCTAAATGCAGAACATAGTTTACTATAAATTATAGATATGTTATAAGTATTTTATATATATTTGCGTGACTAAAATTACTAACTTATTCTCTAAACGGGTCAATCTTTGCTTCAATTTGGCTTGTGCAGCTGAGCATTCTGCCATCAACCGGGCCAGTCGTGTTCCTAAGATTAATTTAATAACACAAAATTATTATTTACTTATTATATTAAATTTTAAATATGATAACGAATCAAGATGTGGTCTAGCTTACCTAAAGAATCAACTGTTTGTCCCAATTTGTCCACCTCATGTTTCAGTGAATCTTTACCTCGCCTAGATCTTTCCAAAGCTTGTTCATCCAATAAACCATCTTTCCTCAATAGCTCTACTCCTTTTTCAATTAGCATTTCTTTAGCTTCTTGGTAATTTTCTAGGACTTCCCATAGGTCCTTCTTAGCCAAACAGAATAAATCAGAATATCCCAAGGATTTTACATTGGCGCTTCGTCTATTACCAGTACGATTTCCGGAGATTTCCAAAACGCTCAGTTCTCCAAAAACACTTCCAGCACTTAGTGTTGCTAAAACTGTGACACCATCATCGCCGACGACTGTTAGTGTTCCTCGTTTGACTATATACATTTCCTTGCCGACATCACCTTTTCGACAAATATAGTCTGCAGGTGAAAATATTTGAAGTCGCAATTTCAGAACCAGGGCCTCGAGTAGACCAGGTTCACAATCCTAATAAAAATAGATAAAGATACAAGATTAAAATAAAAATTGGGATTGATGTGCACTCTTTTTACCTGAAATATCGTGACTTTCCTCAATGTTTCCATATGTACAACTATAGCAATTTCAGCTTTTAACTTGTCTGGAAGCGCACTTAATACTTTTTCTTCATCCAAGGCTCCACTTTGAGACCAGGTATAGGCAAACCATCTAATCACACGCGCTTCTAATTCACCACTTATTTTTCGAAAAGCCATATATTGCTTCACACCATCCATTCTAGAAAAGATATATAAACAAATACATTTATTTAATTAATTTGTTAGTGGTTAATTAAGAAAATATACCTGTTTTGAAAATCTACTTTTGCTACATTCATATTAGAAATCATAGAACCAATATTTCCGACGATTGTTGCAAATATTAAAACACCAGCTAAAAAATCACAGACGACGAACAGGTATTCGGCATCATTCTCTGGGGTGGGAGTTTCGCCTGAAAAAAAAATGGATTTTTGTATTAAATATAAATACGAAGACAGTTATAGTATGAAAATATTAACATTGAAAATTTAAACTCTAAATTATAATAAATTATACTCCGACAACTCGCATAAAGAAAGCAAAGGAAAAAGAGTTACTTGGGCAACCAGTCCAGCACGTTATAGTTATTAGATCCCCCTGATTAGACTTTTCTATTTATTTTTTGTATATAAAGTAGATTTAAGGTGTTATTGTGACTTAAGATGATGATGTATTTCTAGGCCATTACGCTGAAATAAATAAATATAATAATACTCCGACAACTCTTCATTTTGATTCATTAATTCTGATATGTTTTATATGATATGATGATGTTTGTATGACTTTTGTTTTAGATAAATAAATACAATACATAATAGTATCTTTTTTCGATATAGGAAAAACTATGTAAAAAGACGTGGAAAATTACTACAGATATGAACTCATACAACTGCACAATACTAATGAACAATCCTCAGGAGGTTAGCTTTGTTTGGCAGCTAACAGCAAACTTTATACTTATATATTTTTTAATTTATATGCAAAACATTATATTGGTTTTGCGCGACCTGTAAAAAATATTTTTTTCTTATTAAAACAATGAGTTCAATATTTTTGCAATAATATCTGGCTTTATACTGACTTATTTAGCTAAAAATTGGTAGCAGCTAGATAACGGATATTATTACATTTTCAACCAAATATTTTTTAATTTTAATTGATTCAAAAGATGAATACTTACCTATAGTAGTTAAAGTTAAAGTTGACCAATAAAAACTGTATATGTATTGCCGAGATAAAGATGAGTTTCTAGGTCCATTAAGATTATAAACCCAATGGTCAGTTCCAAATCCTAATCCATAACTAATTGCAAAATACAGACACGCATTCCAATGTATTAGTATCAAAATAGCTATTAGCACCTGCAATGTAATACATCATTTTTTTAAATACTCAGTTGAAACTAATATATTTCTATTTCCTATTTTTCTAAAAGAATTTTACATTATTAATAAACATATAATATATAATATTATTAATAAATTCATAATAAATATAAACAGTAAGGTTTTATTTTAAATATGATTTTTTTTAAATATTTTACATTGATGTTTTCAATGATTTCAATCATGATGATAATGTTTTAGATTCAATTCAAGTGAAATCAATTAGATATATTTAATTGACTTCTCAAATTATACTGAAAAACTGTAATATTGCAACAAAGCTTAGGGAAGATATACTAGTTGTTTTCATACGAACGATAATTTGTTGTAATTGTATTTTTTTGTAATAATTATTATTGCAACAAGTTATTATAATATGTTGTTCTATTGAACCTGCTGACTAATAATAATGAAATCATTTGGCCAAACCAAATCCTAATAAAAACCAATAAATTCATGTTTCAAAAGACATGTTCGACTTTTATAATAATATGATCTGTAACCAAATGCATATAATTAAAAAAAATAATGATATTGTTATTTTATATATCTGATTCATATCGATGATCGGAAGAAAATATAAATTAAGTTCCAAGTGCACGTGACTGCTATATTTTGAGTGCATATTATATTACAGAAAATAAATGAAGCATTCATTAAATTTATTCATATGAACAATCAAATAATAGGATTTATGGTAATTTAATATGAGGCAAGAAATTCTTTAAACATAAAATGTATATTCAAGCTGTTAAAAATAAACTAAAAATTTGTCTGACATGTTTCTCATATGCTACAATTCTACCTCGTAACTGTTGTAGTCCAGTCATTTAAGCTTAAATTAGGTAAGAATCTCGGAATTCGAGATACCCAGCTGTAAGTCTGTAAATGCTTGTATGTTGATACCCTAAAGTTGTCTCAAAACCTACATATGGTAGGTACATCACCTTATCTAGGTTTTGAGACAACTTTAGTGTGTTAATATACAAGTATTTACAGACTTACACCTGAGTATCTCGAATTCCGAGGTGACAATATAATTATATTATTGATGTACTGAATATTTTACAACAATTTTTTACCCACAATAAAGTTTTACCTTGCATATCCTGAACGCGTTAGGATATCCAGTTGCAGTTTCGGTCCTGTCGAACCATTCCCACATCCTGGGAGCTCGTAGGAGGCGATTCAAGCGCACTATTACTGGACATGGTACTCGCAACTGTTTTAAAGTGAAAGTTATTAATAAATAAATATAATGATACTTAAACTTATTTAATTTATTAATTGAAATATATTCAATATAACGTCAACAGCGAAGGAATGGTCAATCACTTATTTACTTCCAGAAACTCTGGGTTGAAAAATTGCATCTCAAAACCTTATAGAACACGTTGTTCTGATCGCTGCTTTAATTAGATGAAAATACTTATAATTAGAATTTAATAAAAGCAGCAGCTTATGAGAATAAATGACAGTGAAAACAGAATTTGCTCCAGACTTGAAAATGAAATGAAATGAAAAAAGTTTGAAGATCCCTATACGAGTATATTCTGATTTATACATAAACAGCTCTTATTTGTTGAGGCTTTGGAAAAATTATTTATTAAACGTATTGTAAAAGTGAAATTCGAAACTGTAAAAAAATATTTCTTATGTTATGAAGACAAAACATAATAAGTGAATGTTAAACATTAAAAATAATAATACTAGTACACAAATAGTAATTAATAAATAAATAGTATTTTCCAAAACTTAGTAGAAGCGGCATCAATTATGAAGGTATGAAAACATTAGTTGGGCAATGGGCACTTTAACGGCCTTAAGCTTACCAGAAATCAATTAATTTATATATTTTCAACTGTAATTATCAATATTAATATTTATTTAAATAAACAAAATAAATAACATCTCTTTCGCGTTAAACAAAGAAAAAATGCATTTACTTATTAACTTCCCGTAGGGTAAGTTATTGTAATCGTCCAAAAATCGAAATTGAAAATTTATACATTTCTCGACGTTTTGAAGGTTTCTGAACATTTTGGCATACCTCAGAAAAAATGGATGTGTGTGTGTTCACGTTTTCGGGCGCACAGATTAACCGATTTGAATGGTTTCAAAAAACATTCGATTCCTATTGATAGGGAGATGTGCTGATTAGTTTTTGGCAAAGGCAGGTCCAGCCGTTACGGAGATGAAGAACAATGAGTGCAGAAAATAGAAATCGAGTTTTTGAGAGAACGGAGCATCCGATTTGAATGATCTAAAAAACATTCAATTAGCAATGGTTGGGAGAAGAGGTGATTAGTTTTTGGCAAAGGCAGACCTAGCCATATCGAAGATACAGAGTTAAATATACAAAAAATGGCAGTTTTTGAGAGAACTAAGCGTCCGATTTAAATCTGCTTATTTTAACAAAATAATTGATTTTGGAAAAAAAAAATATTTTTTTTCAAGAAAATTTTTTTTTGTATATCGAAAATAATTCAGATTTTATTTTTAATTCTGACTAAAGTTCTAATATACTTTAAACAAATAATTTCAACTTTGCAATTCAGTTTATATAATTCTTATAAATATTAGACAATGTTACAATATTTATAATAATCTATTTAAAAACATTCAATATTTCTCGAACATTTCGTTACGGTACGGGAAGTTCCAGCAATTTGCCTTAAGGCACGATGCCATACACCCCACTAGTTTAATTTATTAATTGAAATGTATTCAATATAATCTCAACAACAAAAGGATGGTCAACCACTTACAAGCCAACATCTCACGACCTTTAATAAAATTTTTAAAAAACTATTATTTTGAAATACCCACCCCCCCTTCATCCCGGATTAAGATAACTAAATATTGCCGTCCCGGTTTTTACTTAAAAAAATATGGTCACCTTACTTAAAAACTATGATAGACGCTGTGTATACGAATTTTAAAATGGTTGACAATTAATCTTCCGATGCATAATAAGCTTTATTAATAACGGCTTTAAAAAAAAATACAACTTATATTTTTTGGCATTAATTTCGAAAATGGTAAAAAAAATTCGATCAGGATGGGATTCGAACCCACGCGTGCAGAGCACATTGGATTAGCAGTCCAACGCCTTAACCACTCGGCCACCTGATCACTGCTAAGGTAAGTCGTTAAACATGTCGAATTTGGGGTCGACCTTAAATCATACACAGGTTTAGGGTCTTATACCAATTGTATAGGGTCACAAAATTATTATTTTTTACATAAATACAAATTTAGTGTATTATAAATTGAATAATACCCAAATAATTTACTATTTTCTATATAAATTTTGTTATGATCCTTAATACACAATTAGTTCATTTTCCTTCCTAATTTAATATTAATTATTCGTTCTATTTATTACAATTAAAACTATTATTTAAATTAATGGGTAATAATAGGCCATCGAAGCAGCAACATGCGCAAAATAATTTAATCAAAAGGTAATTGAAATATGTATGTTTTTCTCTTATCTCGATTGCAAATAAATTGATACCTCTCATAATACTAGTGCTTAAAAGAAGTTAAATAGTTTTACTCGTATGCCACATAAAAACTTTTTAATTTCTGATTGATTATTTATAAAATTATAATGAAAAATTCGTAGACTTTGATTCAATCAATGACTACATTACATTAAAATATGACCATTAGTAGTTACTACAGTGGTTTCCAACTTTTTTTTCCTCCGCGCTCTAATGTTCTAATAAAAAAGAGTGCGCGTAAGGTTCACACGCGATTGAAGTAAAACTTATTTGCTCCTGTACAAGATGGCATTTAAGTAAAAATAAATACATCATATAACAATTTTGAATAATATTTATTAGTAATATGGTATCTCTCGTGATGCACACATTTATTAGTGTCAACCATTATACACATTTATATAATGATAAATTATAAATTATAAATTTATAATAGCATTAATAATATATATATAATATCTAAAAACAATAATGTAATTGAAGCCATACTACAAATGTGACATGATCGGTTTGTCATTGTAATTAGCATTTAGAAATGAACGTTAATTAGAAAATGAAGTTCCTGATTAATAAATTCGAATATTCGTTCACACAGTGGATTATGTTAAACAACGCCTAAACAAATATTGTTTTTGCAACTTCACTCATCATGTAATAATTGTGTTTGAAGAACTTCATGTAATTAAAATTAACATACATTCATTGACTGTTTGTATTTTTTTTACTTTTTCGATCTCTATTCACATACACGACGACTAATCACAATCGACCCGTATAGAAATGATATCTTCGAGAGCGAATGACGAATCATTGGCACTCGACTCGGCCGTAACGCACTTCCGTTGCATTTGTTCGGATTTACACCCTAGTCGCGCCTGAAGAAGTTTTACTTCAAAAAAAAATATTACGCCTCCCTTAATTTTTTCAACCATTTAATTTTATAAATACTCAACTGATATTTTCAGACTATGCAAAAAAACTAATTGTCTTTTGTTTATTTTTTAATATCATTTCAAAAGTTTTGGGTTATTTTTGAAAATAGTATTATGAAAACAGATGTACGCGCCCCCCTTAGAACAGTCTGGCGCCCCCCTGAAGAGGCGTGCTCTATGGGTTGGAAATCGCAGAATTACTACATTAAAATTAACAGGTATATCATTTTTTTTCCCAAACGCAAGATGGTTCAATCACATATCAAACCCCAGTGATGTAGCAGTCTCAAAGAAATGTATATGCCGCAAATCCAAATGATTAATAAAATCTTGTAAAATTGTAGTAATAATATTCGTAGTTACACCACTGTAGTAACTACGAATGGTCATTGTAAAATTTAAATCGTTTGATTAATGTTATCAGTGCTAAAAATGCATAATATTTTCTTTTGCAGTCTTGCAGAATTTAGAGTTTTTTGTTCTAATAGTATAATTTTAAATGCTCTAAACTATTTGTTGTCTTTTAGAATCCAAATTTGTTTTTTAAGCATTATTATACTGTCCTGACCCCGTAACCTCACGATCTTCCCACATATGTAGATCAATTTAATTTACAAGTTTATTTCCTTATTATCTATTTAATCTTTCATGAGTAATACATTAGGATTTTAAATTGTAAAACGATAATTGACAAATTGAAAGAAAAAATCAATTTTGGTTACAGCTGATAATTTTGAAGTGAATGAATAAGAGCAGTGAAATTCAGGTAAAGAATGAAAATGATGCCTTGACGTTCATTAGTTCAAAAAAAAGGCAATTTGTTCTAATATTTATAAGATTTAACATGTATTTATTAGACTCCCCCTACATGAGTTAGCTAATCGCTTTTATTCGATTTAATTTCATGCAAATCAAGATAATGTAAAATGCAATCGATCATTTGCTTCTCAAAGTAGGAGTTTTTGATTACCTGAATAGTTCATATTTTTCAGTTGAGTGCAAACGTAAGTTTCTAACATAATTATATCAATATTTATTTTGACTATTTTGAGTTTTTAATATTATATTTTAGTTATATTACTTTTGTTATTGTTTTTTTTTTAATTCAAATTATTTCAATAATAAATTAATTCAATAATCAAAAATTTACTTTATCCTTTTACCTTAGCTTTACTTCAACAATTGAATGGATGTCTTGAAAACTTTATATATAAGGTAGAGCAGGACTAAAAGGTCCGCCACCAGTATCTTAAAAACAAGTCAAGTTAACAATTTTTTAACAACAATATTTGTAGTTAGGTAGGCTAGGGCACAAATCCGCGACCCACAATTCTTTTCCCACACGAAAAAGCGGGCCATTGAAGAGTGTTGTGGTAGACTTTTTTGTCCATTATACCCTAAATTTTCACAATGTCCCCAGCAAATCATCCCCAAAGAAAAGCAGAAATTACTCAAATATATGGAATGGCCTCCTCAGTCGCCGGATGAGTTGGGCAGACAAGTGAAAATATTGCAACCAATTGATACTAAACAGTTTTGGACGTTCCTACTGAATCGCTGGAATGAAATAACGATGGAACCATTGCATAAATTGATCGAAAGGATACCCAGTATATTACGCTTCTGTTAGGCGAGCAAAAGGCGGATATTTCGAAAACTCAAAAATATAGATAAATATTTGCGGGTTTCTTTGTGAGTTAACGTATTTTGTATAAACTGTGAATATTTTTTCATAAATATTGGTAATGAACGAAAAAAAAACATGGCTTCTTGTACATTTCATTAACATTATGAAGTGGACCCAAACTTTTGACCGATAGTATCAATAGAATATATCAAAGTTAAACAATCAAATTTGACTATAAACCTATTTTACCTGACACGTCGAAGGCTGCCACCAAATATACATAATATCTGTCGGCAATAAAGAGAGGAGATCTAGACGCCACGATCCTGAGGCAATATAGTGGGATCGCAATTTCGATGAATCTCGTACCATCAAACCTTGATCAAGATACCCTGAGAAAAATATAAAATTAACTAATTTCATTTGAAAAGAAAAATATTTTATTATAGGAAAAACACTTTTTTTTAAATAGAATCACATGCTATTTAAAATATGATTTCATCAAAGCCCATGTTTGTACTATTGCCAAACAATGAACTTAAAATATATCAATGACTTCATAAAATTTATGCTTTTACATATTTATGCAAATTTTGAGATACAAAGAATTGTTAAATATTCATGTATTCGGAGGTCCCAACAGTGACCAACGGTTCAAACGTGGGTTAACACAAGCTAGTCTAGGATTATCTGGTTCGATTTCCAACCGACGACATCAGGCAGCTTTGATGTCAAATTTCCACTTGAGGTTATAGATCTCAAATATAGCCTCAAATAAAAATAGCCTTTCGTAGGTAGAGTTGTGTTGTGTATATGTATATATAATAAAAATGTCAACAAATATTCTGAATATATAGTTAATAAGTCACTGCATTAGTTGTCCAATCTAGTGGGCTGCCATCCATTCAAAAATCCATATAATAAAAGCCAAGACTATTACTGAATGTTCTAGTATGGCAGATTGTAGTTAAAAGTATATAAAAACTATGTATTTGGTGATTGTGCTTTGAGAATTATTTATATTTCTGATGCATCCAATAATTTGAGTGATGACAATAAAGTGCGCAATATATTTCTTTTATATATTGTTAGCTTTGTAGGACTTTAAGATATCTGCACATCCATTAAGCTATTATACCATTACATATATATATATATATATATATATATATATATATATATATAATTTGTGTAGTGATCATGCTAATAAATGTGTGTATATATGATTAGATATACATAGAACAGAGCAGAAATATTTTGGCAGAAACTTGATATTTTAATGCTGTCGTGCTTTCAATATTTGGCAGTAATTGAGCTATTATACACACATATATACACACACATATATATATATATATATATATATATATAATTACATGTATGTATGTATTTGTCTACAGCCATGTAGTAATATTTCATGCTTATATCTCAAAACGTAATTTAAATCAGAACATTTTTTAATTTTAAAGTAAAATGTGCTCAAATAATTTTTAAAAAATAATTCTTGTAAAATATATACCAGATTAACAACTTTATCAATCAAGTGAAGAAGTAAAATACATTTTTTTAATATAAGAGATGCCCAATCTAAACTGAATTTAAAATGTTAAATAATACATCCATTTTTAAATTTTATCTACGACACTGAATTTTTGTAGTATTGTGCTACACCTTTACTCCTGCACTTTAGCATCCTGCAAATTAAATTAAAGTTGAAAATTATCTAACTATTTTTTTATTTCGAAAATTTTAAAAATTAACAATAGTAATATTTTCATTCATTATATTACGGTTCAATGTTTGTTATTTTGTTTTTTATTTTAAGATTTTCAACAAAATTTTAAAAGCTTATGAATAAATTGAAAAATTATATTAATCTTTTTCCTTAGTAAATAAACTTATAGAAAACAAAGTTTTAAAGTTTTGCAAATTTTGAACAAAAAACAACAAATTTGATTAAATCACTCTTACTTGTAATATGAAAAATTATAGTAGATATTTAAGTTTATCATTTTTTTTTCAGAATACTTTGCTTTTACTACAAATATGTACGTAAATTGATACCTTGCATATTTCATATTCTTATTTGTCTTTCCACAAATATTGCAATCTGTGTATCTATTGAAGACATTTAGTGATGATTGCCAAAATTCTTTGTAGTTGATCATACATTTATATACATACTCCAAATTAATATTATTGATTAAAATTTGTCAGAAATGTTCGAAAAGGCTATTTTCATTTGAAAACATATATATTTACAAAACATATATATCACAACTATTTGATACAGGTTGAACACAACGCGGTTTGAACCCTGAACCTTGAGGTGGCAAGTCCCAAGATTCTACTACTGTGCTACTGCACCTTTAGTATCCTACATATTAAATTCGAGTTAAAAAATATATATTTTAATAAAAAGTGATAACAACCCCTGCTTTAAATATCGTGACTAAAATAAAATCTTACCGTTTTCCTTTTTGCATATAAATAAAGCACATATGATCGTATTGAGATATTTGGTTTCAGTTGCGATATTTAATATATTCCACTGAATATGTAAAAAAATCAGATTTAAAACAACAGAGGGAAATAATAAACTCAATATAAATAAATGAAAAGTAAACAAATACAAATTCCATATATGATTAAAACACCACATATGGTTTTATTGTTTACTTTAGTATATTTTGAATAACATGTGAAACATTATAATGGACTAATTGTACTATTTGTTTATATAACTCAAATTGATATTATAGCGTATTTTTTTAATTTTAGGGCACTGTATGATTATTTATAGTTAGTATTAAAGTAGAATAGGAAAAAATAAAATATAATGATTAGTCTAAAAGTCAAATATATAAAAAAATTCAACATAATAATTTATTTTATTAAAAGTTACCTCTTCATCAATTTAACGGTTTCAACCCAAATAGTATTTAGCGTTAGAATTCCGAATATAACATGAAAAACTAGTGCTGCATGACATCGTGCCTTAAAACAAATTGCTGCCGCAAATTAAAAAAAACTTTGAAATTGTATTGAAAGTGTTTGAAAATAGAGAAATTTTGGAAAAAATAAAAATTTTCTTCCTGACGATATAACTCCAGAACGCACGAACCGATTTCGAGGATTTTACATTCGTTGGAAAGCTATCGGATTCCGTAAGGTTTATAGCAAAGAAAATTAAAGAAAAATTTCAACAGAAAGACGAAGAACTTTTTTTGTTTTTTCACATACAGCGTCATCTCTGATACTTAGCATGTACTACAAACTAATATTTTTTGTTAGACTGCTACTCATTGTTCTCTGTTCAGTTAATTTCATGTGACAAACCGGCATTGTGTTCACTGTGAAATTGTGCAAAAAAAGTAAAAAAAAAAGTTATTAGTTTTCTAACATTTCAATTGGAAACCATCAAATCAATCACGTGTATTGTGCAAATTTTTATTCAATTTCAACAGCAGGCAATTTTTTTCTTTATTTTTTAATCACCAAACGAAATGTTACATAAAATGAAACCATCTGGTGGTAAAACGGAGTTCGCGCGGTTTGCTAGTATATATATATATATATATATATATAATATTTCTTTTAAATTCTTCGTTAATTAGTACATTGCTATTCTTAATTGAGTTATTATTTATAGGCTTCAAACCGTTGGCATCAATTTTCGTGGTATTCAAATCATTTGTAATGATTCTGGCAACTCTTTGTTCAGATTTAAATTGGATTCGGACGCAATATGTATCTTTCTTAATTTACTTCATAAAATAATTCAATATAATATTATTTTATTTAAAAACATTTATAATCAAAATAATAACTGCAAAAAAAGAAATAAAATAGATTAAGTTCATTCCCCTGAAGCCAAATTGAGTAATTGATTTTGTTGTAAGGAAATATGATTCTATATGTTTTCATGTATGAAATATCGCATATAGAATATGAGTGGAATTTTTTCATCCCTTCATGTATATATTGCAAAAAAAATGTAATGCCATTCCTAATGCAAAATGTTTCATTGTGAAAAGAAACAAAAGAAGCCAAATTAGACAAAATTATTAATCACATGTAATTGTAATGGTATTTAATTTTAGGGGATATTTATCCTTACTTACATCAGTGTTTCAATTATAAGCATAAACATTAATTTTAAGATACTTACATAAACATTATAAAAAAATATATAAGGATGTAAAATGCAGACAAACAGGTAAATATTACGATTTCATTTACAAACTTTTCATAGATAGTTATATTACAGGCTACTGCATAATATATGAATATAATTTACTAGATTAAAAAAATACGAGTATCTAGAAATACGACAATATACTCACAAGATCTTATTAAGTCGTTGCAGGCTAATTACTCATTTATCTCATTCAGTTAATGGAATAAAATTGATCGCGTGTCTAGACCTGATTAAACTATAACAATATAATTATAATTATATATAAGGCTACGTGTGCTTGTGTTTTATAAATATACATATGTATGTGGTTTCTTTCAAAGAAATAGCTTCAACATTCCAACCTATCTGCAGATAATTTAATTTAGAAACTAGTGGTGCATGGAATCGTGCCTTAAGGCAAATTGGTGGAATTTCCTGTACTGTAATTTTAAATGTTTAAAAGCTTTAACATTTTATAATTTTTTTAAAATATTTTCAAAACAATCGCGGTGCGTAGATGTACAGAGTAGAAATATCGAAGCGCGTAAGCGCCGCGTCTAAGGGTTAAACATTATAAATTTTGGTACTGAATTCATAAATATAAAATTGGTATTTCTTATTAAATTCTCTATAGAATATCTGAAAATTTGATGTGCATATGCCTAATGATCATTTTTGGCCAGATGGCATTTTTTTAACTTTTTATTATTGGATCTTCAAAATCACTGGAACTTCCCAAAATTTTAAACATATTTTTATTCTGTTAATACAAGTCAAGTGTTTTTAGAATAATACAAATAGAATGCTTAGTACTCTCAAAAACTGAAGTTTTATGCTCCATATTTTTGAAACGACTGGACCTGCCTTTTCCAAATATTAATCAACAAACACGTCTTCCCATCAATAGGAATCGAAAGTGTTTTGAACCATTCAAATCAGTTGATTCATGCTCTCGAAATTGTGGATGAAAAATTGTATCCGAACATATATAAATACATACTACACACACACACACATACACACATACATCCATTTTTTCGGTCTAAAGGTCTAAACTTAATTGCGTATACAAATCTCCCATTGAGCTTTAGATTACTACTATAAATACTATTAAATAATTATAAATTAAACACTAGTTAAGTATAATATTTACTCAATGCGGCCTTCGTTTATGAGATCTGAAGGTTAAATATCAAGATCAATCAATTTCATTCCCAGGAAAGATATGGATTCTATATTTAATTTAAAAGTAATCTATACAATTTCCTAATCTACTTAATTAATAGACTTCAGAGCAAGACCTTGTTAAACTAATTATACAAATAAATTCAAGGTCGTCTTAGAAAACACGCGATTGAATAGGAATATAATAATCGAAAACCAATTAAGCTTGAATTAAGTCATTACTTTTATGATACTAATTCAAATCCCAAGACATTTTAAAATTGTATTCCTAGAAATGAACTATAAATCAGCAACTATTATTATAATCTGGATTAACTTTAGTTAATAAATAACGTCAATACGACAGTAAGGTCAGGTGGAAGATCCAAAAGTCTGCTCAAGATTTTAATGTTGATTAAATATTTTGTGAGTATTCTTTTTTAAAGAAAATTTCAAAGTCATAAAATTATTAGGATTACGTACTTCATTGGTTCTCTGCCTGTAGGCAGGTCATTGATGAGACCACCAAATGATTTTATCATTTTTCGTTTCTTGCATATAATTTTTTATATGGGAGACTTCTAAGGGTAGTTTCCAAGGGTTGAACGATGGGCATGGGTGGTTTGGCCTTTCAAAGGTCATACATTTGGACGCGATTGGGGCACTCTAAATGGGCGGAAACGGAATTTTTCAAATATCAATCCTTATCTTTGAGTCGATTCACAGAGCATCAGAATTCATTTTAAAGTTATAGTTTCTTGAGCAAAGTATCTTATTTGGATCCCTAGTATCCGAAAATCATATGTGCCTAAGCGACTTTTAAATCGACAAGCCCTAATATATATATATATACATATATATATATATATATATATATATATATATATATTAGATGACCCAACAGACGTTGTCCTGTACCCACGTCTATAATTTTTTAATATCCTATACTAATAGTTACCATTTACCTAAAAATAATAATTATTGTTTTTTAAATTACTCTTTACACCAAAATTATATCGAAATTTGAAATTATATTGAAAAAAAAAACTAAATAGAAAATTTCATATCCGATTCTTGTATTGGAGCCCCCTAAGGCGTGCACTCGTATTTTTCGCATGCGTCGCATTCAAGGTAGGACCGGCCCTGATTATAACTTAATTTCATATTTTAAGTGAGTTAATTTGTCAAATCCTGTACATATATGTATCATTCAATCTGCCATACATATACTGTATCCTATATCATTTTAATTTCTAGCACATCTCAGATGCTTTTTGGCAGTAATAATGTACACATTTCATTTTTCTTATTCATAATCATGTATATATTATATACTAATATTGTTTTAGCTCATAAGTGAATTGAAACTTTTGGCAGATGACATTTTTCATTTGTTTTTAATCCCAAAAAATGCCTCAAATATTTTCAATGTTAAACAATTATACGCGGTTTTTTTGTAATTATTTCTATTTAGTTACACAATCTAACTATATTTCTATAATCACAACAATCCTAAAAAATTCCCTTAATAAACTTCAGAAAGGTTTATCAAAATCCAAATAATCGTTTAGGAGGAGTCTAAACGATTATTCGGATTTTGATAAATCTTTCTGAAAATCATTAAGGGAATTTTTTATAGTATGGAGGAGTATATTTACATACATCATGACAGAAGAATTTTGTATATAAGATATATAATATGTGTGTGTCTGTGTACATGTGTGTATTTAATTCCTTTCAAAATGTGGCTATAAGCTACAGTCGTAGGGAAGGTTGCAATAACTTGCAAAGCCCAGAATTATTATTCAAGTGTTTGTACAAGACACGCCTCGTGCTCTATGACTGTTCGAATTGCAAATAAATTGACTGGTTCACTCGTAACTTCGAGAAAACGCTTCCAATTATATCGAATCGATTATTAACAAAGCAAGTGATATATATTGTTGAGGGACGAAAATTATTAAGGTGGATAAAAATGGTTTTCACGTGCACTCATCCTACAACAAGAATTATTCTTCGAGAAAAGACAGATTCATTAAAACGTATTTATTTTCCATTCTTGATACTCGAAATTATTTTATTTTTGTTTTGAATTTTGCGCTTTTATTTGCTATGTTTTGCTTGCATCTTTTTTCTCTTCTTGGCTGTTTTTTTTTCTGGTTTAAACTGCTAATTAATGACACGTGCAATGGCACAGTTGATTTACAATGATATGGAATAATTTCATATACTATTTTTTATTTTGAAGAATTTGATATTAATATTTTTAATAATATGTAGGGTTAAAAAATAATACGGAGTTTAATAATACGGAGGTTAAAGTTCCGCAAGTAAAAAGTTACACCGATAACTTAACAGTAGAGTTATTAATTTTTTAACAACAATATTTTAAAGTAGAGGGAAAAGGATGTATAAGCAGCCATCGCCTTGATTTTTCCAACGTCGCCATCGAGAGATAAACAGCAATGTTTATTCATAACAAAATTATTTCCGTTTCTTGTTCGTTTTTTTGGTTGTGAGCACTGTTGTTTAGTTTACGAGATCTTAATATAATTTTTAGGTATACGTTATTTATTTGGTTTATAAGATGTATTGTTAATTTTATGTTAGACATAACTGTTTTCTATGTCCACTCTTTAAAAGCTTACACGTGGGTGGGGTAAAAAAGACCAACTGAACATTTACCCTGGCAAAGGTGTAAACAATAAAAAATAGTAAATAAAAATGTAAATTAAGTTAGAAGCATCAATTGCACAAGAAAAAAATTACATAAATAGTTATTGCAAATCTGCTGATTATTTCTAGTTTAACACCAGATCAAGGTTATATACAGAGCTATATCTGTAAAAAATGTACCCATGAAGTTCATATTTTGCATTAGTTGAATAATGTAGCTATTATTTTGTAAAATCCATTTAAAATTAAAATAAGACATTGGACCTGTTTGCCCCCTGGCCGCTCCAAATTACCCCGCCTATGGGGTAAAAGAACCAGGTTACAAATTTTTGAAAAAGAGCACAAAAACCTTTATAATGATGAAGTAGCTGGAAGTTTTACTGAACGTAGTCAGATGATTGTTCGGTTAATGTGTTATTTGTGGTGATAACTGGTTTGGTTTCTACAATATAATAGCTCAAAGTCAAACTGAACTTTTATATTAAATAAAGAAAATAAAAAATTAAATAAAGAAAATATGAACACGAGATGATGACATATAGACCATTCTTTATATTACATTCTTTAGTCTTGTGGAATTTTAATATCTGCTATCTTATTATTAGATCTATGATTATTTAGCATGCATAACACCAACAGTCAAATATTATGATTAAATATTTAAAAATAATTTGTGAATATTATTATACTGACCTTCATGGGCGTGTACAGCAACATCCAGCCAATATATCAAATCACAAAAATAGTCCATCGTAAACCAAAATGCAGGTATCTTATTATTAATTTCCCAAAACACAGCCCGACCCACCACAAAAATAATATTGTACAATACTGCTAAAGACACCAGAGCCAGCCACTGAAAGGAAAATTAAACTTTTAAGTGATTATAAAATTCTTAGAACGTATGATCTGTTGATCAATAATTAAGAAAAATGTAACATCGAAAGTATATTTTATCATAATTTTTGTGTTAATATTCACACTGTGATATAGCAACGACGTAATTGATTCTAAAGAGCAAAACATTTTTACAACCAGAAGAAATTTGATAAAATTTGGTAAAATTTTGGAAAAGTGCATTGGCAGTGCGCCGAACCAGAACTTCTATCCTACAATTGTGGTGCCAAATATTGTACCACATTTTGAAATAACACAATTTGATATATCTTGCTATAAACTTCTAAATATAATTCATCATTCATCATCGTACTTATTGCTAGTTTTAAAAATAGACAAAGATAAAAAATGATAAAGTGGACCATTTATTGTCCTAAACAGATGATTTGAAAAAAAAAGCTAAATAATCATGTAACCTTTTCTACAAAAAAGTTTTTTCTACAAAACTTCTTTTCTACAAAAAAATTTAAAACTAGTTTATGCATTTGGGCCAGCGGTGGCGATATCACCAATTAGTCCCAGGTTCGCTGGTTCGATTACCGCTACCGCCAAGCCTGACATCAGGCAACTTTGATGTCAAATTTCCACTTGAGGTTATAGATCTCAAATTTAGCCTCAAGTGAATATCGCCTCTCGTTGGTATAGTTGCATATATAATAAAAATACTTCGAGTATAGATAATTAGTCATAACTGAATTGGACAACTACTGGGTTGCCATCCACTCAAGATTCATATAATAAGAAAAGTCAAAACAATTACTGAATGTCCTAAGTGTGACAGATTGTAATTAAAATAAAAACAATAAAAAAAGTATATGCATTTCATTCGTCAGCACCTCTTACTCTTTTCTAGTAATGAACAAAATGGTAGACCTTTCTGGTTCCAATTTTCGAAAAACAGAACAAGTATTATATCGGTAAAACTTTCAAAATTTTAAGGCAATGACATTTATTTGGTAATAGCAATATTGGTAATATTAGTACATGTTGCAAGAGAGTAAAATGTACTGTAGTGTCGACATAAAACTGAATTAAAAAAAGGGAAAGACTAAAATGTGGAATAAAAAGGTATAGGTGCAGATGATTTACGCCAAAAGAGAAAATAGAAGATTTAAAATCCAAGTCGCATGTGTGTGTTTTTATAGAGATTATAGAGTAAATAATAGTGATAGTAATTTTAATTTTCAAATAAGTTGAAGTATTCATATTCTATGATAGTAGTACGCCTAATGAGTGTTTACTCTTAGATACCGCCAAGTAGAAAGGTTAGATATCTGATTTCGGACACAAATGCAAAATTACGGTATATAATGTATACTTGAATTCTAACGGTGACCTGAACACATGGAATAATTTGCCCAAATTATGCGGGTGATTAAATTCTAACGTCGTCTTTTTTGCTGATATTATGCCTACTTCATATATATATATATATATATATATATATATATATATATACTTTTATATATTTATTTCCAGTGCCAATGTATTAGAATACTTCACACCCCATAAAGTATTGAAGTGGGATATTAAATTGAAGTGGTCTCAAGTGAATAAACATTTAGATGCATGAATTTATATATATATATATATATATATATATATATATATATATATACCAAATGTGTGTGTGTGTACCTATGCAAAACAGAAAAATAAAAGCTTTGCAGAAAAATGAGTCTGATGTAATAAGACCTCATTATCATTTCAATGAAATGATACAAATATAGGGTAAACGTAGTAAATAAGAACGATAACTGGCGATGATTTCAGATATAAACAAACGAAATATGGTGCATTAGACAATTTTCATTATAAACTAAATTTGATTTCTGTTTATATTTTAAAATAGCAGTATGCTGTTTCATAAGTAGTTATCAGATTAGTTGTTGATAATCACCAAGTGATTTTAATTAACCCTATGCTGGATTCTTAAAGTTTGAATTTATACTTATTAACTAAAAAAGCATTTTGTAATTCAATTATAATCAACTGCATGTTGTCAGTAAACTAATAAGAGCCTCAGTAAACTAATAAGAATAATTTTTAAAAATTTAAGAAGCGGGTAGAAAGGTGTATGGTAGTGAATTCAAACTTGATATTCAAGAATATGAGAAATATTTAGTCTACTTTTAACTTCCCGAAGGAGGAGTTTATGTTTTCATCAAAAAATCCGATCCGGTTCGACATTTCAAGCCATTCTGAACAACATACTAAAATTTTACGTTTCTACGGCAAGTACTTTAATTTGAAAAATTCATCAAAATTTGAAAAAATATTTTAGTCAAAATTTGTGTATAAAGTTGCTTTTGATTTAGGATAAGCCCAACATTATCAATTCATTAAAATTTAAAATTAAAATAATAAGCTACAATTTTAAGACATACAAGCACTTGTTTGTGCAGTATAATTAATATAATTACAGATAATTTAAATGTGTTTGATAAAATTCTGTTGGAAATTGCAATGTTGAGATGAAAATTTTATCTAAATCACAATTTCGGTTGATTAAATCAATTATCACGCATTTTGGGAATTTCGTGTAACTTGTCTTAAGGCTAACTTTCAACTAAGTAAATTTAAAGTAATATAAAATTTAAAAAATTAAATAATTGTGGAATGAGTACTCAGTAGCCCAATTCTGCTTCGAACGTCCTGACAGATGAATAAAATTATAGTGTATATGTGGAGCTAGACAATCTTCTCTAAATCCAGTTAATGTTTAACGCATTACAAGAACCTGCCTTCGAGCAAAACAATGATATACAGTTAATATATAAGCTGATTCCTCAATTAAGGAAATTAACTTGCCAGTTTGCAATTTAATTTTTACTTTACATTTTTAATTTACGATTAAAAACTGTCATACCATATTAATGCATTTTTTCTACCATGCAATCATTTTCCATTGCTAATCCCTGTACTAAAACTATCTCATCATTAATCATTTAAGTAAAATTAATTCAATTTACACCCACATCATATCCAAAATAGGTTGTCGCTTATAAAATGGATTATATATAATAATAATCCGATGATATAATTAATGTGTGAGTACATTTAACATGCAAGAACGACTTCAAGAAGGATTCAGAATTTAATAAGATTTCACCCCATCATCTGGGAAGAATTCATATGTTGATAAATCTCATTGGTATTTATTAACTCCTGGTTATATATGTTGGATTTTTAGCATTTTTAGAAATCCGTATTCTATGAATTTAAACGAAATTATAATTGAAAGTGAATGTTATAAACCCTTCTATAAACTCCTTACAGTATAACTACCTTTTGAATGTTGTCATTATAATCATTTTTTATGATTAATGAACAAAGACTTATATAAAATAATATCAATCTCTGAGAGAAAATATGTAATGAATAAAAAATAAACAAAATATTAAGTTACTTTTTCAGTGTGCATAAAGTATTGATATTGTTATTATTTTAGATAATTAGACTATGTGAATGATCTGATACTTCTGCAACACAAAATAGATATATTTTATAAATCATTACTTCCAAATAATAATCATAGTGAATTTTGTCATTAAAATTGTTTATGATTTTTAAACAAAAGCTTCTTCTTTTGCATAAAAATACTTAAGGCTGAGAGATTTTTTTTAAGTAGAATTAAATATCATGCATTCCATCAAAGGCATAAACAGTCGTTGAAATTCTAAAAAGTATAATTAAGTTCTACGTAGTGAAATAATATTGATTAATATTATTACCTGAAAGAAAAATCTTAATATCCCTCAGATATTCCACGTGCAAAGAAAATATTCAATTGTTATCGATTTTTTAAGTTTACTGGAAATTGTGATTTACGACAGCAAAGTTGATTATGGAGCCCATTGTTATTTGATTAACTCTGATCGAATTGAAAATAATGATAAAAATAAACAGATTAGGTATAAGTGGCATTTTGCCATAAGGCAAGGTGCATGGTGTGTAAATAATCGACTTAATATATAAGAATTGAGGGTTAGCAACATTTCAGATTATGAAAATTTTTTATTTTTATTTTAGAAAATAAAATTATTGTCCACCTGTCCACTCAAAAATGTGGAGCAAATTAACTCTAAAGAATAATAACTGTGCTATGACTTTTTGTATAAAACAAAAAAGTGTATTTAAAATATTGGTGTCCAATAAATATATTATTGATGTGTTGAATATTATGGTTTTTAATTAAACCCGACTAATTAATGAAACCGCATTAAAGTAAAAATATTAATGAAAGCGTTATAGTAAAATTGTGAAATTGATAATAATAAATATTCATAGGAAAAGCACTCTACAATGCGCATCTCAATAGATTAACTAACTTATTAAAAGAAAAGTTAGTGTTTTCGCTGAAAATCTGGCTGATTTACTACGTTTCAAAAATGTTTTCAAGTAAAAATAAATTTCACAACTGCTTGACATTGGGCTGTACGAAGTGAGGTAATGTACCTGGAAATTTTTATCTGAAGCCCATAGCCATAGCCCCATAGTTCTAACCACTAAGTCGTGAGGAAGCCCATATATTGGACTCTATTAGATATTACACACTACTTTTCATTTGAGCTCGCCTTGATAATAAATAATTTCTCATTATTTAATTAATAATATAAATAAAGCACCTACCCGATAATGTGAGTTCAAGGTGGTGTCTACTACCAAAGGATATCCGCAGATAACAGTTGCATCTTCATTATTTTGATTCTTGTTATCTTGAGAAAACCGGCTGGCTCTTCTCGATCTAGAAAACTTATCAAGGAACCAATCTGGAGCTTTGGCAGCACTTTTCACTGAACCCTTTGGTAAAATTCTCTCAGAAATGAACGTCCTAAATTCCTGGTACCATCGACTGGCGCGGGATTCTTCATTCTGAAAATATAAAACAACTCTTTATTCAACTAATAGACAAAAAGTAATTTTAAATAGAATACGAGTAAGTCTACAATTCAATATTACTCACAAATGCCTTCATGTGTAATATATTATATTAATAATTTATATTAAAATAAAAAAATATATTCCTGTATGCATATGTTCATAACGAAAGCGTTTGGGTGTTTTTTATTTCTTTATTATATTTTCAAGAACCGAAACTTTGAAAGCCTCTACAAAATGTTGTTAAACACTGGTCTGGATTAAAATTTCCATATACTTTCTATATGGTTTATATAGAAAGTATATGGAAATGTTACTTCAATAAATTAATTTTTGAAGTAAAACTTCTTTAGGCGCGACTAGGGTGTAAATCCGCAACGGAAGTGCGTTACGGCAGATAAGATAAAATAAGAGTCGAGTGCCAATGATTCGTCATTCGCTCTCGATGATATCATTTCTATACGGGTCGATTGTGATTAGTCGTCGCGTATGTGAATAGAGATCTGTCGTTGTATGCGTACCGGCATCAAAGTTGTATGCGTTCCAATATCAACAAAGAAATCGGCATAGATAAATAAACATTTTAAAGTCACATCGTAGTACAAAACTTGATTTAATGAAAAATGACGAATCAGAAGAATATTTTACCCTGTTCCTTGAAAATAATAAAACAAATTAAACATTTGTGCCGTGAACCAAACGGTACTACTGTAATGCCGTGAACTAAACGGTAATAATATACAAATTATTTCTATATTATTCGTGGTTTCTATAAATCTTTGAAGTTATTAAAATGGAAAATATTTTTTAGGCAAGACAGATATTACAGCTGTTGAAAGAATGAGATTATATCGCCAGCGAAAAAGTAAAAAATACAAGCAGTCAATGAATGTATGTTAATTTTAATTACATGAAATTCTTCAAACATAATTACATGATGAATAAAGTTGCAAAAACAATATTTGTTTAGGCATTGTTTACCATAATCCATAGAAGTAATTAATCAGCAATTACTTCATTTCTCTTATGAAGGTTCATTTCTAAATGCTAATTACAATGACAAACCGATCATGTCATATTTGAAGTATGACTTTAATTGCAGTATTGTTTTTAAATATTATACATATTTTTAATGCTGTTATAAATATATAATTTATAATTTATTATTATATAAATGTGCATATTACTAATAAACATTATTCAAAATTGTTATATGATGTATTTATTTTTACTTAAATGCTATCTTGTACAGTAGCAAATAATTTTTACTTCAATCGCGTGTGAACCTTACGCGCACTATTTTTTATTCTATTTATTTGAAAAACAATTAGAACTTAAAGGTTTTATAAGCTGTTGAAGTGTTGAAGATTTACTTAACTACTTTACATTTTCAGAAGGCAACCCAAACGGTTATCCTATCTTTATGAGTTGTATTTATTATTACATTTTCTGTAATAATGATTTATTGATGCATCAATGCCGAGGAAGGATTATTTTACATGGAATCATATTGTTATCTATATTTCCAAGTGAAAACCTATGTCACTACTGCTTGATATCAAGGCTTTCCGGGTCAGGTATCGAGTTTAAAACATCTGATTCGAAGCGCATAGCTCTAACCACTAAGTCATACGAAGCCCATGTGCAAATTTAAAAAAAAACTTATCCAAAATATCAATTACTTACATAATTAAACTATTAGCAAATCGATTAAACGATTCACAATATTCATATACCCATTTGCACGTACTAGCAGCTTAAAGAATATAATAAACAATTATCAATAAACATTCAATATATGGATAGATCACACACGTTATTTACAAACGGATCTTGAATAAATATTAATCTATTACAATTCGGTGTGGGCTAGTTGATAACTTTTCTTTCATATATGCTTTCATTTGATTATCTAATTTTGTTAGCCCGAATGATCTGATTTATCGCTTATGTGTATCAATCACTTTTATGAGATTTATATAAATCGGGAAGAAAAAGTATACTCTTATACCATTCTGTATACATATGCCCTAAGTCAAAAAAATGGATGGATGATTTTTTCACTTAGCAGACTTTTGTCGAAATATTGACTACTATACTGATGGTTAAAATAATTGATATTGACTTTGATGTAGGAAGTAGTTTTATTTGATATTATATATATATATATATATATATATATATATGATATCATATATATATATATATATACATGTATATTCAATGTAGTTGGTTTCAGATTTACAGCCACAATATAAAGATATTGAGAAAGACAAAAGACCATACGTTACAATATAAGGGACGTAAATAAAATAAACTGGTACTGCTTTAGTTACACTGCATAAACCCCAATCAGTTGGTGAATAAAATTATATTTATTAGTTTTGCCAAAGTTAATTATGTCAGCAAAGAAAATTCTTATTTTTTCAAGACTTTACCACTATATAAATTAAGGGCTCAAACTTTCTATAATCTACCAAACATTTTTGCGTGCTATATAAAAGTTATTAACAAATATAAATTACATTATAAGACGCCAAACTTTATATTTCAATGACATGTTACTGCTATGTTTTCTTATTTTATCATTTAACCTTTTCCACTCGCAAATTCCGAGATTTATATGAATTTTGCCGCCGGAGTGGCAGCATTCGAGTAAAAAGGGTTAAAGATTATTATCATTATCATTTTATTATACAGTAATTTTACACCTGTCCTCAAAGGGACAACAAGTAAAACTGTTGGATTAAAAAAAATGACGTAGAAAATATAAAATCTTCTGACTATTGTCAGAAATTTTGAAAATTGATATATGGTAAAGATTGTTAATGGCGTAAAATTTATTATTATTATATTGAAGCAATGGATGTATATTCCTATATAATTTAAGATTTTTCATTGTACTTTTACTTAGATACTCAACAAATGATTGATTTTGTATGATTTACTGTATTATAATATAAATTTTTGAACAGAAATCCGACATTGAACTTCTAAATAAATGATTATAACGATTTTACACAGTTATAAAAGTTATGAAATGCAACGTGCAATTTATAAGTTTAATATTCTGCACAATATAAGTTTAAATGGTATATAATTATTGATAATTTTCATCGTTCTTAAATATGAGTACAAATTCTAACTTGTGATAAAGATCCTTTCACACTTTCATTTGCTAATTGCAACAGTATTTTTTCAGTATTTATTTATGCAAAACAAAAACAAAAACCACAATTTATTATTAATCGATAACTAAATTTAAATGTAATTCTCGCAGTTATATTACGTAGTAGGCAAATTTTAATTCGATTTTTTTTTTAATTAATTTTTTAGATAGGTAATGTTATTCAGGTTTTGCTTTTTAAACTAAAAAGTTTAGTCTTTTGAATTAATTATTTTCGAAATGTAGGATCGTAGGATTGAAACAATCTATGTTATGCCTGAGCTGATTAATATGATCTGTTAGCATTGTTTTATACTGGTTTTTGTTTTTGGAATTGTATTTATGCTGTGATGTTCTTTTTGATCATATTAATCAGCTCAAGCATAACATAGATTTTTTAATCCCATGATCCCACATTCCGAAAATAATTTATTTAAAAGAAGATTTAGCGAGGAATGCCTAATATCATTACACAATGAGACAGCCATAAATAAGAGAACGAACAACAATTCGCTTTGCAACGACTATAAAATAATCCTTGACCATTATTAAAAATTCCATCAAATCTTATCGAAGCGTGTATTTTATTATTTTATTATTTGACGAAAAACATATGGTTACTGTCTTTTAATTACACTTTCACAAAAAATTCGTAAACACAATTCATTCAGTTTTTAGATGTCAATAACTTTGTAAACACTAGAATGTAACAAAAAATGGTCAAAAATCATTAGTTTTAGATGTTCCAATTATTAATAGCTTGTTTCATTATTGTGTAGCGTATTTTTGTGTAATTAATTTTCTGTAAGTATTTATATATGTCTATAAATTTATATCATTTTCTTTCTACATTTTTTATAAAATCTTTTAGTTGTTCTACCGATGAAGACCGAAACGTATGTTTCGTGTAAATTAAGTTTTTACAACTACTTTAGTTTTTTTACTTGGTGTTACTGCCCGAATCAAAATAACACACACACACACACACACACATATATATATATATATATACAGTGGTGTTGTGCTAATATTTTTTTTGCCGGAACGCTAAAATTTAAAATCCGGTTCAAAAAATTTGATATATTTCGATAAGACCTCACAAATGTAATATATTGACTTATTATATAATTAATTCTATTATATACAGCTAGTCTATACATTAAATTGTACAAGTATGAGGGAATCATTGAGTACATAATTTATATTCTTCAATGACATTAATCATATTTATTCTGGTATTATTTGTATTCATTAATACCTACAGGTATTTATTATGATATAAAAGAACTCAAGATTTATTACAATAAGACTTAACCTAATAATATGATAGATAACCTATTACCTATCATACTATATTATATTATATTATTGTATATCATCGATAGATATCTATTATCTATCATGCCGTGAGATACCTATACCGTCATTAACTTATTATATACCTACAGACCTTTTACTTCTTATAATACTAAGGTAAAAGACCCAGTTATTGACCCTGGCCCAGTTTCTGACCTTTTCAACTTTTTTTGGAATTAATTAAAAAACTATAAATTTAATGTGAAAATAAATTTTTTCTTAATTGACAGTAATTTATTCTATGCCTCATTAATGTCAATTAAAAAAATATAAAAAATATTAACTAAATAAAAAAAATTTTTTAAACCAAAAGTGACTGTGGAAGCCATTATTTAGCTTTAGTCTAAACAGTTTATGTAAGGAGCTACGACAATTGAGTTAGTGCACTAATTATGATGTAAGTACGAAAATCTAACTAAAAATATACAAATAAGTCAATAATTAATTAAAATTTATTTTAAAATATTTATAAAACATATTAAATTTAGTTTTATTACTGAAATTTGAGGGTCAATAACTAGGCTCAATTTTAAGTGTATGTCACAGTTGTTGACCCTGCAATTCTAACCTTCTAAAAGCTAGGTTATTTGTCGCATGTTTTTAGTCACTTGTTCATTAAATGTAAAAATAATAATATTTATTGTTATCTTATATTTTTTTTACTATTTTTCGTAGTAAAGTGATAAATTTACATTTAATATTCATTGGTATAAATGAAAGATTGTATTTAAATCTTGTAAATACATCTTTTAAGTGATAAAATTATTAATAAAAAAATGTCAGTTTTATCAACGCTTAAATTATGACTGTTTTAGTTTACTAATATTTTTATTATTATACAATTATACAATTACAATTAATTAAATGAAAATTAGAAGAAGAAAAAGAATTGAAAAAAGCTGAAAGGTCCAAAAATAAAGCCATCAAGGAGGCAGAAAAAATAATTAAAAAAGAAAAACTTGAAGAAAAAAAGAAACAAAAAGCTCTTAAAATAAAAAAAAAGTCCAATTAATTTAAATAATTAATTTTAATTTTATTGTTTGTGTAATATGTTATAACAAGACTTGAACTATTTATACGTCAAATTTTAACAAACTGTATATTTTTAGAATAAATATTTAATTTATTTATTTTAATAATAATTTCAGTTTATTTAAAATTAGTAAGCACTTCATAACCTAATCATGATTAAATTTGAGGGTCAGAAATTGGGCTACGGTCAGGGTCAGAAACTGCCACACGAAGAATTCTGAGGGTCAGAAACTGGAGCTCCTAATGTCAATTTTTAAAACGTCAATTTAAAATATAAATTTAGTTCAAATAATTTTTTTATGCACATTACTTTATTTTAAAAATCCTAAACTAATAGATAAAATTATAATTTTCTTCATTAAGTTAAGTTTTATATTAATTATTATAGTTTAACCTCCACCGTCACTCTAAAAAGGTCAGAAACTGGGCCCCTTACCTTACTGTCTAATTTATATATTCACCTATATTATATAGGTTTACCTTACGCCCTATGTATTATCTCTACCTATCTATTGCCTATACCGGGAATTGAACCCGGGACCTCAGCGTGGAAGTCGCGCACCTTAACCACTACCCTATCTTGTTTTATTTTTCGACTTGTGGCTGCAAAACTGTATCATATATATATATATATATATATATATATATATATATATATATACATATATTGATGAGTTATTTAGAATCGGGCAGTAACACCAAGCAAAAAAAACTGAAGTATTTTTTTAAATACTTTATTTATCCATACGTTTCGGTCTTCATCGAGACCGTCATTCAGTGGAAAAACTAAAAGATTTTATATGATGTAGGAGGAAAATAATATAAAGTTATAGAACTTATATATAAATACTTACAGAAAATTAATTATACAAAAATACACTACACTATTACACTGTGATAAACCAAGCTATTAATAACTGGAACATGTATATTAAATTATATATATATATATATATATATACGTATATATATATATATATAAATATTATAAATAAATTATAAAGTGAATTTTTAGATGAATAAGTAGCTTTAGAACTTATCATTACTAAAATCTCACCTGTATATTTTGGTTGGGTGTATCCGAAATTGCCTCTCCGTCCATGCACAATGCCGTACTATTTGTAGATTTATCAGGATGACTTGAATTAAGTGAAGACGGTTGGAGATGATTACTAACTTGGCTTAAATTCATTTGGGACGTAGAGAGTTCAATCGTAGAAACCGAGGACCTGATATTCGCTGTAATAATAACTTGTAATAAGTGTCAACTTATAATAAGCCATAGATTTCTGAATCCATTATCTTGAACAGCTTCTCTTTTACCTGGAGGAGTATACATAAATCCTCCATGAGGTTTGGCCGCAACGCCGGTGACGCCTCCATTTGAATTGGCGACCTCATCGGCTCGGCTGCCAATAATGACGCCGCTTCCGGCGCGTGACGCCACGTAACCGTCCCTGGTATGTGACGCCGCTTGACCGTCACCTCGCATGGCGTCACCGCGGGGTCTGGCCATCAGGTATCGCCACATTTGAACGCATTTCAAGACTTTTAATCTGCAAATTAAGAAGGGTTTAATATTAATTGTTGTTATGCGTTTTCTTTGCTGTTATAAGTATTTCACCAGCAGGTTGGATGCATTTCAATATAAAATCTAGGTTGTAAGTAGAGCGCTTTACATACCCTGGGTAAATCTACATTGTTTTTTTTTAACCACCGATCTCAAAATTTATTTACTAATTGAGCGTGTTATAATATTTAAAACTAATTATTATAACTTCCTGCATTACAAATAAATATTAGATGAATAAATTTTTATAACAGTGATTTCCAACCTCTTAAGGCAGTCCGACGCTGCTGTTGGAGTACATGCAGTTGCTTCGAATCCTTCGAAATACTAAAAGTCGAATTCGTATAAAAAAGTGAAAAAATAAATAACTCTTTTTTATGTATTTTTTGCTATTTGTCAGTAACATTTATAAAATTAAATTATTAGATAAATTAGGGATTGTAACCAAATTTTTATCTAAAATCAGATTTAATTTTGCGATTTAAACCGCCAAATCGATTACTATAAAAATAAAAATAATAAAAGTTGCCCTTTTGTTTTTAGTTTTTTTTTTATTATATTAGCTCTAGTAGATACGCTACTGGGGGTATCTACTAATTTGTAAACAACTTGTCAACATTCTGTGCTAAATATAATTATATATACAGACTGCAGAATAAAATTAAAATTAAAAAAAATAAAAAATAGATGCATTTGACAAATTAATTATATCTTGTTAAAATTTAACAGTTAAATAATCATTGATTTGTTTATTTTTAATAGTTTAAAAAAATAAAATCGTTTCTGTCGAAAGAAAAAAAATGTTAGCTATTATAGATAGTGTGTAAAAATTGAGCATTCAGCATTTTGTTTGGAATTTATTTACTGTAATAATTATTTAAATTAAAATATTTGATAATTCAATATCAGCCAATTTACCTAACAAAAATCTTTTATAACATAAAAATGAACTATAAATACTATATTTTTATCTACGCATTTTATAATCTGCACGAATGCATCTCTCAAATATAGAAAATATGATTGCAGAATAAATTGAACTTTTGTCTCATATATTATTTGCTAGATTTTTACATGTTCGACTTTAAAATTCATGGATTTATTTTTGCCTGTCAAGTCATTGGAAATCAGTTATTGGGGGTAAAACAGATATGGCAGATACAGTCAGTAAAAAGTCAGTATATATATATATATATATATATATATATATATATATATATATAATATACATTACATTATATATAATGTTTTTTCAGATTTTTTATACCTATTGTACTTTGCCATATTTCCTTAAAAGCAGTACTCAAAAGTTTTATGATTTCGTATAGTAAAAGTTTATGTGTACAATAATGAAATAATATTATTACTTCTGCATTTATTCGTAGTTATCTTATTATAGCACGGAATTAACATTCTGATAAAATGTTATTTTCAGATCAGGATTCGATAGGGCACTTAGTTTCGCAATCAGGCGGGTCGCAGGTTCAATCCCCGTCACGAATAAGCCTGGTATGGAGCAGTAGCGATATCAATTTTTACTTGGAAATATTGATCTTAAATATGTTTCTAAGTGAAACTGGCTCCTCCTCCCAGAGGCCAAATTGAATAATAGTCAGCCCAATTTGACAAATTTGAATGATAAAGTAATCAAATATGAATGTATTACCATCGTTGGGTTGGCATCTAAAAATACGTCGTGAGGAAAAGTTCTACCCAATAGCTTATAAGACGTAAGGTTCTGATTGATATTAAAATATGATCAAAAATGATTTCATTTAAAAATTTAGTAAGTTAGCTTATGATGATATAGGGCACAACATATCCAGTATCCAGGGCCTATTAGAAATATTTATTTTGATAGTTTTCTTTAATTGCGTACTAAACTTCAGTAAACAACATACATTAAATACTTTGAAAAATAAAATGATGTAATTAATTAATAATTAAGCACTATACTTCTTATATAACATAGCTATGAATCGATACAATAATACAAATTTTACATTCATTTACTTTAAAAAAATTCTTTTTAATTCTTTTTTCTAAGAATTTACTTTATTCTAGATCGATTGGATTTACCAAACATTTATCAACAATTTGGGAACCAGATTCATTTAATCAGGGTGAATTGTAAGTGAATTTTTAAATACATTTAAATATAAGTAGTGGTGATATATGTGAAACATATATGTACATTTTTGTGCAGATTTTGAAATATATGTTGACAAAAATTTTTACAAATTGATGTAAAATTATATTATATTATACAACAAAATCATATAATAAAATTGAATAAATAATATTAGATATTTTCAAATATCCTTGAAACCGTTTCTAAAATTAAATTATATGAAAATATAAACAATATTTAAAAAAAATTAATATTAGTATTTTGGTAAAATAAAAAATTCGTCTTTGAGCTTATGAAATATGTTTACATTATTATTAGGCAGAGGATAAAAAATGTTTCAGCTACTATAGAAAGAAATAAATGAAATAAAATGTTTGACAAACTTACCAAGTATTAGAACATGAAAATCATAACATCTACTAAAATCTTTTATAACTCAAGCTGTAACTATTTAGTGTATTCATTCATCATCTTTTATGTCATCGTTAATAAAATAAACTTGTGAATGAAATAATTAATTTATATCATAATATAAAATATATTATTTGCGTTCAAGATTTAAGTATCATATCATAGTTTTTCTAATGTTTTACTTTACTAATTCATTTTTCATAACAGCTCTTTTTGTTCAGTGACAGATTTATAATATTTAGTGGTTATATAAAGCTCTTTAAATGATGAATAAAACCTTACATAACAGCGAATTATAGCGTATAAATTGTAAGCAATGTGTCATAAAGAAGTAAATCTTTTATTCTGACATATTTAGAATGTGTTATGGGGCTCATAAACAATATTATGTACAAATGAAAAGTGACTATCGAGATTCCGTATGTACTCGTATTCGTGATGTACTCGAAGAATTTATTGTATTAACAAAACATATAAAAACCACAAATCAATTAAGTTTTTGGCTAAGACAGGTCCAGTGATTTAAAAAGCATTTCACTTGAATGAAGAAATTATTACATTTTTGGGACGGCAGGTCATGCGGTTTCGGAGATCCAGAAAAAGTTTTAGAAACAGGCGATTTGCTGGGTCAAAATGATCATATGTGCATTAAATTATCAGATATTTTATAAAGATTTTAATAAAACGTACAATATTTGTTTTAATTTCCATGAGTTCTTCCGTGCCAAGATTTGAAATGTTCGTATATATAGTTCAATTATCTAAATTTCAAAATTTTAAAAACATTTTAAATTTTCAAAAAATAAAAAAATTGCAAAATTTTATTCTTAAAAGTCTTTTTTTTCTTAAAAGTCTGTTTTTCAAAACTTTAAAATTTCTCAAAAATACACTTTTTTAGTTTTCAAAAAGTTTCAAATTACAGTACGGGAAGAACTACTAAATTGCCTTAACGCACAATGCCATAACCACAATTTTTTTCATAAATTTCGAAAAAAAAACGTAAATGTAAATTGTTACAAATATATGAAAAAAATAATAAATTCTTAATACATTCAACACGACTTCGATACAATGAACCAATGTTTAAATATTAAATTATATATTAATATATTTTATATATATATATATATATATATATATATATATTATATATAATAAAATATTTATATTATTATTAATTATTTCGGTTATTTAATTATATATAAACTATTTAATTACCAATAAATTGTTGTCGGTAAACTTAATGATTTATATATATTTATATATAATAAAATATTTCATTGATTATTATATTAATATTATTCACTTTTTATTTTTTTTCTAGTAATTTATATTTATGTTGTTCAATTAGGTAATTATATTTATATATAAAATTTAATTATTCCGTAAAATAATCTTTTTAATTATATATTAATATATTTTATATATATATATATATATATATATATATATATATTATAATAAAATATTTATATTATTATTAATTATTCCGGACTTCGATACAATGAACCAATGTTTGAATATAAACTGTTTATACCACATATGCGTATGGATTGCCTGTGTAATTGCAATTTTTATTTTATACATTTTTTTGTAAGTTGAAATTTGAAATTCGTATTTGATGATGAACAGGTTGAGATAGTAATGACCTTATCCAAAGAGTTTGAAAAGTCCGTTAGTGTTTTATTTTTACTTAAATTTAATATGACATTCCTATACAATTGTTACAAATTTATGAAAAAAAATAATAAGTTCTTAATACATTCAACACGACTTCGATACAATGCCCCAACATTTCAATATAAACCATTTATACCACATGTGCGTACCACGTATAATATGATTGCAATTTTAATTTTTTTGTAAGCGGCTTTACTTATATATAATACAAATATTCAAACAATATTATTTAATGCTGATTTTAATGAATATTTTTATGTTTTATGAAATTTGCATATTAAAATTCATTTCATTTCTGAAAATATTAAGCAAACGTTGTCTCTAACACATATATTGTCCTTAAAAAAATAGATGTTATTTTTATTCCCCAAACTAATAGTATAAAAATACGTACAACAAGTAGCTTATGACCTTCGTATTTCTGATTGATTGAAAATGTCTTAAATGAAACCTTTTAACCCTTTAACTTACCATTTAGGTTCAAAAATTTTGGGCCAAAGTTGAACCAAGTTGGCGCAGCGTCCGTGACTATTTTCTTAAACAGTGTACAGTTTATCCCAAAAATAACTAGTTGATATTGGTATTTTGCCTTGAGGCAATTTTCTAAAAGCAAATTTTCAAAAATCAACATTTTTTATAATTGAACCAGTTTCCGCAGGACTTTCGTAGTTATTCCAAGTAAATCGTCTAAATTAAATTTTAACAAACGTTAAATGATGAATTTTTAAAATTAAATTACTTGTCGTAAGGCCGCAATATTTCAGTAAGTTCTATAAGACCATGATATATATCGCCAAAAAAATACATAAAAATCGCCTCAAATTTTTTTTTCAACAACGAATTACAAGAAAACGGCTCGGTAGATTTTCATCTAAAACTAATCAGTATCATTCCCAACTAATATTTTCACCACACATTAAAAAATTTTCACTTTTCTGCTATTTACAAAGAAACGGCTTGGCTGATCGTCGCGCAAAATTGATAAACGCTAGTCCTCATCGAGATACATCGAATGGCGTTTAAATTTTTGAAATCTATCTAGCCGTATTTGAGGAAACGTCGATTTACGGCGAAAAATCACATACACACTCACACATACTTTTTCTAAATTTGTTTTCATTCGATTCAGAATGGCTTGAAACTTCGAGAAAACATAACATTAGCGAATCGGATTTTTTGATGAAAACATAAACTTCTCCTTCAGGAAGTTTAAAATAATTTTGTGTTTTATAGTTTCGTATAAATACATATTTTGTAATACTTGCAATTACCGCACCAGGCCATGGCCATAATGCGTAATATTTGCTTCTGGCCCGTAATATTTAGGTTTGGCCTAGCCATCGCATCGCTCGTCATTGTGAGTTAAGGGGTTAAACATCATATATGCCGTTTTAAGCATGTGCTTTTATATATTCAGAACCACTGAAATTTTTACTTGATTAGTCAAAGCGATTTTCAAACCCAATTTCACATTGTACACATATATATGTCAGCATTATAATACCCATCACCATTTGATATTTAAACTTAATCAATGCTTTGTATAATATTTGAATAAACGAATTTTTATAATTTTCTAAGCACACGCAAATATACCGCAATTTCTTTAAATTTTGGAAATAAAAATAAATTTTATTTTATTATCTATTAGTATTTTCTAAATATTAAGATTTGTTAAATATTATTTTTCAATTGGCTTAATATTAATATTATTACTCACATTTTAATCGTAATTATATAAAGATATAACAAAACTTGTCCAACCAACCCTTACACACCTACGGTTTCAAAGGAACTGAAGATAAACGTTATTTATTTTCCTTATATCCCCCCCTTCAGCATGAATTTGTCGGCACGTGATCGACCACGAGGCATGCGTCAAACAAAATTATATTAAACTTAAATTTATTGAATAATTATATCGATATCAAATTAAAAATCTTCTGTTAATTAATTATTGCCGATTATAATAATCGTAATTCTATTTTGCATTGCCTTTATTAAGCTATACATTTGCCGCTTACATTATAACGCCCAGAAGAAGTAGTTTTGTTTTTCCCAGAAAATTCGACTTGCTTGGTTTACGTTTGTTACTTAACGTTTCAGGTTATTCTTAATCGTTTGTGACCAAATTTGGAAGAAATATGTGTACATCTAAAAGAAGAATAAAACTAGCTGTAAGTGGAATTCTGTCTTAAGGCAATTAAGGCATCGTGCCTTAAGGCAAATTGCTGGAACTTCCCGTGCCAAAAAAATTTCACTTCGAAAAAATAAGATTTTTTAGAAATTTTAAATCGGACAAAAAATTACTTTTTTTTGAAAAAAAAAATTTTTTTTTTTAAAAATTTTTAAACAATTTTCATTTTGATATATTTTGGAAGATCTGAACTTTTTTTCAAAGCAATCGTACTGCTTTAACTGCATAGAGATGAAATATAGAAGCGCGTAAGCGCCGCGTCGCTGTCTAACGGAAAAACAATAGTACGGAACCCATAGGAATGTAAACAAAACTTATACTTATTGTTAAAATCTCAATAAAATATCTGATAATTTGATATGCATATGTCTAATGTCTAATGATTATTGTTGACCGCCAAATGTTATTTTTTTTTAGTTTTTTTTACTAGATCTCCGAAACCGCTAGACCTATTTTCATGAAAATTTGATCAAATCTTCATCTTGATAATGCAAGTAAAATGTTTTTGAATTATTCAAACCGGACGATCCGTTCTCTTAAAAACTGAGTTACCGTTTGTGGTCCTTTTTGCCCCATATCTTCGGAACGGACCTGCCTTTGACAAAAACTAATCAGCACGTCTCCTTATCAATACGAATCGAATGTTTTTTGAATTATTCAAATTGCTTCATCCCGGTTCCCGAAATCGTCGACGAAAATTTGTATCTGAACACACACACATGCACGCACACACATACACACACATACATCAATTTTCTCTAAGGTATGCCAATATATTCAGAAACCTTTGAAACGTAAAGATATATAAAAATTTTCATTTTCGATTTTTGTGCGATTACTATAACTTACCCTACGGAAAGTTAATTATAAATAAATCAATTTATCATCTCCAGAACATTAACAATTCGAATCAAATTTCAAAAAAAAAAATAGTTGCCAAATTTCCACAAAATTGAAAAAGTGCCCCCGCATAGTCACAGTCTAAACGCATTTGCAAATAATTCTGTACGACATTTTCACTTATACTGTGCTTAGCTTGGCGACATTTTCACATTTTTCAATAATTTTCACAAAATTGAAAAAGTGCCCCAGTACATAAACAGTCTAAACGCACTTGGGTAAACATTTGTACCAGAGTGGCGCTTAGACTGTGCTTAGCTTGGGTGATTTTTTGAATTTTTAATCCAAAATTACAAAAAAAAATTTTTGTAAAAAAAATTAGAAACAAAAAATTTTTTTTTCCAAAATCAATTATTTTGTTGAAACAAGCAGAAAGTTCTTTAGGTAATTTAAATCGGACACTTAGTTCTCTCAAAAACTGCCATTTTTTTAACATTTAGCTCTGTATTTCCGGAACCGCTGGGCCAACCTTTGCCAAAAACTAACCAGCTCATCTCCCTATCAATAGGAATCGAATGTTTTTTAAACCATTCAAATCGGTTGATCCGTTCCCTCAAAAACTCGCTTTCTATTTTCTGCACTCTTTGCTCCATATCTCCGTAACGGCTGGACCTGCCTTTGCCAAAAACTAATCAGCACATCTCCCTATCAATAGGAATCGAATGTTTTTTAAACCGATCAACCGATTTGAATGTTTTTTAAACCATTCAAATCGGTTGATCCGTGCGCCCGAAAACGTGGACGAAAAAAAGCGGACATACAAAACACACACACACACACACACACACACATCCATTTTTTCTGAAGTATGCCAAAATGTTCAAAAACCTTCAAAACGTCGAGAAATGTAAAAATTTTTGATTTCGATTTTTGGACGATTACTATAACTTACCCTACGGGAAGTTAATAAGAGTAAGAGTATAATATAAGTATAATAAGAGTATGTGCATAGATAAATAAACATAACAAGCGCGTGTTAATGTGAACCAAAATTGAGTCCTCAAAACGGCCGAATAATTATTCCAGACGATTAAAAAAAATCCTAAATCGATTTTGAAAATTTAAAAGCCATTCGAATATCAGTTGGAAATCGCACTGATTAGTTTTTCTTAAACATCGACCGGGCCGTAATTCGTAATTGTTAATGTTTTTGTTAATATAAAAGTAATAATAAACTAGTGGTGCATGGCATCGTGCCTCAAGGCAAATTGCTGGAACTTTCCGTTCTAAAAATTGAATTATTAATAAAACTTTGCAAAACTTTGAAAAAATTATATTTTGGAGAAATTTAGATTTTTTTTTTAAATTTGACTTTTTTGAAAAATTTTTTTTGTATTTCAATTTACATATTTTGAAAATTTTGAACATTTTTTGAGCAATCACACTGCAGAGCTGATTTGGAACTTGTAAACATTGGTACAGAACCAATATAAGTGTACACAAAATTTGTACTTATTATTACAAATAAAATGTCTGATAATACGATGTGCATTTGTCTAATGTTCAGTTTTGACCGCCAAATAGTATTATTTTTCACTTTTTTCTATTGGATCTCCGGAGACGCTGGACCTGCCTAAATTTCACCAGTTGTTCATTTCGTCAATACAAGTAAAATGTTTTTTGAATTATTTAAATCGGGCACTCCATTATTTCGAAAATTGAAATACCATTTTGGGCACTTTTTGCCCCGTATCTCCAAAACGGCTAAACCTGCCTTTGTCAAAAACTAATCCTTATCAGTAGGAATCGAATGTTTTCTGAATTATTCGAATCAGTTAATCCGTGTACGCAAAATCGTTGACGAAAATTTGTATCTGCACACACGCACAAACACATCCATCTTTTCCATGATTTTTCCAAAAATTTTCATTTTCGATTTTTTGCAAACACTATAACTTATATTTTTTAAATCAGTACAGCCGTTTTTCGAGAAAACGTCGGCGAAAGGTCAAATTCGATACACATACTCAAACTTTTTCCAAATTTCTTCTCAAACGATTTATTCAAAGTGGGCAAAATAAAATTAGCAAGTCGTAATTTTAGGCGAAACAAACGTCTTCAGAAACTTACAAAAAACTACTCGATATCAATATATTCTACAACCGCAAACAAAAGAAAGTAAATGAATAGCATAATAAAACATTTATTTTCTTATATATTCTTTCATAAAAAGTACATTATTGGTCAAATACTAATGCATATAAAATTAAATCTGGCGCCCTTGAAGCCTCAATTAAAAATCTCCCTTCATAACTGTCTATGAATGGACAGAGCATCCCTAAACATATGGTCTCTAAGAGCCCAAAGTGCGTTAAGAACACTGCCATGAGCTCCCTCCCCATTTGCAAGCCAATGAGAAGGTAATCGAGATTCATCAGGAACCGGTTGCGTCTCTTGCGTTGCTTTTAGCGTTTTCTCCCAATTGCTAACATTACGGTTATCAGCCTGAAGTCCCTCAATATATCTTAAATGAGCAAAACTTGTTTTAGCAATACTATCTAAAATAATGTTATAGATATACAACTTTTGAATAACTGCACATTACATAAACAAAATTATTTTTGACAAACTTTTCTACAAAATATTGTCATCCATATAATAGTAACAATCATAAGTTCAGTGCAGCCGACATTTCAAGTTATTAACTATAAGGATGTATAAATATGGCACCAATATAGATAAAATAAGGACGAAAAATATTTAAAAGACAATTTTTTTGGTACTGTTCATATTAAATTGGAATATAGATAAAAATGAAAAGTATAATGAATTTGATAACGGATCTAACTAAATAAATGTTATACGAATTGTGCAAAATACTGAAAAACTAAAATGATCAGTACTGTTTGTCCGAAAAAGAAAAGTTCAATGGGTTAAGTCCTGTATCTAACTAAATAAATAATACATTTATTCGTTACCTAATGTACGCATCAGAATGTAAAACTCGTTGCGGTCTCGGAGGTACGCTGACAAAAAGTGGTTCCAACTGTTTATGCTGCACGGTTGCTGTAATTTTAAAAATAGTATTTCAAATAAAAGACTAATGAATAAATTTATAAAAATAATTACCTTGTACTGGTATTGTAGGACTTGGCTTGCCCCCTGCATTGACTAAAATAGTTAAAAGCGAAATATCAATAACAATTCAGTAATATAGAACATATTCAATACTAAAAACAATACAAATAAAATTCAAACCACACAAAAAAACTTGATTGCATAATTTTATTATAAACATATTGCATGCTTTATTGTCAAATTACTTACACGGCGGTACAATAGCCGGCGCTACGGCCAATTGTTGTTGGACTGCCACTACACGACGAGAAGGCACATAGTTTCTAGCAATAAGACAAATGCATAACTACTAATTAAAAAGCACACAACAAAAATTCATAGAGATAATCCGTAAAAAATAAAATAAATACAAAACACGTTCCTAAAAAAACTACAGAAGAAATCATTTGATTGCCAAAAAAAAAATTATTATGAGTTATTTTCCTAATATGAAACCAAACAAATATTATAAACTTCTTAAATTTAAAATTTTATAGAAAATATATTTTTATAATCACATTCAATCAAATGATTCCCATTTTCTCACAGTTGTAAATATAAACTTGAATAAAAACGTAAGAACAAACTCCTAAAAAATCCTAAATCCTACATATAAAAAAATACACAAAATATGCACGACATTCCAAAAAGATCAGTCAACATATACGGTATAAATCTATTAAAATACTACGAGTTTTATTATCACCAGAATCAGATGCCGATGTGACTGTTTCAATAGTCACTTCTGAAATGGAGGCAACTGGCTTAGCCGGCTGCGGAACCGTAATTCGTCGTGATGAAAACTTGAAATTCCTAATATTAAGAAATCGTTACAGCTATTTGTTTCAAATTAATAAAAAATGAATAACTAAACTCTGCTAAACATGAGTAATATCCTTATTTGAGAACGATGGAACTTTCAACTCAATAGTTGAAATTAATAGCTAATTTAATTCCAGGCTTAATAATTGTATATATAGAGATCGGCAAACAGGCTCAAAAAGATCAACAAGGAGCGTAAATTTAAGTAAATCATTTTCAAAGGCAAGGTATATTTAAATCTTTCTACTGCAATTTAATTTATTATATATTGCTTACTTGCTGCGGTCATGTGGTGCAAGTAAACGTCCATTTCCTTTGTTAATATGCACCTCGCGGACGTGTCTTTGCAATCGTTGCAAATGTGGAAACGGAGGAGCTTGCTTTTTTACTCTGATGCAATTACGCCATTGGCAATGATATTCTGCTTCACCTAATTTTATTAAAGTCATAGAAAGAATCAATGGGTGACATTTTGAATACATATACAATGCTTAAATATATAGAAAATACTTATGACTCCTAAAAACAAACTGATTTCAGTAATAAAATTTTTTGTTACTGAAAGTTAATAATTTTTTTTGTTTTATAAATATTCTTACCTGCTGGTAAGCCAGCAAAGTGCAAAGTAACATGTCCAGTACCGTCACCTAAGCAATGCTCAGAACAATCACTTAAATCCTCAAATTGGAAATCACACTTATCCCAACAGCATTCAAATACCTGTAGTAATATGTATACAAAATTAATGAAAATTATTTATAACACATTCGACTAACAACTCAATTTCACTAGTGGGTTGTATGGCATCGTGCCTTAAGGCAAATTGCTGGAACTTCCCGTACCGTAACGAAATGTTCGATGAAGTTTGAATATTTTCAAATAGATTATTATAAATGAATATTGTAACATTGTCTAATATTTATGTGAATTATATAAACTGAATTGCAAAGTTAAAATTATTTGTTTAAAGTATATTAAAACTTTATTCAGAATTAAAAATAAAATCTGATTTATTTTCGATATACAAAAATTATTTTGTTAAGACAAGCAGAAAGTTTTTTGAATCATTTAAATCGGACGCTTAGTTCTCTCAAAAACTGCCATTTTTTACAGATTTAGCTCCGTATCTTCGAAATGGCTGGGCCTGCCTTTGCCAAAAACTAATAAACACTTCTCCCAATCATTACTAATTGAATGTTTTTTAAATCATTCAAATCGGATGCTCTGTTCTCTCAAAAACTCGATTTCTATTTTCTGCACTCTTTGCTCTTTATCTCCGTAACTGCTAGATCTGCCTTTGCCAAAAACTAATCAGCTCATCTCCCTATCAATAGAAATCGAATGTTTTTTGAACCATCCAAATCGGTTGATCTGTGCGCCCGAAAACGTGACTGGAAATTTGTATCCATACATACATACACACACCCACACCCACACACACACACACATCAATTTTTTCTGAGGTATGCCAAAATGTTCAGAAACCTTCAAAACGTCGGAATGTAAAAAATTTCAATTTCGATTTTCGGCCCATTACAATAACTTACCCTACGGGAATTTAAAAATGAGGTTGAGTAATTAATTTAATGAATAAACACAATTGTTCACAATATTGATTACTTCAAAAACGTTTTTGTTCCTTACATTGGTTCTAGCATTTTCTGGTTGCCCAGATAATCCAGGACTAGGACAATTTTCACTTTCTGCAGCCAATCTTGCAGCAGTTTCTTTGTTACAACGATCGGCCTTTTCTTCCCAGGCTTGTTTCTCTGGTGTAGGCAACGATCTCCATTCATTGCCAACTATTCGAGAAATTTCACCAAAAGTACTATCTGGGTTAGCAGAAACAATCGATTTGCGCACTTCACTAGAATATAATATATATCCAGTGACAAGCTTCTTTCCACTCTTGCCCTAAAATTTATAGTAAATATGTTGGTTAAAACCACAAACAGTTGAAAATTTACACAATGGATTATAGAAAGTCAACAGAAATATACCAACAATTTATCAAATTTATAAAAAAACACTTTAAATTAACATCATCAAATATCAGTAAAACATATTCAAATTTATAAAATATTTTTTAGCAAAAATTAAATATATTAGTTATATACAATGAATCTAATTGCTTCATTCATTTCAGGACTTCAGATAACTATTCGTTTTGAAGGGTAAAAAAGAGACAACTAAAAATATAATAAATAAATATTAATTCTAACCTTCTTACTAGAAGCCGGTGTAGGTTGCATTGGTACTGGTGTAGCACACGGTGTAGGTGGATCACCAGAAGCGACTGAAGCAGGAGCGTCTAGAGAATCATCTTGCATCAAATCTGCATCACCTAGCCTACTTGGAATAGCAGAGACACAATGCTGGAAAAATATAATATATGTAAATACAGGAAATCCAAAATACAAGAAAAAACAAACTAAATCTTTTAAGTGTTTGTTGTTCAGGTGACAAATAATTATTCCATACTACTTAATTTAAATATAATTGTAGCTATTAAGATAATAAATGTTATAATATTCACCATATCCACATTTGCAGAAGGCTGAGCTTTGATAATATCAGCATGAAGTGCAGCAATTTCAGTTGCTCCAATCTGAAATACAATTTGAATTTAAATTTAATACCACTTAAAAATGTATATGCTGAGTATTTATACATATCACATTACATTTACAAATACATAAATAAACATTATACAGTGGCGTCGGAACCGTGTGAGCTGTGTGGGCTTGAGCCCACCCATGAATTTTGATGGGGGGGCTCAGCCCACCCATCAATCTCAAAAAATTATATGGGCTAATATCTCTAAAAAAAACGAGACCACTGGCTGCCTATCTAAAAAAAAAAAAAAAAACGAGCCCACCCATCAAAAATTTGGTTCCGACGCCACTGACATTATATATTACCTTTGGTGGACAAATAGTTTTAGGGAAGAAGTAAATTTCATCTGGAGTAACAGCATTGCTATGAATAAATTTTCTCAATCCCGGCACAGCAAGTTTACGAATTTGCCTCTTTACTTCATCATACACACTTTCAACAACATATACATCTGACTCGGGTATTTCAGTTAGCCTGCCTAAAATTGTTTTGAATAAAAATATACTCTCATAAATTGTTTTGAGCAAAATATGAAATAAAGTAAATTTATTTAAGTAGTTAATATACAACATACTGGTCACATAATCTTTTAGTTCCATAACTGCACAACGTCCTACTATTCCGACTAGTGGACTGCAATCATGCAGTGTAGATAGAAATACTTCTTGTGGGTAGAATAATCGAGATTGCGCATGTGGAACCTCAGGAGGCGGTACTAACCAGGGTCCACGAAAATAACACTTGCCACTATAATAAATAAAAAAGATAATTTCAAAAATACAAATAATTTCATTCATTGTATGGTGCTATTTTGAAATTACTCTTTTGTTTCCCAAATAGCATGTATTTGCGCAATAAGTTGTCGTCCACCATCACCAGCAACATAAACAAAGTCACCTGTCTTTACTACACCACTACATATTGTGTTATATTGTTCATAGTAAGTATTTCCTTCTTCACCAACAACATTTATAGCAATCACATTCTAAAACATTTAAATATTTAAGGTATATTATTCAATATATACATAATTGAAGAATTGAAGTAAAATAGAATAAAAAAAATTTACAGGTTTCTCCTTTTCTATAAGTTTTTCTTGTAATTGCAATTCAGCTAATTCACCCTTATGCTTTTCAACTCTCTCTTTGAAAATTGACATCACTCGTCGCGGTTCCAAAGGACTTTCTCTTGGCACTATATTTATAGAATCGTTTTGACATGGCCAAATTTTTATTTTTTTAAAGGCGCGTAACTTAGTTGAATATCGACATTCGCAAACATATACATCTTTATCAGCAAATCCTAAAAATAAAATTCAAATAAATTTGAATAATGAAATTACTTAAATTGAAGAATAATTTTACATTTACTAATATAAATTATACCTTCAGGTTTGTTTTTGAAATATTCCTTAACACTCATTACATAACATTTGCCTTGAAGCTGCGATAAGGGAACTGCCATGTGAACATCAGACTTGAAAAGTTCTTGTTCCAAAAATCTGGAGATAAAATTATAAATTTGTCGTATTAAATTATGTAACACATATATTAGCCAAACTAATTAAATAACAAAAATAGTAAGTAATTGGTAATAAAGAAAATATTGATTGAAATACTAGGTTCATTTAATGCAATAACAAAAAAAGCAAATATATTCAAAATTTTCGAATTACCTCCGCGTTGTAACATGATAGGTTTCATGGGGTCTGAAGAAACAATTACCATATAACATTTGTTGTCCTTCTGAATTGGTCCACAAACGTTCTATAAAAATCACTTTGTGGTCGACACCTAAAAATATACATATATTTTTTTTAATTAATATGAATGTGAAACATAATCTAACTAGCTGTAAGTGGAACTCTGTCTTGAGGCAATTATGGCATCGTGCCTTAAGGCAAATTGCTGGAACTTCCCGTACCGTAACGAAATGTTCGAGGAATACTGAATGTTTTCAAATAGATTATTATAAATATTGTAACATTGTCTAATATTTATAAGAATTATATAAACTGAATTGCAGAGTTGAAATTATTTGTTTAAAGTATATTGGAACTATAGTCAGAATTAAAAATAAAATCTGAATTATTTTCGATGTACAAAAAACTAAAAAAAAAAGAAATAAAAAAAAAAAGAAAATTGGAACAAATTTTTTTTTCCAAAATCAATTATTTTGTTAAGACAAGCAGAAAGTTCTTTGAATCAATTGAATCTGACGCTTAGTTCTCTCAAAAACTGTCATTTTTTACATATTTAGCTCCGTATCTTCAAAATGGCGGGGCCTGCCTTTGCCAAAAACTAATAAACACTTCTCTCTATCATTACTAATTGAATGTTTTTTAGATCATTCAAATTCGATTTCTATTTTCTGCACTCTTTGCTCGTTATCTCCGTACCTGCTGGACCTGCCTCTAACAAAAACTAGTCAGCTCTTTTCCTTATCAATAGGAATTGAATGTTTTTTAAACCATTCAAACCGGTTGATCCGTACGCCCATAAACGTGGGCGAAAATTTGTATCCATACATACATACATACACACACACACACACACACACACACATCCATTTTTTCTGAAGTATGCCAAAATGTTCAGAAACCTTCAAAACGTCGAGAAATGTAAAAAATTTTCAATTCCGATTTTCGGCCCATTACAATAACTTACCCTATGGGAAGTTTAAAAATAAACAAAGTTTTATTTATATATGCAAATAAAAACAAATAAGAATAGTTTACCAATTAATCAATAAAAATGAATCCTTATAAATGGAAATGCAATCATGTATATTATTGATTTAAATAAATGCATGTAAAATTATAATCGAGTCTTATATAGTTATTATATTTAAGTATTATTATAAAGAAGTATTATGCATTTTATTAAAATGCTATTTGATTGCCAATTATGTATTATCCATATCCATAAAAACAAAAATCCAATCTTTATCAAACCAAAGATTTGTCAAAAATTAATTATTCAAAAGTCAAAAATTATTTCCAAATGATAGCTTTCCAACAGTTTATACATTTTTGGCTAAAACGTGGACGAGAACGAGTGTTTATCAAGTTTTATAAAATCGCGGAAACAAACTTCCTTTGAAAATTAAAAATATTAATTTCATTTATATTTTATATGGTACACATACATAATATTTGAAATTAAGCAAAGAATAAAGTATTGTTATTTTTAATTTGATAAAATTACCTTTCTCCTCTGAATCAACATAGACAAATTCACCAACCCTGTATACTTTTTGATTGCATGTCATGCTTTCTCCTTTGGAAATAGCAACAGCTGCACTAGCATCACTCTCATCGAGTTCACTACTTCCCAGGGATTCTTCTTGGGCTGAAATCTCGCCGCGGATGTTTTCAACTGCTGCATTTAAATGTTGCAAGGTATATTGTAAAGCAGGTGAACTCAATATTGCCCCGTTTTTACAAAGCTAAACATAAGAAAATCAATATTGCAATGAGAAAAACTAAAATGGTCGTTACATGCATAATCTTAATTTGCTTTGTCTTGTTTAAATTCATGCTCTCTTGTAATGTTAGAATCTAAATTTTGAAAATGTAAGTCATAATTATTTTTTGTTGAATCAATGACTATTAAAAAAAATTATCTATCAATACTTACATCATCACGTTGTCTGATGAAAAAACTTTGCATTTCTACTGAATCCTCAAAAGCTTGACTGTCAGTACGAGATAATTTTCGAGCCCTTTCAAAACATGAAAAAACGTCTTCCTGGAATATATCTAATCGTCGATAAAGACCTCGGTCCAGACGCCTTTTTATCAGGTCCAGTGATATACCTCGAACCCTGAAACAAGTTTTGTTTAATTTATCTCTAATGAATACAGTATGGTAAAATTATAAATTGAAAAAATACTTTTGGCCATCAACTTCATCATATTCTGGTAATTCTGCTAATGAATCAGAATAGCATCTTCCTTCTTCATCCTGATATGTATAAGTGGAAGTAAATAATGTCAGTAGTATTGCTTGCACAGCCTGTACAACATCAGGAACAGATTGAGGTTCCTCACTGTAAAAATTGTGATAAAGGATTTCAATGAATAATATAAAAATATCTATTAAGAATTTTCAATGAATAATATAAAAAGTATTTATCAAAAGATAGACATTTTAGTATGTAACTTTAAATCCAAATAGTTTAAATTCCAGAGGAAAAAAGTTATCTACACAGAACTCAATTGCATAACGCAAACACACATTAATATATTTATATTTATCATATTATATTCAACAAGTACCTAAGTGTATGTTTTGTTTGAAGGCATATTCTTTGCAATTCAAGGGCATCTTTATAAATTTGAGAATCAGGTTCATTATATTTGCAAGCGTTATCAAACATTAACAAGAAATCAGCAGCTAATTCATCAACATTTTCATATGATACATTTTTCAGCTTCTGAGCTATTTTTTCCATATCAATTGGATTTTTAATTATATCATAGTAATCAGGGTAATCCTGAAAATGATAATTAGGAAATTATGATGAATATAAATTTATCCTAAGAATGATTTAGTATTTCTTACACTTTTTGATGGCAGTTTCATGAAAACGAGTGCTAGTTGCCTATTTGCCTTTGGTTCACGATAATCCCTGATAGAATCATATAATGTTCTTAATTTTGAGTCTGTTGGATTCAGCGGCTTTGTGCGTGGCCTACCTCTATTGAAAATAATCATTGTATAAATATGAATTATTAGTACATTTACAATAAATTAATTAAATGATTATATCAACATAAAACTTAAAAATTAGATAATTACGCTTTATTTGGAGTGCGCTTTTCATTTTTTTCTGGTTGACTTAATTCTTTTAATTTTTCATTCAATACTTTTTCTAAAGTATTAGCATCTTCATATATAACAGATCCCTCTTCATTATATCTTCGGCAATTGTTAAACATCATTCGTAGATCTCCAACCATGTCATCTACAGTTGCATACTTTTCACACTGAAAATAATGTAGATATGCAATAAATAATAAAATTATGTTCAAACAATAATTTACATTTAATAAATATAAAATATATACATTTAAATAATATTATTTAGCAAATCCTGGCATGTCTGTCTTTTGAGACGCTTGGCAAGAATAATGTAAATAAAATATGTATTGCTATAGGACATTACCTTAATATTATTGTCAATTGTTTGCATATCAATTGGCTGTTGTATTATTTGATAATAGTCAGGATACAATTTTTTAGAAGGCTTCTCCATGAACACAGTCATTGGTTGTCTTCCATCATCACCCTAAAAATATCAAATATATTTTTATTGAAATCTATTTAATTTAATTCATCAATATTTTATTTTAGTAGATATTTAGATATCATTATCATAATTCAAAATATTTATGAAAATAATATGTACCATTCAATAGGACTATAGAAAACAGTTTGTGTACTAAGTTTGCTAAATAAACTATTTAGAATGAAATAAAAAAAAAAAGTAACAGTAAGTTGTATACTCTACACATTGAAATTATACAAAAAATTCAGTATCTTATACTTTTTCAAAGAGCAAAACGTATTAGGTGCAAATATTAAAAATATTTACTATTAACTTACACTATATTCTACAAGACATTTCTGAAGAGCAAGTAGTTTCTTTTTCAACAGTGGATTATCTCTATATCTTCTTCCAGTAACTGGGGTTGTGACAACAGGGGGTACTAAATTGGTTGTTTGGGCAATTGGTGTTCGAACTTTAGTACGCTGTTTCTTCACAGATGCTAAACTTTTAGAATCAGTCGAGTCACAATCACTTTCAGAATCCTGATTTTGAAAAATGTAATATTTTAAACTATAATTATTAAATTTGAAATAAAGATAGCAAATTTACCTCAGCTTCATTTAGTTCTACACGCTTTGCGGATACCATCTTTTGCATCTTAGAAGCATCCTAAAATTCAAAATCGTTATAATATTGCATTACTATTTAGAAATGATATATGACCATACTTAATTAATCTGAATGACTTCTAAAAATGCATTCATATACATACTTTGTAAATTTTTGATGTGTGAACATTATACTTTTTAGCATTCTCAAACATTAAATTCAAATCTGCACACATCTTAGATACCGTGGCATATTCTCCACGTCTTAACCTGGCATGTATTTGATTTAATGAAATTGGTGTTTTTATTTGCTTGTAATAATCAGGATAATATTTACGAGATGGAAGCTTCCAAAATGCTTCTGCTAAAGGAATACCTAAACAAAAATTATTTTTAGTTTATAATAATAAATAAAATTAAATTCACTTTTTACCTGTTGTGTTGACAGCATTTCTCAGCATATCAAAGATTTGCCATTGAGGGGTATCTCCGCCATCAGTGTGACCGGAAGTATCTTCTTCTTCATCACTATCTAAATCTTCTTCTGTGAGAGCTGCAGTAATTGCGGACAAAGATTGTGAACTGCGAAACCTTTTATTCCGAATACGTTCACTTGATTTATTTGTGAGTGCTGGTTTATTATGTTCTACTTCAATTTTTTTGCTGGTAATAACCTTCAATAACAAATTATAAAAATGGATAATTATATATAAATTATAACAATTGATACAATCACAGAAGAAGCAACGCCTTATAATACAAATATCAGTGAATATATTAACCTTTTTTAACGCTTTTGCATCTTTGTATACTTGACTTCCTGGTTCATTAAACAAACAAGCATTTTTAGTCATCATTAACAAGTCTTTTTCCATATCATTAAGACTTGTGTATGAGTTATTTTGAATCTTAGTTGCAATCATACGTAAATCAATTGGACTTTCTATAACCTCATAATATTCAGGATACCTCTTTTTTGAGGGCAATATTTGAAAAATAGTATGAAGCAGCCTGCTGTTATTTTCTGGATCTGTGGCAGTCATTACCTGTGAAGAATGATACTCATAATATATAGTTTTAAAGATAAATTCATGTAAACAATATTTACTAAAACACTTACAGCAGTAAATAAATCTTCATATTGACTATAATCATCTTCTGGCCCTGTGGAAGTCTCAGATGCATCGTCTGTATCAACTGCTGACTTACGAGCTTGTCTTCCAACACGTAAAACTGTTTTCATTTTGTCGTCCACTAAAAATAACAAGTTTTACCAATCATAATAAAACAAATAGAAAAATATATTTACCATCTAGAATTTTTGATTTTTGATTTTGAAACAATTCCCATAAGGCATTTGCATCTTTGTGCTCTTCACTATCTGCAGGATAAAATGCTCGAGCATTGTTAACTAGCAATTCAAAATCACTGGCTAGTTCATCTACATCTTCATAAGAATCAGTTTTTAGTTTTTGCTGCACCTATTAAAATCATATATTAAATAAAATTAAATTTTACTGTGATGATCACTAAAGTATATGGTTATTCTAAAGTAGCAATCACACCTTGAGCAAATCAATAGGATTACTAACGACTTCATAATATCCAGGCTCTTGGCGTCTCTTTGGTGCTCTGATAAATGCATCACATAATGGGGTACCATCATCTTTTTTATGATTGCGTATTGAATCATACAATTGCTGACAGAGCTCACTCTGAAGTAAAGATAAAAAATAATTATTATTATGCTTGAGTTACATATAAAAAATAATAGAATCATTTTGTACAACAGTAAGAATACATTGAAAATATTGCTCCATATTAAAATTAACTTGAATTTAATGTCTGTATAATATGCAGAACATAATTGTAAATGAAATAATTCAAAATTATTTTTCACTGCATTCAACTTTACACAGCCAATCCAAGAATGTTTACATTTAAATTCAGGTTTTTTTTTTTTTTATTTTATTTTTATTTATTTATTTATTTGGTATAATTCATACATACTGTATCTCAGTCAGACAATTGTTCTGGTATGAGAGATCACAGCAATTATAACTAAATAAAATAAAATCTAAAATTTATGTAACAGACTTAAACATTAGGACATATATTTTTACTTATTACTATCATACACACATATATACACACACAGAACGCTTGCGTACATACATACATACTTATACTTAAATGTAATTTTACAAAAGTATTTAAAATAGGGATTTTAACTCATTTGTTTCATTTGTCTCTTACGTAATTTTTCAATTTAATTTTGAAACTGTTTAGGTCTGTCATTGTCTTTAGTTCGTCCGGTAGTTTATTGTAAAGGCTGCTTGCACTTCTCAAAGGACTAGCAAGTCCTTTACTCGATTTAGCATGTTTCATGTGAAAGTTTCGGTTTTGTCTTGTTTGATGGTCATGTATATCTTGGTTTGTCTCTATTGTGGTGCAAGTTTTGATTTTGTTATTTTTTATTTTGAATATTAGTATGCATTTTTCTATTTCTATTGTTTTGTGTAGTTGAGGTTATGATACTGAAATACTTTAAATTGTAAAAGATAGAGCATTGGTGGAAAGAATTATACTAACGGGATCAAGCTTCCTCCTTTTTCTGGACGATGACGGAGCCGGTGAAGGCTCAGGTGTAGATTCTTCAAAATAATCTTCCTCTTGTCCACGACTTGCTGCCGAACTAGCTCTTCGTCTTCTGCTCATTTCTAATTCTTTCTATTCAATGTATCAAACTTGCACTACTTTAGGCTATTAACAACACAAGAATGCTTTAAAATTAATATAAAACTTTAATTCAACATTATTTTACATTTCGAATCAGTTACAAAGGCGAAGGGACGCCATTTGTTGTTATTTTCATCTTTGCCAAGCTGTCTTGAATAGGTTATGAAGTTAATAAGCACTATTCGCGTGAGATGGCGATACTTTTTATTTAAAAATCACTATTTGCTTATCTTACGCATTGTTTTGTCATTTGTAAGTTGAAGGTTGTAGAAAACTGTAGCCTTAAAGCCTTAGACGATATAATAAATAATTGATTTTATTGTTTATTAATATATGCACTATATGTTTTCAAAGGATATGTATTATCTAGGTGTTCTACATCCTTTTTTTATTATAAGGTTACTAACCGACTATTAACGGTTTCTCGATGTGTTTATTATTTAATAATAAATTGCGCAACATGATGGGTTAAGCTAAGCTGTTATTAAGTACAATAAATTCATCAGTGGCGGATCCCTCTATACATAATTTAATTATGTGAACCCCCTGGCGCCAAAGCTGAATTCGCCACTGAAATTAATCATAGATAAAAGAAAAGTATAAATTAAATTAATCTTCAGATCGTAGAGTTCGTCCATTGTTTGTTTATTTGTTATGGTTGTCAAAGTAACTTAACCTATTTTCATTGATAAATTTACCGCCATTAATATGTTAAAAAGAATTACTTATTATTCAAGTTGAGTTATATGTTTGATTTATTTACAAAATAATGGACAAAGAAAAGATTGTCCTGAGTTTTAACGAATCTCTATTACGTATGTCAGACATAGAATTACTTAAGGGTCCATTTTGGCTGAACGACACATTGATATCTTTCTACTTAGAATATTTAGAGAAAGTAGCCTATGCTGGCGAAAATTATCTATTATTTGTCTCTCCAGAGGTGACACAATGCATTAAAATCATTTCAAACAATGAAGTTGATATATTTCTAGCGCCTCTGAAAGTTGAAAAGAGGCAGTTCATATTTTTTGTTGTTAATGACAACAATAGCGCAGCTATTGGAGGATCTCATTGGAGCCTTCTAGTATACTCTAGGCCAGAGACGTGTTTTTTCCATTTTGATTCTTCTCTTGGATGTAATAGAGCTCCTGCTTATAACATTGCCAGGGTCTTGGCTGAGTATTTAACTGCTAATCCAGGCCTTTTAGTTGAAGACGTGACCACCCTGCAGCAGGATAATGGATATGATTGTGGAGTCCATGTTTTATGTAATATTGATTTAGTTGCAGACCACATTTCAAAATATAATAAAGTTCGAGGCTGTGGAGTTTCTAGCAAAAAGGTTATAGATGGAAAGAGATATCAAATATTAAATGTTATTAAAGAACTAGGTGGAAATATTATCTGACTACTCAATTTAACCTTTTTTTATGTATATATTCATTTATAAGTGATGAAGACATTGTTCACTGATATGTTGATATTTCATTTAATATAAAGATATCTAAAGTAAAGAAAACGTTTTAATAAAGTATATTTCCCACAGTTTTTTTTTTACAATATCATATTTAAGTATTGAAATGCTATTGTACTTCCCTTTGAATTTTATTTGTGTTAGTGCAATCAAATTCAGTAAGCAATACATGGGGTATTGCACAATATTTATTGTTTTAAATTTTACGAATTATTATGAATTGGTTACTAAACTTGAATTTGCAGTAATACAAATAGGACTCAAATTAGACAACGATTAGGTGTGTGTTAGATTCAACAAATAGTTAATATGTCTATAAAAAATAATGTTTGTATCTTTAGACCTTTTTTTAATATATTTTAAATTAAAATTTATTAGCATTTGTAGAACTTTGTTTATTTATAATATGAGCTTTAAAATTGAAATGTGAATGCAACCAAATAGTTCGATCATCACATGTTCAATGAACACTCTTAGAATATTTTTATTATCATTAAAATTTGTTGCCTATGCCTGCAGCTTAGTTGGTTCAGTTTGTTTCTTTGTTCCTACATGAGCTACTAGGTTACTTAAAAAAAAGTTCAAACTCCTAACAATATTTTCTATATTACCTAATTTTAATATATAATCTAAGTGTATAATATCTTCTATTTTAGGTTTATATTCCTAAACCAGTCCAGCTTCATAATTGTTACTTTTCTCTTAAAATTTGTTTTCCTTATGTTTTTTATAGAATATGCCATAGATTTAGATAAATAATATTTGAGTTTGACTTTACATATTCTTATTAGTTTTTCTTTTACAAAAACTTCCCTTTGTATTATGTACATATTTATACATTGTATGTATATATATATATATATATATATATATATATATATATATATATTTATATAATTATACTTTATACAGGATTTTTGAAGTTCAAATTATATTTGTTTACTCGTAGTGACCAAATAATATCACAAGTATTTGTAATGATTCACTTCTTTTTCTTCAAAAAATACTTTATGGTTATTTTCAATTTCATAATAGCATTATTAATTTATGAATTCAATTGCAAAATCTAATATCTGGATTGATTTAAAACTCTAATATAACACTGTGAAAAGCCAGCGACTGATTTATATATGTTGTATTTTATTATTTGTATGTGTATCTACTAAAATGGTGATATCTATCTAATATAAATGCACTAATACCGTTTTGATAAATATAGGTTTAAAAATTTCTATTCATAATTTAAATATTATTTAAAAACAGAATATAATTTTACTGCTAAAGATATTCAATTATCTAATTACAAATAGTATTTAAAATCAGCATATATTCACTAAAGGTTTTCGCTCTAAACTTTTCACTAATGCTTTTGTACTTTTGATAGCAGATTTTTTATCTTTTTTCTCACCCAACTTGTAAAACTCTGTGCTATGTAATTGTCTTCTAAAATTTCTATAGAACTGCAATACATCTACATTAGCCCATACTTGCTTTGCATCGAAATCCAGAACACGTAAACTTTCTAAGCTTTGACATCTACTCAAAGCTACGTAGGCCTGTAATATGATAATTAAAGTCATTAAATTATTATATTTAAATTTTAAATAGATGCAGATTGCATGATACTATTATCATAAAATTGATTCAGAAATCTAACAAGTTATAAAATATTTTAAAAACATAATTATTCTTGCCTGTCCAGCTTCAAAAACTTTGGATAAAGACATTTCTACACAGTCCAATGTAAGTCCTTGAGACTTATGAATAGAAAAGGCCCATGCAAGACGGAGCGGAATTTGTTTGCGAGTCAATATTCCTCCTAAATATTCAACATGTTATTTAAAACCATAATGACTAATATATCAATAAATAAAAAAAATAAAATCACCTGCTGCCGTTTTCATTACAAATTTTTCATGCTTAACAACATATTCTTTTTTATTTTTAAATTTTACTACTGGTAGATTGTTTGTCTCATCAAACCGAATTATTACGCCACGCGCACCATTTACTAAATGATCTGCTACAGAAATATTTTTCAACAACATTACCTAAAACACAAAATATAAATAATATTCTCTTATAATATACAGAGACTGCTGTTTTGTTATATACACAATTAATTTACCTGTGCTCCAACTTTCAAAACGAGTTTATAAGAAACAGGAGTTTGCAGATCAAGTTGCTTTCTTGATGCTATATCACTGTCTTGTGCTTCATAAACTTGTTCTTCCCCTTTTAATTGCTCTAACTTATTATCATTAATCATATTTGCATCATTCATGTGAGAACATAATCTGTATTTTAGAGCAAAAAAAATATTTTGAGAAATATCAAACCACTCAACAAATATATAGATATACATAATGTAATACAATAATACAAATAACAACCTTGTAGCTAATATACCATCTTGTTCTATAACTTGTTTACCAGTTTCCAACAGTCTTGTAGATATTTCTTCAGTGACACGACCAATTCTGATTGAATTCAAGATTTTTACAAACTCAGAGTCTTTCTGTCTATGTACCTATCAATATTAATTTTTGAATTAAAAGTAACTACTTAATTTAGAAATATTTACAATAACATTATATGAGTTACCATTTGTAGTTCATAAGTATTTTGAATACATTTCTCCCAAGCTGGAGATTGAAAACAAAATCTTTTATGTGTATTATCTTTTGCTTGGGCATTGAAATTGTTTTTAGAATAATCGATTTTAATTACAGGAGGTAATTGCAAAAAATCACCACATAATATCAGCTGTATGCCTCCAAAAGGGCGATCATTTCTTTTCACTGCCCTTGCTACTGCTTCAATTTTCTAAAAATAAACTTGGTTACTTAACTAATTAAATTTACCTTTAATAGTTTTTAACTAATTTAATCTTTATTAAAAAAATAAAATTTAAAATAAAAGTTTAAGATAAGATTATGTATAAAGTAATATATTATGAATACCTCAAAATATTGACCATCAACCATAGAAATTTCATCTATAACAAGATGTTTACATCTTCTCCAATTTTGTGAAGCATTTTTAGTAGCCATTTGTACACATCGTTCAAGAGTTGCCTCGCCAGAACCCATCCCAGCAAAAGAATGAAGAGTCATGCCACCTTAACATGGTATTATTACAATATAATTAAACTTATTACAAGCAGCAGATAAAAATGATACCATTAATTATGGTAAAATATCACTGCCAAAGTATGGATAAGAATAATTATATGCTAACTATTATATTAATATATTAATTATATATCAGTTATTGATTCTTTTATTGAGGCAATGATAACGTTAGTTTCAGCAATAGTGAGAGAAAGTGGATTCTAACCCATGTAAAGGATCTAATTTAAAAACCAGTTGGATGACATACAAGTGATTTTTCATAATATTGTGTGATATTCAAAATCAAAAAAATCCTCAATGTTTCAACGATTTGTTTATTCTCTTAGATGACAAAATTTGTCAAATGATCAGCTACATCTATTAGTCACATTTTATTTATATTAACTTGGTGATGAATAATTTATGAAAACAAAATTGAAAAAAACGTAGGCTTAAAACAAAACATGTACTAACCAATGAGACAAGCCGCTACACCTGTACTAGCTGTGGCAACTGTACTATCCGGAGGCAAAGCTTGAATAATTTTCTTAAGCAGAAAACTTTTACCAGTACCAGCCGATCCAGTAAAAAATACATTTCTACCACTAAGACACGCTTGCAGCACATTCTCTTGCTCTGAATTCAACTTTAAATCTTCATCAAAAATGTCATTTTCAGAATAGATCCTTTTAGCTGCTGGTAAACTATTACAATTATTTTCACCTTCTAATTTTCTTTTGCGTACGAAGCTTGAACATGGAGATGAAGATTGAGGTAATTTTGAATTAATCAAACTTTTAGCTTTCTTCATATCAGCAGTGGTTATAGGGCTCACCTCGTCATATTTATTAGGATTACTATTAAGCATTTTTTCTCTCAGAGTTTTCGGAGTCATTGGTTCACGGTTGCCTGTTAGTTTAACAAACAGAGTTCTCAAAAATATTTGTAGAGTGGATGGGGGCGCATTCGAAAGCAAAATTGTGCATTTAGATTCTTTGAATTTAATAGTAGCTTTTCCCTCTGACATAAACTTGCTAAATACATTAATTCCTTTAAGAGGAAGTTTTAACGTAGTTTGCTTTTCTGCTGTTATTTCTAATAATAAGTCACGCATATCATTGCGAATCAATCTCAAAGTAGCCATTCGGTAATTTGCTTTACGAATTATAGATCCAAGAGCATTAAGCCACTCTATATTCACTGCACAAGTAACATACACTTCGTTTTGATCCATTTTATATGATAAAAAATATAACTTTAATTTATAATACACAAAAAATTGTTTAAATTAACCAAAAGTATCGTCAGTACGTTTCATTTGAAACGCGCGAAAAATGACAACTGTAAAGTATTGCCAGACTGCCAACATCTGGTTATGATAATCACCATAGAATGAAAACATAAAGATAGCCAACATAATAAACATAAAGATAAGATAGCCAACCACCAGCGCCAGAGGTTGATGTTTCAGAATGTTTGACAGAAATGATTTGTTTTTGTAGTTGATTGGCTTTGGATATAATATAACTGATTCTACAACAAATTCGTTCATAACCTTAAAAAGTTTTTGTATTTAAAAACTAATTTAAGACTTTATTCTTTATTTGAGTTATTTTGAAATTTAATATAGGATTCTAAAGTTTGTGGGTTAATTAGTATAGTATTCAAATTGTATTGTACTATATTTGAATAAAATGGCAAATGATAAAAAAAGACGTTCCAGATCCAGAGATCGTTCTGACAAAGATCGCGATAGAGAAAAACACCGTCGCTCTAGATCTAAAGAAAGAGATCGCAGAGACGATAAAAGACAAAAACGACGTTCTAGGTATTTTTCATTCATTAGTGCAAATAATTTTTGTTTGATATGGCATAATGCATGAGTACATTATAAAAATATTTACATTGACATTTTGACAAATATACTTATATTTTTAAAAAATCAAATAGTATGTTTAACTTGAGAATTAGCTTATAGTTTATGAACTGTTCCTCAGATCTAGAAGCAAAGAAAGAGAACACAAAATTAAAGAACGTGAAGAAAAATCTAAAACAGTTCCAACGACTGTAGGAGATCAACCAACAGAAGAAGAAGTTAAAAAGGTATATTATTTATATTATTATATATGTTTTGTGTAAGGTACATTCTATTATAGATCTAATATTCACTTTTGATATAAGATTGGTTATCATTCAAATCAGAACATGTGAACCATAGGCAAACTATTTATATTTTCTTTCTCAATGTTATATTTTACTAAGTATCTCTTTCAAAACTCTTATAATACTAGAAAAGTAATTTAATAAAACATTAAAATAATTTTGTCTTAAATTCAAATTGCTTCAGGAAGAAGAGAAGAAAAAGGAACCATTATCTTTAGAAGAACTAATTGCAAAGAAAAAAGCAGAAGAAGAAGCAAAAAGCAAACCAGTGTTTTTGACCAAAGAACAACGTGCTCAAGAAGCTCTGAAGCGAAGGCAGGAAGAAGTTGCTGCTCAGCGCCTGGCTCTGGTATAGAAATTTTATTGATTTTTTATTAATATTTAATAAATAACACTTGATAATTTATGATATTATATTTTTTAGCAAAATGAAAGAAACAGATTTCAAATTCCTAAACAAGATCAAAGTAAAGACAAACGTGACAGAGATAGAGATCGGGATCGTGATAGAGATCGGGATCGTGAGAGAGATAGGGATCGTGAGGAGAGACCAAATAAAGATAAAGAAAAGGAAAGTGAAGCTATAAAGGAACGATACTTAGGACTTGTTAAAAAGAAAAGAAGAGTTCGTAGACTGAATGACCGAAAATTTGTTTTTGATTGGGATGCATCAGAAGATACCTCAGTTGATTATAATAATTTATATAAAGAAAGACATCAGGTGCAATTTTTTGGAAGGGGTAATGTTGCAGGTATAGATATAAAAGCACAGAAACGCAATCAAAGCAAGTTTTATGGAGAATTATTAGAAAAAAGACGAACAGAAGCTGAAAAGGAACAGGAAAAAGTAAGACTGAAAAAAGTAAAGAAGAAGGAAGAAAAACAAAAATGGGATGATAGGCATTGGTCTGAGAAAGCTAAAGATGAAATGACTGAAAGAGATTGGAGAATATTCAGAGAAGATTATAATATAACAATAAAAGGTGGTAAAATTCCTGATCCTATCAGAAATTGGAAAGAGTCTGGATTCCCTCAGGAAATACTTGATATTATAGATAAAGTTGGATACAAAGATCCAACACCTATACAAAGACAGGCAATTACAATCGGTCTTCAAAATAGAGATATTATTGGTGTTGCGGAAACTGGTTCAGGTAAAACTTTGGCTTTCCTCATTCCATTACTGACTTGGATTACATCATTGCCAAAGATTGAAAGAATAGAGGATGCAGATCAAGGACCTTATGCAATCATTTTAGCACCCACAAGAGAATTGGCTCAACAGATTGAAGAAGAAACAAATAAATTTGGGCAACCGCTTGGAATTCGAACTGTAGTTGTTGTTGGAGGTCTCTCAAGAGAGGATCAAGGTTTCAAACTTAGATTAGGTTGTGAAATAGTTATTGCAACTCCCGGTCGTCTCATTGATGTGCTAGAAAACAGATATTTAGTATTGAATCAATGCACATATATTGTTTTGGATGAAGCAGATCGTATGATTGACATGGGATTTGAACCTGATGTTCAAAGAATTTTAGAATATATGCCTGTGACAAATATCAAACCAGATTCAGAGGATGCAGAAGATGCTAGTAAGCTTTTACAAAACTATAACTCAAAGAAAAAGTACAGACAGACTGTGATGTTCACAGCTACTATGCCACCAGCTGTTGAAAGATTGGCTAGAAACTATTTACGTAGACCAGCAGTAGTTTATATTGGTTCTATTGGTAAACCAACTGAGAGAACCGAACAAATTATACACATTATGGGAGAAAATGATAAGAGAAAGAAATTGATGGAAATTTTACAAAGAGGTGTGGAGCCACCAGTTATTATTTTTGTGAACCAAAAGAAAGGTGCAGATGTTTTGGCTAGAGGTTTGGAGAAACTAGGTTACAACACATGCACGTTACATGGTGGTAAAGGTCAAGAACAGAGAGAATATGCCTTGGCAAGTCTTAAAAATGGCTCCAAAGATATTTTGGTTGCTACTGATGTAGCTGGAAGAGGTAAGAAACATTTATTTATCATTGAATTTATAGAATTTACTTTTCTATTCCAATTTAATTCTAAACATTATTGCATTTACAAATTAGTTTTATTTTAAATTACAAATGCCGAATATTTTTTTCCAGGTATTGATATTAAAGATGTTAGTATGGTCATTAACTATGACATGGCTAAAACTATCGAAGATTACACACACAGAATTGGACGTACTGGTCGTGCTGGCAAAGCTGGATTGGCAATTTCATTCTGCACTAAAGATGATAGTGCATTATTCTATGATTTAAAACAACTAATACTTGCTAGTCCGATTTCAGTTTGTCCACCAGAACTTATGAATCATTCTGAAGCTCAACACAAACCAGGAACTGTTGTTACAAAGAAAAGAAGGGAAGAAAAAATATTTGCTTAATATTTTGTAAACATGAATTATTTATTGATTACATTGCAAATACTGATAAAAAAGCAGTAATGAAATGCAATATATTTTAAATCAAAATGTTCATTTATTAATATTTTTATTGAATATTATATAGAAGAATTATAAAAGAAATATTTACTTATTTTGTAAATATGAATTTATAATTAATTCTATCATGAAAATACCAATAAATTGCAATATATTTTAAATGAATGTGTATTAAAATATATCTCTTAAATAATATAGAAAATATATATTATCACAATACCTCTGATCTTAATTATGAATTCTATAATACATTTCTTTAATAAAAAAAATACATCTAAGTTCAATTCAATTTTACTAAATAAATTTTTATGATGCAATTATTAATTATACAAAGATAATTTTAAAGTTTAACAATACACATGCACTACAATAAAATATGCAGATTAATATACAATTAAATTTTGATAAACATCAATAATAGTCATTCATATTGTAATTTCTTTCCAAATCTCGAATTTCCATAATATCACGTTTTAGCTGTAATTTAATAATTTCCCTCAGTATGCCTTCTCTATGTTCATTATTTAAAATACCCATTCGAAGTAAAGTGTTCTCATTTAATCGCACTAAAGATTGGCCTGTAATTTCGTGCTGTAATCAAATAGAATAAAGCTTGAACCAGCAATATAGTTATGACAATCATTAGTTTTGAACATACATCTTTAAATTTTTGTACATGCTCATTATAATAATCTTGACAATGCCTTTTCAACCATTTAACAACATCTACAGCCGTCCATAAATAGACAGGCTTTGGTCTAGCAGTTTTTACCTATAAAGAAGAAGGCAATTTAAAAAGAAGTAACATGCAGTTGCATATTAGATTAAATGTGAAGTAGTTTAGAACAAATCTAATTTATTGATATCATTAAACCTTTGCTTTGCTGGTATTCAACACTTCTTCGACCATTTTGTCTTTTATTAACAGTTTGTTACAACGCTTCTTGAAAATATAAGGTTTTCAAAACATTACAGGCTTATTGAACTAAAAACACATGTATATAAAATTTCTATTAATATAGAATGTGATGAATAAACTCGTTGCAAACACAGCATGTTTCATTGTGGTTTTTGATTAAGAAATGTCAGTTTTCGTAGTTTAAGTTTTAGGTTAGTTTGATTGATTTGATTCGAAAATACAAAAAATTTCATCAAATTAATAGGCCAGTAGAAGCAGAGAAAATGTAGAACAAAATTCATGTAAATTATATTATTTAAGCTGACTTATATTTTATTTTTTGCAAAAAATTATAAAGGCAATAAACTGAAACATGAAACTGGTAAGTAACACTGATAGTTATGATCAATTTGTAAATATAATACCAAATGTTTAATAAATTATATAATTGTACAACCTTAGTACTGCTTAAGTGGTGATGCAGCTAAGCCTTGCTATGTGATCAGCTTTCGAGGAATGATGATAATGCTCGACTGTGGGCTATCAACCCATACAGCTTTGAATTTTTTACCCCTACCATTAATTCAGAGTTCAAGACTTGCTAATTTACCAGTATGGACTCCCAGAGACAGTACGGTACCTGCTTTAGAAGGGGTACGAAACTATTATTTCATGATGATGATGTACAACAGTTTTCTTTCATTAGTTAGATATATTTTTAAAATAATTTTATGCTTTTAGTTTTATTTAAAAATAAATAGCCTTTGTTATTTATTTATGCCATATTTGTTTTTAAAATGTAACATGATTTTAGGAGTTACGAGAATGTTATGGACGTGTGTTTGTTGATTCTTCTCCAGAATTTTGCCCTCCATTAAATAAGATTATTGATTTTTCACAAATTGATATCATTCTTATTTCAAACTATCTATGTATGCTGGCTCTTCCTTTCATAACAGAAAATACAGGATTCCAAGGTGCTGTATACGCTACTGAGCCCACATTGCAAATTGGAAGGTATGTATATAAGAACAAGTAAAAAAATACAGATGCATACAGCACTTATATTAACCTTTACTTCATTTTTGTATTATTTTATTGTTGAATTAGATTCTTTATGGAAGAAATGCTAGAATATTTAGATCGTACACCAGTTTCAACATTATCTACACATTGGAAAGATGTTGTTCATATGTTACCACCTCCACTTTGTGATGTAATGAAACCTCGCTCTTGGAAACATTTTTGTGATGCCGAAGCCATTTCTGCAAGTCTTGCTCGAGTGCATGTTGTAGGATACGATGAAAAATTGGTAGAACATAATTCAACTAGAATTATTCAAGGATTATATGTTGATTATAATTATAATTATTTATTTTTTGGTTTAGGATGTTTTTGGTGCTATACAAGTCATGGCGGTAAGTTCTGGATATTGTCTTGGATCAAGTAATTGGGTGCTGAGTTCTGGACATGAAAAAATAGCATATGTTAGTGGATCCTCTACCCTCACAACTCATCCTAGACCTATTAATCAATTTGCATTAAAATATGCCGACTTACTCATACTTTCGGGTTTAACACAAACTCCGACTGCTAATCCTGACTCTATGCTTGGTGAATTATGTTTGACGGTTGGTAGGTATTCATACAATTTTGAAACTAAGTTTTTTTTTATGGATATATTGTAGTAATTATAAAGAAATTAATATATCTTTTATATTTCAGCTATGACACTGCGAAATGGTGGCAATGTCTTGATTCCATGTTATCCATCTGGAGTAGTATATGACTTATTTGAATGTTTGTCATCACATCTGGATAATTCAGGGTTTACCCATATTCCATTATTTTTCTTATCACCAGTGGCTGATAGTTCATTAGCGTATTCTAACATATTGGCAGAATGGTTATCATCATCAAAACAAAATAAAGTTTATACACCTGATGAACCTTTTCCTCATGCTTCTTTAATACGCAATTCTAGATTAAAACATTTTAAGAATATTTATGGAGATGGGTTTAGTCAAGAATTTAGACAGGTATTTTCAATAAATTTACTTTTGCATGTTTGCTAAACAGAAAGTTACAATCAATTTCAAAACTTTCTTGTAATAGATATTTATTAAATTTAATTAAATTTAATTTCAGCCATGTGTTGTTTTCTGTGGACATCCTAGTTTACGTTTTGGGGATTCTGTGCATTTTATTGAGCTATGGGGATCAAACCCTTTACACACTGTGATATTTACAGGTAACCAATTTTCACTTTATTTTTGCTTTCTTCACAAATTTTATTTTGTTTTTTTTTTCAGAGCCTGATTTTCCTTATATAGAAGCATTGGCACCATTTCAGCCTTTGGCTATGAAAGCTGTTCATTGCCCTATAGATACTGCTCTCAATTACCAGCAAGCTAACAAATTAATACGTGATTTACGACCTGGTGCTTTGGCTGTTCCAGACCACTACACAATGCCACCAGCATCTGCTCCACATAGACTTGACCTTATTATAGAGCAGTCACCAGTAAGTTATATCAATATGTACTATTATTTAATTTTACTCTTTTACTTTACATATATTGAATGACAGGATCGGCCAACACTTTGCTTCAAAAGAGGTGAAGTTTTAAAACTACCTTTGAAAAGAAAGAAAGGCCGAGCTTTTCTTAGCGTTGATGCTGCTAAATCTATTAATCCAGTTGAAATAAAGTCTAAATTATCAGCCTCTACTCTCACAGCTTACCTACAAGTCAAGGATAATATTCATGAAATGATGGTAATGACTTTACTTATTTCGCATTCATACATATAATAGCAAATAAATAGAAATTGAAAAGCTAATTACCTTCTGTTAAGAAATTATTGTATTTTATTATTTGTTAATTGGCCATCAACCTCGAATCTGTAATTTTGTAATAATATTTTTAGTCATTAAAAGAATGTTCAAGTCAACTGGAAAAGAAAAGTCCAATGCAAAACTTGATGATGAATGATATAAAATATGAATGGGGAAAGTTAGATGTGGAGGACTTACTGCAACGACTTGCGCAGGAAGGAATCACTGATGCAAAAGTTGAGCAGGGTTCTGATAGTAATCGATGTATTATCCATCTTCCAAGTGCCGATATGCTGATTCAACTGGATGAGAAATCTACACATATATTATGCCAAGATGGGTCACAAAATTTAAGATCTAGATTGAGAAAAGTATTGCTGCAATGTTTACAGACATTTTAATTTTATTATTACTTTTGAGAGAAAAATGTACAAAGAATGAATGAATGGAAACGTAATGAAGAATTTATTTTAAGAATAAACTATTGTAAGACCATAAACTTTTAATATTGATGAATCCCATAAAAGAAAAACTCATTATATGCTATTTTCATAACATGCAGTGCTGATATGAATATAAATTTGAATTGATATGCCATATAAATTTAATCGTATACTATTTTAATGTATATTTACATACTCAAAAACTCATACAATTCGTATAAATATTGAATATTAGTATTTAATTTGCACATTTAATAAGTCTTAATTCATAATGCGCGCTTAACGATGGGTTTTAAGTTTATATTTATATTGTCTATGATCTATGTAACTATTTTCTTTATCTATGTTCAGATTATAGCTTGGTAGATGACGTCATGACAGATAGAATACGATAACAAACTCTTAACCTAAAAGCTTGATAATTTCGTGATGTCACAAAAAAAGTATTATCCTAATAGTTTGTTTAATTTTAAATAAAGGGAAATGTCGGGTCATTCGACTGGTAATATTTTTCATACGTATTTTCCTCATTTTATATGATTATTTAATTTATTCTAAAATTAGTGATGTCGATTTTGAATATAAAATTTATGATTTTAATAAAAAAAATATTCATGGATGCTTCGATCTATATTTTTCCTAAAAGAAATGATATAAATAATTAATAATATATACCAATAATAATACATTAATATATACCAATATATAATATATAATGGTATATATTACTCATATATACAATTACTAATAAAATTATTTAATAACTTACTCAAGTAGTTTGTAATCACATATTAGCTACTGCAAAATTAAATTCCTTTTAGCTTTTTGAGATAGATTCATATTGTAAATTGAATTTATATATTTTATTTTATTGAGCATTTGGATTTGTCAATTCCAAAGTTGTGATGATATATTTCATGCTTGCCTTAAACCCTTTTATTATGCTATTGGATTTTCATTAAAGTGATTCTCTATAAACATATATTTCAAAGTTTGTTTCTAATAAGATTTTATTTGTTCTTAATTTATCGACTGTTCAACTTTATATAAAAAACATGATCAAATATCATAGCCAATAAATAAAAACAAATTGTTTACTATTTAATAAAAAATCACTTGACTTATTTTCTATATATGTATGTAAAATCTTGTAAAAAAATTATGTATTCTCAATACAGCCACCTCAGATGAGGAAAGTTCTTCGCCTGAGCGAAATAATTATTCGGGTTTTGGTGAGTTGTGTATTATTTTTCATTTTGTGTATTTGTTATGATATTCATTATAATATTAAGATTACAAATCATACAGTCAATTATCCTTTTTTTTATCAGGCATCACACCCAACAGAAAAAGAAAACATTCAAATGATGCCCAATTATCTTCACAATCGTCGCAATTTAGCTGTTCTGATAGTTCGAGCAGTTCTTCTTCTGAATCAGAGAGTGAGAGTTCTCCTACAAAACAAAAGCTTGCAAAAAATAACTCAGGAATTGCTTATTCGAACTTCAATCATTCATCAATAGTATGTGAGATAAATTTATCAATGTATTTTTACATATTACAATGTTCTTTAATGGGAATAAAGAAAAAACAAAAATGTATAAAATAATATTTAATTCCAAACCTTTTGATATACAATTTGATGTCGTCATCAGTGGATCTATAAGGTAAAAAATTGAAAAAAATATATAAACTAGGTAACTATAGGAATTATAATTTTGTATAAAAGCTATAAATAGAAGATAAAAACTATTAAAAAATTAAACTATAGGAGTTATAATTTTGTACAGAAGCTATAAAAAGAAAATAAAAACTATTATAATTCCTATAGATACCTAGTTTATATATTTTTTTTTTCAATTTTTTACCTTATAGATCCACTGATGATGACATCAAATTGTATGTCGAAACATTTAGAAAAAAAGATTATTTTATAAATCTTTATTTCTTCTTTGATTGATGTATTGCCCTTAAAGAACTTGCTCATATATCTCAACATCAAAATTAACTACTAAATTATATATATATATATATACTACTTAATATGCTACTATATTACAATATATATATATATATATATATATATATATAAATATATATATATATATATATATATATATGTATGTATATATATATAGACCAGAAAAGAATAAAGATTTATTAAAATTCAATATTTATATTTTATATCATTTATACATAATTGTCATAAATATGCACTGTTCTTGGTTTTAATAAACATTGATTTTTGTTTATATTTATGTACATATTTGTTATTTTAAACAACAAATCACATAACAATAATTCCTTTACATTATTCTTTATACATTCGGTTATCCGTATTTTCGATTATCCAAATGCCTATCGACAACAATTAGACCGCTTAATCGAGTTTGATATATATATATATATATATATATATATATATATATATATGATAGTTTTGTCGACGTTAATACATATTTATAATATTTTTGCAGCCCAATCGTCGAATTAAAAAAAAAAGATTAAATAAAATTATTTATTCCATTAAACGTTTCGACACTTGATGTGTGTCATCATTCAGTAATCTAAAAAAACATTTAACATAAATACACAGATGATGATAAATATAAATATATAAAAGGAGGAAATTATACATACCAAACCAGGAAAAACAGGAAACATTAATTATGATGTAAAATTGATTGAACACTAAATTTGTGTAAAATAATAAAATACTATTATATTAACAAACGAGAAATAGAAGGAACACATATTGCCCTCCTATATTCAATGTTATTGATATGGTGCATTGTGGACACTGATCAAGGTTACAACGCAAGTGTAGTCACGCACGTGTAATTTTATGATTACGCGTATATTTCATGGTTTGATTACTGAATGATGACACACATCAAGTGTCGAAACATTTAATGGAATAAATAATTTTGTTATTTAATCTTTTTTTTAATTCGACGATTGGGCTGCAAAAATATTACATATATATATATATATATATATATATATATATATAAAAGAATAGAGATTTATTAAAATTCAATTTTTATATTTTATGTAATTTATACATAATTGTCATAAATATTCACACTTCCACCCATCAGGTATTTTGTTGTAAATCTTGGCAAGAAGGACATATCACAGCATCTTTATTTTGCTTATTGTGGTCACGTATATATGAAATTAAATATTGATTTAAATGGATTTTTTTTCTCATTGCAGTCGAGAAACAAGGAAGAAAAACATGATGGAACAAGAATTATTCCAAAAGCAGGAACTGCTTATTCAAATTTCAGTCAGAAGTATATGGTGAATAAGAATGATACATATTTAGCAATTTGCTTGTAGTTTGTTATTGATCCTCAAAATACATTTAGGCAAAAATGGGTTATGAAGAAGGTAAAGGTCTTGGGGCAAGAGCTCAAGGTATAGTAGAACCTGTTGAAGCATCATCACAGCGGGGAAGGCGAGGTCTAGGTTTGGAACATCCAGAGCCAGTAGGAATTGATGAAGCAATTCCATTTAATGCTGAGGATGAAATAATAGAGGTGAAAATTGTATTTATATTGAGTAATAATTGTCCTTATAAACAGAAAATGCTATATATTATATGGATAGTACTTTAACACATATAATTTTAAATATCTTGATACTATTATTTGTAAAGTCAATTTAGAATCTAATTTATAACTGATCGTTTTTTCAAATGATATGATCGGTCTTTTTTATGAAAGTCTTTCATTGAATTTTAATCAAGATTTTTCCGAGTTTATAGAAAATCTTAAATATATCCGTTCTATCCGCTGCAACACAAAATAATTCTTCGATATTGGCGACGAAATGGTTATTCCCGATAAAATTAAATGCATGAAATCATCGATCGATTCTCGCATAATTACTGATTTGTAGGCTTATCCTATTGTACAGATATTTCCCGATATGCACAAGAAGTACATAGTTTTCGAGTGTCTTACACAAGGAGCAATTCTAGCAAAAAATGTAGAAATGTATTCAGAGGTATTGGAATCTCTTTTGATTCGATATGCATGTCACAGTATAATTCCAAAATGAATATTAGTATTTTAGGGTTGCAATGGATAAAATATCAATGGAATTTGTGTTAGCTGCCCCTTTCATTTATATATCAGATATATTAACATTCAGTATTGGTTAGTTATTTGTAATACTAAAAATTCTCTTGAAATATTTCTTGTGGCTAGTATAAATTAAATTACGCGTCATCTAGTATAAAATTACGTGCGGCGCCATAAAACTTAAAATTTAAATTGACCCGTGAGTTAAAAAGGTTGCTCGCCTTTTATTTAGATCATGTAGCAACTTCATTAATTTTTTAATTCATAGGTGCATGAAGAAATAATATGGTTACGATGCCCAAATCATGATCTGGAATACGACGAAATCAAAAAATGGTATGTTGAAGGTCCCAGAAAAAATACAATTGATGACGAGACAGATTTTATAGACAGAAAAATATGGAGAAATATTCTAAAGTCTAAGGTTTATCTAATAATATTATAATTCATACATTATTAAGAAATTTAGCTAAACATTTTTTTAGTATTTGTAAATGTTCTGACTTATTCATTTTATTTTATTCAAACAGACTATTTTTGATAACATAAAAGCTGAAGATATGAGAAGAGCTCGCATGAATTCGAATCCTTTTGAAACTATACGAGGAGCGTTTTTTCTTAATCGTGCAGCAGTTAAAATGGCAAACATGGATGCCAGGAATGATTTTATGTTTACGAGTCCAAAAAACCGTCATAATGAACCTGCTGTAAAGGTACTTAATTTCTGAGCAAATTTAATTTTCTAGAAATGAAATGATATTTTTGCCTTAAAAAAAGTGGTATTATACAAAAGTATTTATTTTACTAACTGGTATCTTATATATATGGATTTGGATCTTATATTCATAATTTGGATATTTAGGTTAATATAACTTATTAATGTTTTTTAATATATTATTTATTTTTAAGATCTCTCAAAAATATTTCAGGAAAATGAACTGTTATATTTTGCCGATGTTTGCGCTGGACCTGGGGGTTTTTCGGAATATGTTTTGTGGCGAAAGAAATGGTATGCAAAAGGTATTCTAATTTTATAATTTATTGAATTGGTCTAATAGATTCATAAAAAAATTTTACAATATTCTTCATTTTTTCTCTTCAGGTTTTGGCTTTACATTGAAGGGTTCAAACGACTTCAAATTGAGTGATTTTTTAGCTGGATCTCCTGAAACATTTGATACATATTATGGAGTTGATGGTGATGGAGATGTATTCAAACCACACAATATTGATTCATTTCAAAATTATGTTCTTGAACGAACTGATGGATATGGGGTACATTTTATGATGGCAGATGGGGTGAGATTTGTTTGATTTAATCATTAAATATTTTTATAAACGTAAGCAACTTTCAGATTCAAATTATTTTCTAGTAAATTTGTTATTTATTGTTTTTATTATGCTATTACAGAACTTTAAGTGATGATTTATATTTTATAATTATATTGAAATATGGAATAATAATTTTGTTGAAGTGTTAAACCGAACTATAATTAATTCAGACTATACAAATGTTGTTCTTCCTTCCTCTTAAGATGGTTAACTAATTTTTTAGGGATTTTCTGTGGAAGGTCAAGAAAATATACAAGAAATTCTATCAAAACAATTATATCTCTGTCAATGTATAGTAGCTTTGTACATTGTAAGAGAAGAAGGCCATTTTGTTGTGAAACTTTTTGATCTTGTCACTCGATTTAGTATGGGGTTGATGTTCTTAATGTATCATGCTTTTGAAGAAAGTAAGTCCGCTTCTAGTGTTTTAGAAATATAATAATAAAGCAATAATAATTAACACATGAAATCTTTAATTTCACAGTTTGTATAATGAAACCAAATACTAGTAGACCTGCAAATTCTGAGCGGTATTTGCTTTGTAAATGGCGACGCAAGAATGTGGATGGTATTGCAAAATATCTATTTAAAATTAATAAAAAATTATTTAATTATCCTAAGAACCATTCTATGGATATTAATGAAATCGTACCAATGGAAATTATGCAAGAGGATCAAAAGTTTATGAACTATTTTATAGATAGCAATAACAAGTAATTCTTTTAGAATTTTGTTAAATATCAATTTATGTTATAATTAATTATACTTATATATAATCAAGCTATGTTTCAATTCACTCCTGAAGTAAATTGAGTGTTATTTTCGATGATTATCAAATAATGATGATAGAATTGTTATATTTAAATGATTATCTCATTTGAAATTTAAATGAAACAAATTATAATAAATATTAGACCTAAGTCTCTAAGAGATTCTTATGATAATTTTAATATGCAACTCAAACATATCTAGCATTTTTATGCAGCAAAATTCAATATTAAAATTGATTATTAAGATCATTTTAAAATATTTTGATTTTAGAGCACCATCGTGAAAAATAATTAAAAATATATATTTTTTTTTGCTATTATGTAATATCAGTTATAAATTTCAGACTTGGTCAAAAACAGATAGTTGGTTTGTCGAAGATAGTTGCATACTGTAAAGATCTCACATTGAGAGAAAGCCGTCAGACAGAAATGCGCAACAAATGTTTGCAAGCATGGAATGTAAATTAACACTATTTTACTTTTTATCATTAAATATTTCATATAAATTTGATATGTATTGTTATCTTGTATTCTTTAGGTAGAAAACAGAATGCGCAGTAGAAATGGAAATCAATGTTCAAATGCTGCTCTGAGTGAATTACAAGAAAAAATGCCTGCAATTGTAAAGCGTAATTTACTTAGAAACACTGGCAATATGATCAATACCATTGAAGATGTTGAGAAATTCGTTGGTAAACTTCCTACTGAAAAATATTTTATGTTTTTAAGTAGAGGAAAAGTTGCTGAACTCGTTCCACCTACTTTTTTCTTAGGTAAAAAAACTTTAATTAGTATTTTATATATATCTTCACTTGATTATATATGGCTTTGTTTATTGAGTTACATAATGATGTTAAGCTATTACTTTTGTGTTTTTTTGTTTGTGAATATGTAATTTAATTTAACTATATAATTTAATTTATGTAGCATATCGTACAGTTAATTTTTATGCAAGATTGTGTGATTTTTTATTAAATCAAAGCATTACAATTGCAATTACAATAACAATAACAATTGCAATATTATTGGTATTTAGGTACGGGAGGTACTAGAATATTTCAGTATGTTAATAATAGTTGGTCTCAAATTCTTTCTTCCACTGAAATAAAACTGCCAGCAGGCACCTTGATTTATGGTGAACTAACAGTCGAGTATCATGGTGAATTCAAATCCCAAACATTTGTGACTGTGTTACATATTATAGATGCTTTATTTCTTGGCAAAGAACCTGTCTATGAACTAAATTTAATGCAGAGGTATGTATTATATAATTATCAACAGTAGTTATTTGAAACTTTTTTTAAATTGTAAATTTATAGCAAATGATAGTTCAAATTGTTTTAACACCTGCTTTACATCGGAACAATAATTTATTTTCATTATAAAATTTCATATATTTTTTAAATACATTAAATTTAGTATTTAAAATATTTTGAACAACTTATGTTATTTACTTTACTGTCATTAACAGGATTGAAAAGTGTGAGCTTTTTACCAAGGCAATAATGATATCAAATCGTAAATCTGTAAGGGTTAAAAAATTATTAAGACTGGAAAACTTTCGTACTGAATTAGGAAAATTACAAATAAAGTACATGAAGGGTGGCAGTCCTGCGATGGCAGTCCCCCTTCCATCGCCAAATGATCAAGAGGTTGATTCATCATATTTTTATGTACCTCGAGGGTTAATATTCCTTAATCCAATTGGCAGTAAGTAGAACAATAATGTTTTTTTTTTATTTTATCAACATCATCATTTCAAACTGCATTTTTTTTTTTTTAGATGGGTGGGATATTGCTTGGTCAAAATCGAATAGGAAAATATACTATCATAGGCCCACACCCAGAGAATCTACTTTTACGGAACCACTTGATCTTTATTCTAATATTTGTGATTGTTTTGAAAAGCGTGCTATCTGGTTATTTGATTCATCAATTCAGGTATTTTATGTGTTTTATGTTTAAATGGTTTGAAACTTAAATAGATGTACCTTACATACTACATTTTTTTTACATTTTAGTGCTTAGATGATGAGACTGCGGATCAACATGCTGAACCGTTACATGCACATGATATAATGAAGTTTTATCACCAAATTCAAGAATAAATTAAATTAATTTTATTAATCATCATTATATATTCTGGGTTGAAATTATTTTTGATACAAAATATTGAAAAATGGAGATTATATATAAATATCTTTCATTCTTTAATGAAGTGTTTTAATATCATATGTATGTGTGTGTATATATATATATATTCAATAGATAAGTCCTGGATTTTTCCAATATATTGATTGTTTCTTTTCCGAACAGTAAATCCAATAATAAAAAACAATTTGTTTTTTGAAGATGTTTAATACGACGTTTCGGAACTAGGTACGTTCCATCATCAGGTTTATTCTGTCAAATACAATGTTTTTTAAAATACTGATTAACATTAATTAACAATGGTCAATACAGATTAATTAGAAAAAAATTTTGTTATAAAAGAATGGATTATGTACCGGATAGATAGTAATAAGACTTAACTAAAAAAGGTTTTATATAAAATTGAGAAGCAAAAATTATTTACCTGTAATAATTTATATATCCATATCACTAATATTTTTTTGTTAAAAACAAAATTTGTTTGTTTTTAACAAAAAAATATTAGTGATATGGATATATAAATTATTACAGGTAAATAATTTTTGCTTCTCAATTTTATATAAAACCTTTTTTAGTTAAGTCTTATTACTATCTATCCGGTACATAATCCATTCCTTTATAACAAAATTTTTTTCTAATTAATCTGTATTGACCATTGTTAATTAATGTTAATCAGTATTTTAAAAAACATTGTATTTGACAGAATAAACCTGATGATGGAACGTACCTAATTCCGAAACGTCGTATTAAACATCTTCAAAAAACAAATTGTTTTTTATTATTGGATTTACTGTTCGGAAAAGAAACAATCAATATATATATATATATATATATATATATATATATATATATATATATATATACTCGTATATAATGGGTGGAGCTTAGGGCAGGCCTGTGAGCTGAGTTAAACTCCATCTCATTTCAGGGAAGAATAGTGTGAGAGATTTTTCATTGCCATTTTACATTGCAATGCCCGAAATGGGCTCATGTTGTCAGGTTGCCAGAGTGCGGCTTGATATATAAATATATATATATATATATATATATATATATATATATATATATATATTCGTATATATACGAGGTCTGTTCAAAAAGTACCCGGAATTACTAATAATTAAATTTCGCGGGTCTGGAGTGTCTGATTGTCAAAATTTTTTTTTTATTGTGTTGGTATACATGCCCCTAAAGTATGATGAAATTTTCAGCTATATTCACTGTTTACTTTGTCTGTGGTAGTCGCTAAGGTTCGACGTGTTTTTCTGAGCTCGGCGATTTTTACAATGGAAGAATTGAAAAGTCAAAGAATTTGTATTAAATTTTGCGTAAAAAATGAAATAAAGTGTTGCAAAGTGCAAAAATTCACCAGATATGGCTCCGTGTGACTTTTTCCTATTCCCAAAGTTGAAGAGACCCATGAAAGGACGGCGGTTTTCCTCGATTGAAGAAATAAAGGCCGAATCGCTGAGAGTGCTCAAGGACATATCAAAAAGTGAATATCAAGGGTGCTTCGAAAATTGGAAAAAACGCTGGCATAAGTGTATTATATCTGGGGGGGACTACTTTGAAGGGGACCACATTAATGTAGACGAATAAATAAATATTTTTTTGAAAAAACGAAAATTACGGGTACTTTTTGAACAGACCTCGTATATATATATATAATTGTAATAATGTAATAATTTTTGAGATAGTGATAAATATGTTTATCAAACAAAATATTTCTTAACAGGCATCCATCCAGATAAAATATAGAAAGAAAACTGAAATATGTTTCTTCGAGTTCCATTTTGACTCGTAAGTGGAAACAAAACACACAAATTAAGACACGAACACAAACATGATGAATAAAAATATTACTTCACAACACCATGTTAGTGAAAAAATTAAAAACGAATATAACTTAAAAAAAAAAATAACAAAAATAATCATTTTGACATTTTCTTATTTGAAGTTATATCCGGTTTTTATTTTTTCACTAATGTAGTTCTGTGAAGCAATATTTTCATTGATTATGTTTCGGTTTCTTAATAACTTGTGTGTTATTAAGGCAAAGTCAAATTAGCACTTGAAACATATGGATCTTTTACATTTATTCCATACAGAAAACATTTTAATTTTCTTTGGATGGATGCTCCTTAAGAAGTATTTTGTTTAATCAACACACACACACACATATATATATACATATATATATGTGTATATATCCACTCTTGCATCGGAACACAGAATAGCGGGATGTACTTTACAATTTCATCAAAAACTCATTCTAAAATTTATATATCGTTCAATTTAAAGTGACTAGAATTGGTTTTATTGTGCATTGTGAACATTTATAATTATGAAATATTAGGATTATTACAATTACATAGTCCACTGAAGATGACACAAAACAATGTGTCGAAACGTATGGAAAAAATAAAAATACACTACACTATTACACTGTGATAAACCAGGCTATTAATAATTGGAACATTTAAACTAATTAATTTTTTTTTAACAATTTTTTTGCTTACATTCTAGTGTGTACAAATTGACTAACGTCTAATTGTACAGTGGACTAAACGAATGAATTGTGTTTACAAATTTTGCGAAAGTGTAAAAAGACCGGCAAACATATGTTTTTTGTAAAATAGTAAAAATACACGTTTCATTCAGATATGGTGGCGTTTTTGAAAATGGTCTAGGGTTATTTTATAGTCATTGCAAAGCAAATTGTTGTCAGTTCTTAAATTTATGGCTGTATCCTTGTGTAAAGATATTAAGCATCCTTTGCTAAATCGTCTTTTAGATAAATTATTTTCGAAATGTAGGATCGTGGGATTGGAAAAATCAATGTTATGTTTGAGCTGATTAATGTGATCTGTTAATTGTGTTTTATACTGATTTTTATTTTTAGAGTTGTTTTTGTGTTGAGATGTTCTTTGGTGCAGGTTCTGACTAGCTTCACCTATGTAGACGCAATTACAATCTAGACAATTAAGTTTATAAACTAGATTACTTAAGATTCTTGTGTTAAATTTTGATTTTAATTTTGTAAAATTAATTAGTTTAAATGTTCCAATTATTAATAGCTTGGTTTATCATAGTGTAATAGTGTAGTGTATTTTTGTATAATTAATTTCTGTAAGTACTTATATATAAGTTCTATAACTTTATATTATTTTCCTCCTACATCATATAAAATCTTTTAGTTTTCCACTGGATGACAGTCTCGATGAAGACCGAAACGTATCAAAATATATATCAACACCAAACTCACATATTTCAATATATATATATATATATATATATATATATGTGTGTGTGTGTGTGTTTGTCAACAAGGTGAACGTTGAAAAACACTAACATATAAAATTAAATGCTATGAACAATAATAAATTCAGCTACTTCCCAATTTACTAAGAGTTTACTTTTCAGTGCACGTTGAGTGGAGGCCAATAATCATAGTCGTATTTACCCTATTTACCCATACTTTTTGCGGAAAAAAGTAGTAGTAAAATAAACTTATACAAAAAGTCGTCCATCAGAAATTGATCCTAATAATTTCATTTATATTAATTAAAGTACTTTTTCTTGGAAGATTGTATGACCAAAATTGAAACTTCTTAGATTTGATAATAGCAGTATTATAAACAATGACTTACATGAACTGTGAAAATATAATGATGAATATATAAAAAATATACAAACTGTATATTTTTCTAATACGTACTTACAACCAAACTGACAACTGCCCATATGTTTCATTCATTTTCTCTTTGTGTGCATATTTTGATTTTGGTAGTTGTCAAAGGTCAGGTGCGTTCAGTTTCAGTTTGTGCGTCACGTCGCTTACTGTCAAATTCGTACCAGAAATACATAAATAAATTCTTAGTGGTAAACGCATAGCGAAAATGTGTTGCATACAATTATATCAATGAGTGACTGATAAAATTAAATTGTTTATTATTCGATGTGATACGTTCTCTAAAATCTTTTAAATAGTATGTGCTTATCAGTTTCAAATGTTATGTTTATATTAAACAAAAACACTTGCAAACCTTTTAGTTGCTGGATAACGTGATTTGCATAATATTGATTCTAAATACATTGTAAATGTAACATCATTAATTTATAATTCTATTATTGTTCGTATAGTTTTAATGTTTTTTACTACGCAACAAAGAAACAATGTCTTGGTACGTGCCATTTGCAGAGAATATAAAGAAAAGGGCATGCAGATATCTTTTGCAAAGATATTTGGGTCAATATTTAGAAGAAAAATTAACCTTGGATCAACTAACAGTTGATTTATTCAAAGGGACTGGAAGTGTTTCTGATGTTACTTTAGATTGCCAGGTATAATACTGAAGTTACTCTAGATTGAAAGTATATGTATTTAATTGAATTTTCTTTAAAATATTAGCAATTACAGCTGTTCTTAAATATAGCTGTAATAATCAATAAAAGAGTGATGCTAGGATGCTCCCTAAACATAAAATTAATATCTGCTTTAATTATTCACTTGTAACTAAGTATTTCAAGGGTATGCATCTTGAAGAATTAGGCGCATGTTTGCTTCTTCAAACATTTATTTCATAAAATTAGAATATATTAATATGCAATCTACACATTAAAAATGAGGTATTTATTTTTTTATTTATCTGGTTGCTATCTTTAAATGAAAACGCATTTCAGCTCTAAATTTATATTGTAGATTCTAAATAATAGAAATCATATCTGGCTTATATTGTATAGAATCTCTCCAACTACAAAGCTATTCATATATTATAGATATATGTTTATATATATACATATACGTATATATATATATATATATATATATATATATATATATTTAAATTATTTATACAGGCTATTAACGAATTGTGTACTAGTCAAGGACTGCCAATAGAAATACTTGAGGGTCATGTTGCATCAGTTTCAGTCAGTATTCCCTGGAGTGCTCCATTATCTGACGACAGTTTTGTTGATGTTTCTGGTTTAGTAGTCACCATTCGCCCTAAAGCTCGAATTGATCATGGTATGAAATGTCATTAATTCAAGCCTAAGCTGTTATAAAATATCACTAAACAGTCATGTTACATATTAGGAACATCTGTACTTGAATCAATGTGGTCTTCTATGTCAAGCTCTATGCAACTCGCAAGAGATTGCTTGGAAAAGGAAGGAATTTCTGTATCAGCAATGGGACAACCCTTGGAGGGGCTAGAACACTTTGCACAAACCATTGACTCTAGTAAACTTTAATTTTGTGCTATGTTTATTTAACGTTACAATATTTAATATTAATTTAAGATTTTTTTTAGTATTGACAAGAATAAAAGTACGTTTAACTAACTCCATTATAAAGCTAGAACATTGTCCAAATAATGGGAATAATTGCCTCACTTTACAAATTAATATAAAAAAGTTAGTAAACTTTGATATATTAAAAAAAAATTATCATGGGATTGTGTATTCAAAAATTATTGTAATTTTAGTTTAGAATATTTTGATGAAGCTGGTACAGATGTTTCAAATGATGATAATGAAGAGAACAAAAAATATGTATACTCATCTTTCACAAATCGACACATTGCCATTGAAGGAGTTTCTTTTTTCTCAAATGAAGACATTTTGAAATATGATGAAGAGGAACATTTATTACAGAAGCAAAGCTTTACTTCACAAAGTGATAGTATCATTAATGACAATACAAACCTACAATCCACAAATGATATATATTTCAGTTGTGAAATGAATTCAATTTTAAAAGAAAGCACGACAAAAGAATGCGGAGAAGAAGACAAGATAGATCGTGAAGAGTTATCTTCTAATAATGAGTTAGATACATCTCCTGAACCCATATTGTTTGGTCAACTTCTTGGTAGACAAGAAATCCAAATTAAAATGAAGCAATCGGAGTTTATTGTCGGACCAAAAGTACAACTTGATGTTTCTTTGGGCTCTTTAACGTGTTTTTTAACTCCGAGGCAACTACATGCATTAATTGAAATATTATCTGCCTTGAGCAATCCAGAATCTGATAATATAAGGTGTGCATTTTTATATTAGTTAATTTCAAAATTTAATGAATTTTATATTGATTTTATATCATTATCAAGGATATTATTTTAGTGGCAAATCTGGCCGAGGGCTGATTACAAAACCAATGACTTCAGCACATTTTAAATTGATTGAAGAGGACTTACAAGCAAGACTTAAAACACCACAGAGTGTTTTATCTGGTATCTCTAATGTTCATAGGTGGTCTGCAGCTCAAATAGGTAATTGATTTTTAAAACTTTGTTAAAACCTGGATACTTTTACTAAACTGGGCGTTTTTTATATTAGACTGTTTACCCAGTAACAATTGTGAATAATAATATATGTAGATATATAAGTTATTAACATTTAACTTTCTTAAATATAAATATGTAAGATATTTTTGGCAAACATGTTAATTTTAGATGATGAAGGAGATAATGATCCAGAATTTCAACCATTTCGAGGATTTGGTATGTCAGACTCTATTATGTCAAATAACAGTACACTGTCAATGACGAGCTCTATTGGTTCTAGCATAAGCCAAACTAGTTCTCGGTTGAGTAATCAAAATAAACCAAAAGGTATTTTTTGAATTGTTAATTATATTAAAATAGGTCTGGTAAGATATTGTGATATCTTTCATTCAAGGCATGACTACCATATTATTCTTATTATATTAATATTTAAATTAAATAACCATATAAAATTCTTAAATATTTTACATAATTCAAACTTAATAGAAAATGGTTTAATTGATTAGCATTTTATATGAAGGGAGCTTAGATGGAGTATATGTGGGCAATGAAAATGGAAATGAAATTTCACATTATAACTTTCGACTAGCTTCACTTGCAGTAATAATTTTACATGAGGTAATTTGCATATAAAATATGATATACAGTAGTACCCCAACTTACGAGTGACCTAAGATACGGGTGTTTTAAGATACGAGCCGTCAAATAGTCTAAGAGCCAGTGAACTATTTGACTAACCTGTTTTCACAAAGCCAGAAATTTTTTTAATGATATTTTATTATCGGCCCATTAAGAAAGTACCATTCTGGCAGTCATTCCGCGGTTGCGTCATCATCCCTTCAATTTGTGAAAATGTAAAAAAAAATTTTTTCATAACTTGCTCGCACAAGGCTCAAATTTTGAGGGTGTCTTCTTTTAACTGTTTAGAAAGCATATGTAAAAAGCCAGCCCATTCTGACGGTTGCAAGGGTCTGCCAGACGAGTACATAATAGTCACGACGCGCAAGGGTGTGGGCGCATTGCCATACATAATTGACTAATATCCTTGTATTTGAATAATTTATACGCCATTTTGAAGGTCATTTTGAAAATATCCGTTATACCAAACTTGAACTTTGTATCTCACCTTATAGCCGAGATATCATTGAAAATATGCCAAAGTGGCCCCTTTTTCAAACTCAATTTTTAGCGTAACCATAAAAGATATCGAAAAAAAAATTACGTGATTCTACTTATATTGGCTTAAACCACATAATGTATGGTAATATATGCTAAATAATCCTTTATTATTAGCTAAAAAGGATAAAATAATTTTTCAATTAATGTTTTCGGATAGTGCGTTTTGTTTAATTGCTTTATTATTAGCGTTATTTAAAAGCTTATTGTTTTCTCTTTTAGTACTGCAAATATGGTTTAAATCAAATTTGTGGAACACATTGAAAAATTGAAGAAACCAGAACCAGTACACCCGCGCGTAACGCTAATAGTAGCCCGCATAGAATTCGTTCGGTCGGATGTGCGATGCATTCCACGCGGGTGTACTGGTTCTGGTTTCTTCAATTTTTCAATGTGTTCCACAAATTTGATTTAAACCATATTTGCAATACTAAAAGAGAAAACAATAAGCTTTTAAATAACGCTAATAATAAAGTAATTAAACAAAACGCACTATCCGAAAATATTAATTGAAAAATTATTTTATCCTTTTTAGCTAATAATAAAGGATTATTTAGCATATATTACCATACATTATGTGGTTTAAGCCAATATCAGTAGAATCACGTAATTTTTTTTTTCGATATATTTTATGGTTACGCCAAAAATTGAGTTTGAAAAAGGGGCCACTTTGGCATATTTTCAATGATATCTCGGCTATAAGGTGAGATACAAAGTTCAAGTTTGGTACAACGGATATTTTCAAAATGACCTTCAAAATGGCGTATAAATTATTCAAATACAAGGATATTAGTCAATTATGTATGGCAATGCGCCCACACCCTTGCGCGTCGTGACTATTATGTACTCGTCTGGCAGACCCTTGCAACCGTCAGAATGGGCTGGCTTTTTACATATGCTTTCTAAACAGTTAAAAGAAGACACCCTCAAAATTTGAGCCTTGTGCGAGCAAGTTATGAAAAAATTTTTTTTTTACATTTTCACAAATTGAAGGGATGATGACGCAACCGCGGAATGACTGCCAGAATGGTACTTTCTTAATGGGCCGATAATAAAATATCATTAAAAAAATTTCTGGCTTTGTGAAAACAGGTTAGTCAAATAGTTCACTGGCTCTTCTACTAAAAGGAGAGTTTGGCGACGAATATGTAAACTTTTGTCAGTTTTAATAATGATTTTCCTGTCATAGAAATATTTTGGCTGTTCTATAATAGAAATATATATTAATAGTTTAATAGTTCAGAAACTATATATTAATAGTGATTATACAGTAATATATGATGACTATTTGCTTTGTGTACATGTACAAAATATTTACTTTTATAACCATGGGTTCAAGAAAAGGGCCATGTCTCTTATATTGAAGCGCGAAAATATTGAAAAAAATGAGAATGGCGATAATGTACAGGCGTAACACATTATTAGAGCTGGAAAGCATTGTCTATAAAAACCATCCCGAAAAAAGTTGCAACTGTTTTAGAATGGGAGTTTTTTTAACAAAACATGTCTAACTCATTTTCGCAATATCATGAATGAACTAGAAAAAACAATATTTAAATTAATAACTATAATTATAATTAGTTATTATAACTATAGTAAATTTATTTTAAGTATTCAGAAAACTTAACAAACAGCACAGTGCTTGAATGGTATTTCAATTTATTTATACAGGAAAAATTGCTTCGAGATACGAAACGATTCAATATACAAGCAGAATAAATTAAACAAGTATTTCGGGGTACTACTGTATATATATATATATATATATATATATATATATATATATATATATATATATATTATATATATATATATATATATACACACACACACACATATATATATATATATATATATATATATATATATGCAAATATATTTTTATAATATATTTTTCCTAAATATATTTTCATATATTTCCTTATTTTGTTAAAGGATGTATTAACAACATCAACAGGACTCCGAAATATTGAAGAAACTAGATTATGCAGAAATAGCATAGAGCAATTACGAACATTGTCTCAAGACTTTTTTCAGACTATGGGTTTATATTCAGCTTTTGGTTCTAAAGATTTTTCAAAAGCTATAGAGTTATTCAATAATGCTTGCGGACTCAATCATATAAGGTAACATTCTGTCAGCAAAGTATATATCATGTTAATGAAGGAGTCTTATTATTAGAAATACTGAGAAGTTTATTTTGATTACACTATTTTCATTATTATTTTTTATAAATGATTTATTCAATGCTTCTTTGCAGATTACTTGCTGCGCCTGTGATTGTAGAAGGTCACGAGAGAAAAAGTGGTAGTGGGTCTTTTCTAGAAATTGATGCTACCGCTGCAAAATTAGTTTTGCATGAATTAAGACCTAAACAAAAAAATACTGATTTTTTAATTCCACTTATAGAGTTTTCACAACTGAATAAATCAGGTCACATGGTTCTTATCACAAAACCACAGCTCAAAATGAAATTCAAGATGCTCCAAAAATCAACTTCATCAAGTATAAGTAATAGAGGTCACAGAAAATTTCCTCGGTCTGAGTTGAGGTGAATAAATATATTTCACATTCTATACAGAGCACTTTGGAACTTAATAGTATTAATTTTACCTATAATGTTTGTTAAAGCTTGAGTTTTTGCTTAAAATTTTTTTGCTGAATGTTTTGTAAAAATTTAAAATACTGTTTTTTGTTATTACTTTTAATATTTAATTTTCTGGGCAGTATATACTTGGAACCATGTTCTTGTGAGGTGGATATAACCATTATAGACAGGATATCAGCATTGTTCATAACTCCTATTTGGACAACTTCAAAAATATTTTCGATGAGGAAGCAAAGCTCTGTTGACATTAATATAAACCCGGACAGTGTATGTGAATTCAAGCTGATTTGTGATGAAATTCAAGTAAAACTTAGGCAAGTATTTAGAATAACTAATATAATAGAATACAATAGGATTTTAACAGAGAGGAACTGTTAATACACATTTGCTATACCTTTCAATAATCTCTTTTTTTATTTGTTTATATATATATATATATATATATATATATATATGTGTGTGTGTGTGTGTGTGTGTGTGTGTGTGTGTATGTGTGTGTGTGTATGTGTGTGTGTGTATCTTAGAACTCGACGTCGAGTCGAAATAGGGCGATAGTATTGATCATTACTATTAGGGAATGCAATACCGGTATACCGAATTACCGGTAAACCGCCCGATTTTTTGGCGGTATTTTTACCGGTTTTTATTCCAAAAATACCGGTATTTTCGGTAATTTTACATAAGCGCTATTTGATACATAATACCCTAATGTTTAAATTTCTCGGAACAAATTTATCTTTAAATTCAATAATTGCATTAACAGCTATATCTTCACGTGCTTCTATAAGATAAACAAATGTCAAATATTATCTCAACTCGTCATTAATCTGAATATTTATTGCTTTCCAAAGGGCTTCATATCGTGTTGCAATAAATAGAATAGGACTGATAGATAATTCAGTTTGTTTCATCTTTTGTAAAAATGTAACGGTTTTTTAAGTGATATTTGCGCCAAAATATTTTATATCATACTGCGTAATCTTTATTCGTTTCTAACTTTATACATAATAATTATGATAATTACTAAATAATTTTGCTCCTTATTACAATTATAAAATATTAATTTTCGACAACGTTTCGAAGTTTAAAAATACTATAGAAGCATCACATTGTTTTAAATAACAATACTCAACAATTATAGTAACTTATTATTTATCTCGACAAAGTATCCGATCTTAAATTAGTGTAGAAAAATTATTTTTTGAAAAATATTGGAGATTATGCTAATTTAACACATCGGATACAGACATTACAGTTTATTATAATAATGTAATATGATCTTTATGAGTTTTTGGTCTTTCTCACTCATACATTTGTTTTTGGTGAAAAGTACTCAATATACTCGATAGTGATAATGAATTAAGTAAATTGCATATACTTTTGTTAAATTATTATTTAAAAAAATAAATTTATTGTTTTATTTTATTGTTTAGTTTTATTTGTACTAGTAACTTTCAATTTTGTTTACGTTTGTCGAAGATAATAAAAATACCGATAATTTACCGGTATTCCGGTTTTAAAATGAAAAATTACTGAAATACAGGTATTGAAATTTTCTATCGGTATTGCATTCCCTAATTACTATCACGAAAAAATTACAAAAAATTCTTTTTTCATGTTGTTTGAAATGTATCAGCTCTTGAGTGCAACCTAGAGCTTTGGCAAAACCTTGACCATTTTTCAGTTATTGTGGTTAATTTTTATTGATTTTATTCATATAAAGTTTGGATCTGTAATCGTAAATAACATTTTCAGGACAAAAACTAAAAATATTGACGTAATTGCTCCAAGTTTTCAAAACTTAAAACTGCTCTATTTTTATATGCTCTCTTTTTAAAAAAATGTACTAAAGTTGTTGTGGCAAGTTCCATGAAAACTTTCATTTTTTCATACAGTTGCGATCAATGAGTTCTGGTATATAAAGAGAGAGAGAGAGAGGGAGAGCTTATGTATAAATATTTATTTATAGATTTCCAGTTGTTGATCTCAGGCCTAAACATGATCCATTGAGACCACCGTGGTGGGATCGCAATATTCACTCGGACTATGCAATTATAACACTTAAACAAAATAGTGGAAAAATTAACTCTATTGCAAATAATGGTCTCAGATATGAACTACAATGTCAAGAGGTTTTTATAGATTATGTTGTAAGTTTCAGGTTATATGTTATTTAATATATCACCTTTTAATAGTGATCGTAAATATAAAAAATCGTTTAAAAAAAAACACTGCAATCTCGACTTACGAGTGACCTGACATATGAATGTTCCTTTGCTTCGACATAGAAGCAAAATTAGAGACAGAAGCTCTGACAAAATGAAAATATGAAAAATTTTGTCAGTTTCAACAACAACATTAATATTTTGCCAGTTTTATGATAGCAAATTATTTTTCATTTTTATTATAATACTTCTATAATATAATAGCGTAGTAACGATTTACGCACGCAAATATATCGAGGATTATTTTAACGTTCGAAATTATTACTATACATCAATAGTGATTGTTTAGTTAAAAATGTTGTTTTCGCATTTTTGCTTTTTGTATGTTTACAAAATATTTATTTTTATAACCTTGGGTCTAAAGAAAAGAGCCATGTCTTTTCTATTAAAATGTAAAATTATGATAAATGGTATAACTCCAGCTAAGGACCTTATAATGATTAATGATTTATAAGCAGCTTTCTGACCTTAAAACGTATGTGTATGAAAATCACTACTAAAAGTTTATACAGTTCCAGCATTGAGAGTTGTTCAATTAAACATGTTTAACTCATTTTTGCAATATCATGAATGGGCAGGAAAAAAAATAATAAAAAGAAATTTAGTTTTATTTATCTAACAATTTAACAAAAACCACAGCACTGGAACAAATTAATGAAATTTCTATGTATTTGTTTGGGAAAAATTGCTTCAAGATACGAGCAATTCGACATACGATAGTGATTACAAAACATATTAAACTTGTATGTCGGGTTTAGTAAACGCAGTTTGCTAAAGTTATTTATTAAATTGTTAATTTGGGCTAACATGGAATTATAAATAAAATGGTTGGTTTATTAATAAATCTGCCACTGGTTCTCGAATTGATTATTTATAATGTTTTTTGCGATAGTTTATTATTAATCATTGTTTATACTTAAGAAGTAAATTATCATATTTTTATTTAATAGGAGGCTGAATGCAATAAAAGGATTCCTATTGCTCATGCTGGTTCAAAGGGCAAGCTTACAACTTCAAAAGTAAATATAGAGAATGATACAGATTGGCCAAGGTTTGTTGTGTGGTAATCTTCTTTATATTATTTATCTAGAGTAATTATGCAATTGTAAACACAAATGAAAAATACTTCCTGCCGTTCTATGCCATGGATGTTTTTCCAGATTTGTATTAGAAGTGCATCCTTCCAAACAAAAGTTCTCTTTGGAATCTTCAAGTGATAGTGATCTTCCTACTATAGATCCCATGCTAGCCTCTATAGGTGGTGCTCTTAAAAATAATATGGAAATTAAGGAACCTTCACCATTCAGTGCTAAAAGAATGATACACAGGAGCGACACTTCACATATAGGTAATATTAATTATTTAAATCGATAATAAAAATTTATTCAATTTAAAATATATCATAAAATTTTGGCACTTAGGTGAATCTGATGAACTTGTAATCCCCGGAACAAGATCGGAAATGAAACAATTTAGCGAAGCTGCAAAATCAAATTCTTTAATGCAAATTGAGCTGTCACTACAATATGTATCAATTCAATTAGGGTAATTTAAAATTAAGTTATTAAGATTTAATTACTACTTATTTTAATCATTAATGGTATGAACTCATGCTTGCCATTTCTTTATTTTTAGCTCAAAACACATATATGAAAAAATTTACAATCATATAAATACAGATCTCTTGTTATGGGAACCATGTGCATCTTTTATTTCATCTGCTTGTACTGGCAGCATTATGCAAGATATACCAATATTTTCTTTGTGCAAGAGTGGTATACATTATGGTAACATATTATTAAATTATTTTTACTAAAAAGTGAAAATTTTATTTGAATCTATTTTATATGATCTTACATTTTGCAACATTATCATATGAACATACTACAGTAATAATAATTATTATTCACAAGTCACACTATAACATTGTTATTTAATTTGCAGAAATATTATGATCACTCAATTATTTAATACTAATTATTCATGTCTCTAAAATGAAAGGATTTTATGTATTATTTACATATTTCATCTCAGATTCAGAAAGCAGTACGCATGAGTCTGACTCGGATTCAAACAGTGGCCTCCAATCAGTATTTTATTCTGTGTGTGATCGTAAAACTTTGAATTCATGTAATGAACATAATATAAGTTTCAATTTGGATATAAAGCAAGGATTACTCACCATGTGTGCACCTGTCAGAGTAAGTTTTTATTACACTTGGATTGATCAAACTTTCTTTTTGAATTTTTAAAACTCTGTGAATATAAATATCAGAACTCAATGGATCTAAATATATAATATTCAAAATAGTTAAAGAATAAATTCTTTAATCATAATTATTATAATCAATATTTTTATAATTTACTTATTAAATAGTTTTCAATATTTTATAATTTTAGGATACTGCCAATCATGTCATTCCTGGACAACAAGGTGAATTTGTTATTCGCACTGGTGAGCTATCAATGTTTTCTGTATCTGGTTTCAATGGTAATGCAGAACTTGGCTTTGTTTGCGTTCAAGCTAAAGATACGGAAATATATCATAGTGGTAATTATAAATATATTTTTTTCATATACATACATACATACATATATATATATATATATATATATGTACTTGTATATATATATATATATATATATATATACAAGTTCAAATTTAAAAATTAATTCCTATTTAACTAGGGTTACATTCAATACCAGAAACTTCACAAGCTTTACGATTAGTTGATTGTTCCCTACCTAGCTATATCCAAAAAACAATTCTACCTGATTCTGAGCACCACTATCGAGATCTTGATGATATTGATTCTAGAGATATGGTTACTGTAGCCTTAAAGATTCAAGCAAATCATGAATCTAAATTGAAGGTATACATGTAGTTCATCTGTATTAGAAATAGTTAAGTTGATTACTTAGTGATATTTATTCATTTTCTTTTTTTTTTTTCTTTTTCATTAGCATATATGCACTGCTATAGGAGTTCAGGAAGCAATGCTAATGCATAGATCAGCACCACCTGCTCACACCTGGCTCACACAATTAATTGATTTATTTGATGTTCAGGTAATTTTTTTTTCCAAAAATATTCTTTTTACTCTGTAACTTTAAATCTATGTGATTGAACTACTTGACGCCCAGAAAATTTTAAATAATTAAATAATTAATTTTTCCAAAAGTATCTCAAACAATATTCCATTACACTATATGTGTAGCACAAAAAATTTTGTGTTATTTGCTGCATTATAAAAATGTACTTCTCTGTTTCTTATTTCTTTAAAGTGATTATTGAGTTAAAGAACATACTAAAATATTACGGCCCTACGGCAATCCGTTCAATTTTAAAATTCATGAGAGTTTGAAAAAATTAGCAGCACTTTTTTGACATGAGTCAAAATTATACATTTTATCATCTTTTTCCCCAACACGGTTGAACAAATTTCAAAAGTTTACAAACCAATCAATGATACTGGATAAGCATTTACAATGCTTAGTTTTTTTTATATGATCGGCTGAGCCGTTTCTTTAAAATTAGCAGAAAGGTGCATAATATTTTTTGTTTACGATTCAGCTTAAAATTCTGATCCTGTTGAAATGAAATTATTGGATTATTTAAAGCTATTCGATAGATATCATTTAGAAAAGGTGCTGTTTCAGTCTTTGTAATTGAATGTTTAAAAAAAATCGACGATTTTAATTAATCTTTGTATGGTGAAGAGTTTATAGTCTTAATGTAATACTAAAAGTGGTTCAATTATAATCTGTAATTAAAATTTGCATTAACCGCCCGCGATTTTAGAAAATACTACCTAATTGAATAATCTGCAATAGTTTCTCACATTATGTAACCCTACAGCAACTCGGCCTACTTATAACTGAATCTATTGATTTCTTATTGAGTCGATTATTTTCACATTTCGGGAATTTTATGCAACTTATATCTTGAGGCAAAATGCCACTTGAAACTAGTTAAAAATTTCTATCAATAGACCACATATTTAACACAGTTTATTTTTTGTTTCTGAAGGATCTTCCAGTTCAGGGGTACGAGCCTTCTAATGTTATTACTGAAATACATTTACATGTTTGGGATTCAGCAGTAGAATACAGGTATAATCATAACTTTTCTGCAATGAAAAATTGTGGAATATACAATCTTGACACACTTATATTTATACAGCATTAATAATTTTTTATTCACATTTAATTCTTATGAATGCAGTAATTTTGAAATCTTTGTAGACCGTTATATATGCCTTTACGTGCCCGATTAACACTTGGAATGTTTTCAATGAGCAGTAACATTATAGCTCAAAGTACTGGAGTTAATTTGAGGTTTATGGCTGAGGATTGCACATTACAACTTGCTGATTTAAATCATTTATCGACAAACCATATTAAACTTAATCTTAAAGATTTATTTTATGTTACTGTTGTAGAACTTGGGTTATTTGAATTGTCTCTGAGGCTCAATGAGAAGGTAACAACATAAGATATGTATTAATTCTTAACAGGTTAATGAATAAAATATTTTGTGTAATACATCTTTGTTTCTAGATGTGATTGTTTTCTTTTGCACTCAACAATTTATTATTTAAAAAATTTCACTTTAGGGATAATGTAAATTAGTTAAACAATCTGTTCAGATTATTCAAACATATTTTTAATTCTAGGGTACTAAAAATTGCCCTAGAGTAGATCTTCGTGCTTCAAATAATGCTCTGCTAATTAAAACTTGTGCAGACAGTGGCAGAGCATTAGCTCATCTTATTGCTTATATAGCTGAAGAAGGTGATCTTCAGTCCACCAATCAAGATCCAACTTCGTTGCCAGCTTGTGTACAACCAAGTAAGTAATAACAAATTACTTTTTCATATAAAAGGATGTAGTTAGATCTGTTTTATATATTTAAAATTGAAAATTCAATGAACATATAAATCAAATCAGATAATAACTGTCTTCATCAATTAATATTATAGGTGATGAAATTTTGTTGGAAGATGGTCAAAGTTTGCCTACTGCTCAGTCCAAAAAATTAGAAGAAAAAGTTAATGAGCTGATGGCTGAAGCTATGTTAGAAAGCTTGAGAGTTTCAACAACAGAAAATGAATCGGATATTGTACCAAAAGGTGTAGAGGTGTTTTTTTTTCCAGATGAAGCGAAAGAGCCAAGTGAGTGCTAATTAATTTAAATTTATTATAGTTAACAAAATAAACGTAGTGTAATACAAAAACAATTAAAAAAATAATGTTTTTTTGTTTAAATCATGTTTTTCACTTTTAATAAGTTCATGGGCTATTTATCAAATAATAGATATTTTAAAATTTTGTGGTTTTTGTTTACTTTTTATTTTAATTTTACTCTACTCTGACTAATGTAACGAAATAAACTATGCATTAAATTAAATTTTACCTCATGTATAAAGCTATATATCATTTCAAAATCGTTCATCTGACTTTTTGGTTTTTAATTTTAAAAACTTTTGTCTTTTAAATATTGGTTATATAAATATATTTATATTTTAGAATTGTCTAATGTCGAACAATGTGAAACCAATACATCTACTTCCAAAAATAATATGGCTAAAATTGATAAGAAGAAGAAACTATCGACGGGTGATGATTTCTGCATCGTTGGCGACGAATCCGGTGTGGGGGTTTATCCGAAAAATGGCCATCCGAAAGTGCGATGGCTTACTAATGAACCATTTCATATAGTAGATAACCATTTTACTATACCCACATCAAAGACTGATTTTTTAAAAGCTCCACGTGATTTTCCAATGGCTCTCTTTCGGTATACCTTATGTGAGGTTACATTTACTTGGTTTATGTATGGTGGAAATGATTTTGAACAAAGTTCAGCAGTAGGGTCTAGTAAACGAAAGGTGGTTACTATAGACGAAAATATTAGTAATAATTCTGTGAGATACCAAGTATCTGGTTCTAAGAATATAAACATAATTCGTGATGATGTCTATGGAAAATCTAAAGTGCTTAAGAAAAGCAATGGCAGCAATCGTAAAGAAAACGTATTGGTAGAAGTTCATGTAAATAAAGTAAGATTTACACATGAAACTTACCCAGATCAAACCAATTATGCATCTCGGCAGGTTCTTTTAATTGGCGATTTAGAAGTTAGAGATCGTCTTGAAGTTTCTCAAATTAATAAATTGCTGTATCAGCAATCGAGTGAACAGCGACCAAGACAATCTCATGCAAATATGATAACAATTAAAGCAACACATATGCGCCCAGATCCGCACCAGGCAGCACAGGAATGCAGTTTGCGCATTTCTTTACTACCTTTAAGACTTAATATTGATCAAGATACCTTGCTATTTTTAATTCAGTTCTTTAGTGAATTGAGTGGGTCTCCAATAAACAAGTAAATCTAAAGTAGATCCTTCAAGTACACCAACGTCTCGTCATTCAACACCCACACATCAAATACCTATTATGACCATTGAAGATTCAACAATTATTTCTGATCCTGAAAAATTAGTTTCTGAAAATTTAATGCTCTTATTAGATGATCAAGTGGAAGATGAGCGAAAGGATATTGATTTAAAAAATAAATACTTTAAGTGGTGAAAACGTGCCAATATATTCAGAAGTATAATTTTTAGTCCCGATGTGCCTATAAGGTAGATTACAATGGAAAGCGAGTGGAACTCTCACATGGACCGTTAGCAGGTTTATTAATGGGCTTAGGTCAACTGGAATGTTCAGAACTAACTTTAAAAAGAATTACTCACAAGCATGGCATTTTGGGCATTGATAAACTCATGAACTTCCTCATGCAACAGTGGCTGCAAGATATAAAAAAACGTCAATTGCCATCACTGTTAGGTGGAATTGGACCTATTCATTCGTTTGTTCAATTGTGTGAGTTCATAAATTTAAAATACTTTAAAGTTTAAATATATTTTAAAATTTTCATCTTTTTAATATGTTTTTGACTTGTTGTTTATTTATATGAAGTCCAAGGCATTCGCGATTTATTCTGGCTTCCAATTGAACAATATCAAAAAGATGGCCGCATTGTCAGAGGACTACAGAGAGGTGCTAATAGTTTCACTGCCTGCACAGCTTTAGCAGCTCTGCAAATTACGACAAGAATCATTCATTTGATCCAGGTAGGTTTTTACTTTTTTTTAAACTTCTGCGTTTTGTTTGTATCTTTCTCTTACTTATTTTATAACGTTATTATTCTTACAATTATAATATTCTATTTTTAGGCAACAGCCGAGACTGCTTTTGACATGGTATCACCTGGACCAAGTGTTAAACGCGGTTCT